GCGAGGTGGCGGCCCCCAGCCCAAAGCACGTGCGCTGCTGCTCAACACGGATGGGCGTAGTGGGCGCTGGAGCCGGCCCCGAACGCGGCTCCGTACGCTGTGGCGGGCGTCTACACGTGAATCGTGCCTGGTGGCACGGAAACGCGTGTTGGGAGGCGCTGCGGGCATAAGGCCCTCGGCCGCTTTGGGTGCATGTGCCCCAAGGTTGAGCCCTTTGGCATGGATCGTTCATACCATGGTGAAAACCGCCCATCCCATCAGCACTGGGCACGTAAGCACCATTGGGCCAGATCAGTAGTACGGTGGGGGACCACGTGCGAACCCCTGGTGACGATCTGTTTTGCAGCCCCCCCACAAACCGACGTTTTGCGTGTTTGGCCGCGTACCTGGGTAGGCGGGAGGCCGCGTTAGGCCTGGTGGCTCGCTGTGCGTGCGCGGATGCCTGGCTATCTATCTAGGAGGCCGGTCCAGGAGCTGGATCAGCGCATGCATGGGTGGACGCAGGATGGATGGATGGATGGATGGATGGCCAGGGGGCGGGTCTTGCTTCCCTATCTACCTGCGCATCCCACGCACGGAGGCTGCGCATGCATGCATGGGTGGCTGCGAGCGAGGTGGCGGCCCCCAGCCCAAAGCACGTGCGCTGCTGCTCAACACGGATGGGCGTAGTGGGCGCTGGAGCCGGCCCCGAACGCGGCTCCGTACGCTGTGGCGGGCGTCTACACGTGAATCGTGCCTGGTGGCACGGAAACGCGTGTTGGGAGGCGCTGCGGGCATAAGGCCCTCGGCCGCTTTGGGTGCATGTGCCCCAAGGTTGAGCCCTTTGGCATGGATCGTTCATACCATGGTGAAAACCGCCCATCCCATCAGCACTGGGCACGTAAGCACCATTGGGCCAGATCAGTAGTACGGTGGGGGACCACGTGCGAACCCCTGGTGACGATCTGTTTTGCAGCCCCCCCACAAACCGACGTTTTGCGTGTTTGGCCGCGTACCTGGGTAGGCGGGAGGCCGCGTTAGGCCTGGTGGCTCGCTGTGCGTGCGCGGATGCCTGGCTATCTATCTAGGAGGCCGGTCCAGGAGCTGGATCAGCGCATGCATGGGTGGACGCAGGATGGATGGATGGATGGATGGATGGCCAGGGGGCGGGTCTTGCTTCCCTATCTACCTGCGCATCCCACGCACGGAGGCTGCGCATGCATGCATGGGTGGCTGCGAGCGAGGTGGCGGCCCCCAGCCCAAAGCACGTGCGCTGCTGCTCAACACGGATGGGCGTAGTGGGCGCTGGAGCCGGCCCCGAACGCGGCTCCGTACGCTGTGGCGGGCGTCTACACGTGAATCGTGCCTGGTGGCACGGAAACGCGTGTTGGGAGGCGCTGCGGGCATAAGGCCCTCGGCCGCTTTGGGTGCATGTGCCCCAAGGTTGAGCCCTTTGGCATGGATCGTTCATACCATGGTGAAAACCGCCCATCCCATCAGCACTGGGCACGTAAGCACCATTGGGCCAGATCAGTAGTACGGTGGGGGACCACGTGCGAACCCCTGGTGACGATCTGTTTTGCAGCCCCCCCACAAACCGACGTTTTGCGTGTTCGGCCGCGTACCTGGGTAGGCGGGAGGCCGCGTTAGGCCTGGTGGCTCGCTGTGCGTGCGCGGATGCCTGGCTATCTATCTAGGAGGCCGGTCCAGGAGCTGGATCAGCGCATGCATGGGTGGACGCAGGATGGATGGATGGATGGATGGATGGCCAGGGGGCGGGTCTTGCTTCCCTATCTACCTGCGCATCCCACGCACGGAGGCTGCGCATGCATGCATGGGTGGCTGCGAGCGAGGTGGCGGCCCCCAGCCCAAAGCACGTGCGCTGCTGCTCAACACGGATGGGCGTAGTGGGCGCTGGAGCCGGCCCCGAACGCGGCTCCGTACGCTGTGGCGGGCGTCTACACGTGAATCGTGCCTGGTGGCACGGAAACGCGTGTTGGGAGGCGCTGCGGGCATAAGGCCCTCGGCCGCTTTGGGTACATGCGCCCCAAGGTTGAGCCCTTTGGCATGGATCGTTCATACCATGGTGAAAACCGCCCATCCCATCAGCACTGGGCACGTAAGCACCATTGGGCCAGATCAGTAGTACGGTGGGGGACCACGTGCGAACCCCTGGTGACGATCTGTTTTGCAGCCCCCCCACAAACCGACGTTTTGCGTGTTTGGCCGCGTACCTGGGTAGGCGGGAGGCCGCGTTAGGCCTGGTGGCTCGCTGTGCGTGCGCGGATGCCTGGCTATCTATCTAGGAGGCCGGTCCAGGAGCTGGATCAGCGCATGCATGGGTGGACGCAGGATGGATGGATGGATGGATGGATGGCCAGGGGGCGGGTCTTGCTTCCCTATCTACCTGCGCATCCCACGCACGGAGGCTGCGCATGCATGCATGGGTGGCTGCGAGCGAGGTGGCGGCCCCCAGCCCAAAGCACGTGCGCTGCTGCTCAACACGGATGGGCGTAGTGGGCGCTGGAGCCGGCCCCGAACGCGGCTCCGTACGCTGTGGCGGGCGTCTACACGTGAATCGTGCCTGGTGGCACGGAAACGCGTGTTGGGAGGCGCTGCGGGCATAAGGCCCTCGGCCGCTTTGGGTACATGTGCCCCAAGGTTGAGCCCTTTGGCATGGATCGTTCATACCATGGTGAAAACCGCCCATCCCATCAGCACTGGGCACGTAAGCACCATTGGGCCAGATCAGTAGTACGGTGGGGGACCACGTGCGAACCCCTGGTGACGATCTGTTTTGCAGCCCCCCCACAAACCGACGTTTTGCGTGTTTGGCCGCGTACCTGGGTAGGCGGGAGGCCGCGTTAGGCCTGGTGGCTCGCTGTGCGTGCGCGGATGCCTGGCTATCTATCTAGGAGGCCGGTCCAGGAGCTGGATCAGCGCATGCATGGGTGGACGCAGGATGGATGGATGGATGGATGGATGGCCAGGGGGCGGGTCTTGCTTCCCTATCTACCTGCGCATCCCACGCACGGAGGCTGCGCATGCATGCATGGGTGGCTGCGAGCGAGGTGGCGGCCCCCAGCCCAAAGCACGTGCGCTGCTGCTCAACACGGATGGGCGTAGTGGGCGCTGGAGCCGGCCCCGAACGCGGCTCCGTACGCTGTGGCGGGCGTCTACACGTGAATCGTGCCTGGTGGCACGGAAACGCGTGTTGGGAGGCGCTGCGGGCATAAGGCCCTCGGCCGCTTTGGGTACATGTGCCCCAAGGTTGAGCCCTTTGGCATGGATCGTTCATACCATGGTGAAAACCGCCCATCCCATCAGCACTGGGCACGTAAGCACCATTGGGCCAGATCAGTAGTACGGTGGGGGACCACGTGCGAACCCCTGGTGACGATCTGTTTTGCAGCCCCCCCACAAACCGACGTTTTGCGTGTTTGGCCGCGTACCTGGGTAGGCGGGAGGCCGCGTTAGGCCTGGTGGCTCGCTGTGCGTGCGCGGATGCCTGGCTATCTATCTAGGAGGCCGGTCCAGGAGCTGGATCAGCGCATGCATGGGTGGACGCAGGATGGATGGATGGATGGATGGATGGCCAGGGGGCGGGTCTTGCTTCCCTATCTACCTGCGCATCCCACGCACGGAGGCTGCGCATGCATGCATGGGTGGCTGCGAGCGAGGTGGCGGCCCCCAGCCCAAAGCACGTGCGCTGCTGCTCAACACGGATGGGCGTAGTGGGCGCTGGAGCCGGCCCCGAACGCGGCTCCGTACGCTGTGGCGGGCGTCTACACGTGAATCGTGCCTGGTGGCACGGAAACGCGTGTTGGGAGGCGCTGCGGGCATAAGGCCCTCGGCCGCTTTGGGTACATGTGCCCCAAGGTTGAGCCCTTTGGCATGGATCGTTCATACCATGGTGAAAACCGCCCATCCCATCAGCACTGGGCACGTAAGCACCATTGGGCCAGATCAGTAGTACGGTGGGGGACCACGTGCGAACCCCTGGTGACGATCTGTTTTGCAGCCCCCCCACAAACCGACGTTTTGCGTGTTTGGCCGCGTACCTGGGTAGGCGGGAGGCCGCGTTAGGCCTGGTGGCTCGCTGTGCGTGCGCGGATGCCTGGCTATCTATCTAGGAGGCCGGTCCAGGAGCTGGATCAGCGCATGCATGGGTGGACGCAGGATGGATGGATGGATGGATGGATGGCCAGGGGGCGGGTCTTGCTTCCCTATCTACCTGCGCATCCCACGCACGGAGGCTGCGCATGCATGCATGGGTGGCTGCGAGCGAGGTGGCGGCCCCCAGCCCAAAGCACGTGCGCTGCTGCTCAACACGGATGGGCGTAGTGGGCGCTGGAGCCGGCCCCGAACGCGGCTCCGTACGCTGTGGCGGGCGTCTACACGTGAATCGTGCCTGGTGGCACGGAAACGCGTGTTGGGAGGCGCTGCGGGCATAAGGCCCTCGGCCGCTTTGGGTACATGTGCCCCAAGGTTGAGCCCTTTGGCATGGATCGTTCATACCATGGTGAAAACCGCCCATCCCATCAGCACTGGGCACGTAAGCACCATTGGGCCAGATCAGTAGTACGGTGGGGGACCACGTGCGAACCCCTGGTGACGATCTGTTTTGCAGCCCCCCCACAAACCGACGTTTTGCGTGTTTGGCCGCGTACCTGGGTAGGCGGGAGGCCGCGTTAGGCCTGGTGGCTCGCTGTGCGTGCGCGGATGCCTGGCTATCTATCTAGGAGGCCGGTCCAGGAGCTGGATCAGCGCATGCATGGGTGGACGCAGGATGGATGGATGGATGGATGGATGGCCAGGGTGTCGCACAAACGATATTGTTGTTTAAAGTCCTAAAGCACTTCCTTGTAGTTTATCTATCAAACGGTATAAATGTCACAGTGATTAGGCCAGGCTTTGCGAAGATTCTGTGGAGGTAGGAGGGGCCTTATGCCAGTGTCATTGGCTGCGAACGAATGAGGCTCATTCACGCCAGGAAGTACGTCTATAGTAGCTGCTGTGATGAGTTATGTACCCTGACATGTAGGTCAGATTACGCCTTGCTAAGACCAACTTTGGTCAAAAAGTCAAACAAACTCATGCCACTTACGCCCTATACATTTATATTGAGCAATGAATAAAATTGTTTATTTTGAAAAGTTGCCCTGCTTAGTATACTGCAGGCCTGTACTTGGCTACGCAGCTCATGGCATACGCCTTCCACTATGAAGCCAGAAGCAACCACACGGTTAGCGGGATTTGTTTTGATGATTTTGTCCTTCGGGCTTTGCTTTACTTCGGAAACGCCATACCAGGAGCTGTATGCGCCTATTGACTATGCAGTAGTTGGCCAACAAAAGGTAACGCAGCTCATACCAATTAACTACCGTCTTAGCGTAGCCACATTACCGGTATCTGTTTTGGCGACCATCTGGTAATGCGCCTAACACCCAACTGCCGACTGCAAAAGGTACAAAGCTTGCATTGCGCTATACAGTTTATGTAAAACATATGGCAACTTCTTTGGAAACTGCGTTTTACTATGCAGATGGTACCGCTCAAACCTACGTTTACTATCAAACGTTTCCATGCCGTGTTTGTAAGCTTGCGTGCCGAATGGTGGCCCTCAAACGCTGTCTCTCCAGGGGTTGAGAGACACTCGAGGCCACTTCAACCCTGGAACGAGAAACAGTTTCTATTACTCTTCCGTCGGTACCTGCGCTTTTTATTATGTTACCGTGTGCTGCGTTGTAATGGCCCCCCTGCCTCCACGGCTTTTATACCCCCTCGCAGTGCGGTACAAGCTCACTATGGCATTACATGATGGACCATCCCGACATTACGTGGCATGGCAAGAAGAAGGTATGACCACCCTGCGCCACCCACTGCTACATGCTCGCTCGCCCTGCCCGGCAAAAAGCTACAATGGGATGGCAGTGTGAAGGGGACGGGGCGGGACCAGCATACTGTCCCGGAATGGCAAGACCTCCTTAGTACGCCAGGCAGCTCTACACACCCCGTATACCGGTACAGTACGGCTCCTTCACCCTTTGACCCATACCCAACGCCCCTTTTGTTTCCTGCCGCCTGCATGCATGTCTACATGTTCCTGACCGTCGTACGCCCGACCAACGTACGACTTCTGGATACGTACTGTATTGGGACGTCATACAGGAGTCATTGTATTTCCACACTGATTGGCCGGCCTCTGCTAACTGTGATAACCGCGTGGACAACTACCTGCTCTCGGTAAGTGCGTGTGCACATCACATCACAACACCTCGCATGCTTGCCCCCAACCGCCCTGGGAATGTACGGTACGGTCCGATACACCCCGCCTCTTGATGGGTGACTGATGGATGGGTGACATCGGCAAAACACACGTGTCCTCCTACCACGTGTGCAGTAGGTTTAGCGCCTGATGTGACACAGCACAGATGTGGCCTGCTCGGTGCAACACAGCCCGGTGTTTCAAACTTCAAACATACCTCCTAGTGCGCCTAACGGGTCCTCACTTGCTCAGGGTCTCCTTGTCTTTCCACTCTCCGAACCGCACCGTATGCCTGTATGCAGGGAGGCGAGATGCGGCGGGCCCGCAACCGCACCCTGGACCTCAGAGTGGGCGACTGGTCAGCCACACACCTATCGTGCATTTGCTGCCCTGTCGTACTGAAAACCATCAACCCCAAGTTAAAGGTACAGCTTATGGGGCGTGAGGCAGTGAGGTGGGAGGGAGGGTTGGTATGGGGCGGCGCGCAGGGGCGGGGCAAGCGGCCGGCTGGAGTTGGTTGGTTGGTGTTGGGAATAGTTCAACGCCACTTGGGCCGGTTTGGGGTAAGTGTTACAGCAGGCATGGTCTTCAACAAGGGAAGAAGTGCGCAATGGCAGGGACACGGGGGCAGCTGGGAATGTTTGGGCAGAGAGGGGCAGCGATGGCGTTGTCGTCTGTGCTGCCTCCAATGTCTTTGGGGCATCACCTGTATCGTTGCCAACTCCAATGCGCACCCGGCCTGGCCCTATGTGTTGCCCAGATCATCGTACTGCTCCGCGACCCGATCCAACGTGCGCTCAGTCGCTTCCTCGAACAGAGAGAGCGGGTTAAGGGCCCACTACACAACGAGGTGAGGCGGGTTGAGCGCGGGTTTGGGGTTGGTTGCAACGATGGGGTCAGGGAACGTGTGGCTCACCAACTTGGGTTATTACATAGTGCCCACGTCTTGGGTTCCAATGCAAGCATGTGACCCATACTTAATGCTGTCAGGACAGTGTCAGCACAAAGGTTTTCGTGCTGCGCTTGCGCATGAGGATGGTTGACCCATGGGTCGCTCACTGGCCAATTTGCTACTGCCAATCCTGTCGTGCGTGCCGTTTGTTTGTAGACCGCAAACCATACCTTTGCGAGCTTCGTGGAGCTAGACTTGCGAACCGTCCAGGAGTGTCTCAACACTGCTTCACCGTACGACAAAGAACGACAGAAACCCGAATCTCAGCAACCGCAGCAGCAGCAGCTGCAACCCAATGGAGAACTGCAACAGCAGCAGCCACGGCGGCAACAACAGCAACAAGGGAAACAGCAGCAGGACGAAGGAGTGCACGATAACAGTAATGGCTTACCTCCGCCACCGCAGCTAACACTAACGGACGTTTTACCACAGCATCCGCATCATCATCAGGAATCGGTATGGCAACGGCGACGGTTAAAACAGCAGCAGCAACCACAACATTCACAACTCCGTGGCTTGTCGACTGCTACCGCCACCTCCGTCGACCCATTCGCTACCAGTGGCGGCTTGAGTGCAGGAAACGCCGCCGCCGCCTCATCTACGGACGCCATTGCAGCTGCTGCCTCCGCCGCCGCAGCTGCCGCTGCTGCTGGTGCATCCACCGGCGCCTCTGGCTCAGCTAGCAGCGGCGGCGGTGGCGGTGGCGGAGGTTCTACCGCTATCTCATCAGCTGCCCCCGCCGATGTACATTCCTCCTCATCTTCGTCAGAATCGTCTTCCTTTGCGGGTTGGGGTGCGGGCATGTCACTGGCAAGATGGATGGAGGCGCAATGCTATTCGCGAAGCAGTGAGTGGGTGTGTTAAGAAAACTGGCCGCGAGTAGGAACGTACTGGGATAGTGGGTGTGTGCGTGGGATGGGTGAGCGACAAGGGAGTGACCCATGGATCGGGCTGGGGAGGTGCAGTGCTCTTCGTGAAGCAGTGAGCAACGAAAACATTCCCGTACCAATCCCGACACTGTCGTACATCCCTGCGATCTGCCGGCGCTGAAGCCCTCCTTACGGCATTGTATGTAGTTGTTGCGTTCAACGCCACGTACCGGTAGATTACGTTGTCATAAAACCCCTTCTTTGCAATTGTGTACGGCAGGCGTTCTCGGCTGGTCAGTGTACGACATATTTCTGGAGAACTATTTGGCACACTTCCCGGCTGAGCAGGTACGTGCAGCGCCTTACCACCATACCTACTGCAGGTTTGGCAACTGTTTCATACGTCCTCTGCCCTGTTTGACTCGTTCCTTGGCTTTGCTTTTTTCCATGACTAACCAGCACCTGATCAACCGCCGCTCGAGATCTCGCTCTTGCTTGCAAATCGTTGGAAATCCTGTTTGGTGTTTGCATTCGCATGTTGCAGTTGCTTGTGTTGTACACGGAGGCGTTGGCGGTTCATCCGTTGGCAACTGTACGGAAGCTGGAGAGCTTTCTGGGTGTACGACCGGCGCTTTACAACCACAGCCTTTTCTCAACGGTCTACAACAGCCGAGGCTGCTACGTAAGTAGTGGTGCATGGCTGTTTCACTCTGGGTTGTGTGAAGAACATGGGCGGCTGCGTTTGGTTAGGTTGGAAGCGTTGGGAGGGCTGCTCATGGGTGGGTTCTGGGTTGGATTGTTCAGATGGGATTAACTGGGCTGGGTTGTTTAGGGGTGGCGTCAGCTATCCAGGGGTGCTGTAGGCCATCATAGGCTTGGTTGTGTGGTAGCTGGGTGTGTTTCCCTGGCTTGCTGGTGTCCACTTCCGCACTCCACGCTCACCTTACCTCCACCTCTTATCCGCGCCTTCTCTTGCCACCAGTCCTCCAGCTTACACATGTTTCCTTTTGTGTTTTCTGTCTGCGTCTTCCTCTTCCCACACCTAGACGTGGGACTGTGCGAGAACCCGCCAAAAACAAGATCAGCCACAACCACGACCAGAGCAACAGCAACCGAATTCCCGACTCCTTTCCCAATCCCAAACCGCAACTCAGCAACCTGGGCCCACCACACCACCAGGGGCCCGTGCTGCGGTTGACCAGCAAGTTCCTCCTCCTCATCTGCACCACCAAAACCAACACATCTCCTTAGACTCGCATCTGATGTCCCGTCTACGAGCCTTCTACCGGCCGCACATGCAGCGGATCTTTTACTTGGCAGATGCCGGCTTCATCGCACAGCCCCCCGGCTTTTGGCGCACAAACTATGGCTAATGATAAGCTTCAAGGCTAGCGCAACCTTCTAGGTGGTCGATGTTTAAGGAAGAGGAGGGGGGAGCTGCAGTTGTGGAGCAAAGAAGGCGTGGAGATTGAGGAGTGCACAGAGGGGTTACGGTAGCAATTTGGGTTAGCACAACCAGCTGGAGTTGGTTCGTAACCGTAACAAGGCGGAGGGGGGATTTGAGTACTGCCGACCCCCGTGTGGGGTAGGAGGAGTGCTGGATGAGGAGTCTAGAGCAGTGGAAGGCTGGGAATGGAGGGCACGGCGAGGTTGTGCATGGCGAGGGAGAGGGAGGCTGAGCAGATCAGGAGGAGGTATAGCTGCCGGTGCGTAGATGGCTTGCTGGTCGTCCTTCCTTTGGACGAAAAACACGAAATACGGCCTCAGCGTGGATCGGGGCAGTCCCATTTTCTTGCCACAAACGTGGCACTCGTGCGGTGCGTTGCTGAAGAATGCACTGTTGCAGCTAAGATACGTTGTGCCGGCTGCTTCTTAAACTTATTGCTATATGCTCGGCTGACACGGACATGGTTGTGATGGAAGGCACCTTACAATGCTGTGTGTGGCTACTATGCTATTCTCCATAACTACCGCCGCCCAGCTTCAAATCAGCATACGTGATTTTGTGCTACTGTTGTTGAATACGGCAGAGTACGGCCGCTTTTCATCGAGTTTACTAAAGGAATGAGTAGCCGCTACAATGACCTTGTAATGGCTCTTCCCCGCGCGGCGCCTGCCTATCCCTGCCTTTCACGTGGGGCGTCTGCCTGCCCTTTCCCGTGCAGTGCCTTCCTCACTTTGCCCTCTTCCCTGTGGCCATAATGCATGGGTGGATGCCTGTGTCTGGGCCCCTACTTCACGGTTCCTTCATTGTTGCAGAAGCAGCGGAAAGCGCACACCCCACTCCACCTCCTGTTTATCCGCATGTCCCTGGGAAAGCAACACCCAGCTGGCGACAGCGGTATCCGCGGTACCAAACATGACAGCGCCTTGGCAAATACGTCCGATTACAATTCATACACACCCTCGCCATGTCAGATGTCACCGAGGACTTCACTTTTGACAGCACGCAATGCACAGGACAGCCACACAGGGGATAAAGAAGCCAGGAACTTCCAATGCAGCCGCGCGGAGGAAAGCAATCCATACCAAAGGCAATCCATATGCATATGCCTTTAATGAATTTTGTCAAGCCCCCGCCCGTCCTAACCATCACCTTCCGGCGGCCGCCCTCGACCAAAAGTACAAACTCTACACCTCCCGAATCTAATTATCCCTTCATTGGCCTTTCTAGTGACCCACGGGTCGATCTGCCCGACCCTACTACTGCCCTCTTCTGTCACAAGGATGCGCCTCCTCCGCTCTCGCCATGCTACAGTTGCCAACCAACCCCTCCCCCCACCCTCCACATTCCGCCATTCATATGCCATCCTCCTCCTTATTCTTCATCCTCCTCCTCCCCAAGCCTCCTGAGCCTCTCCTCTCCGCAGATGTCCCTCATTGTATTGCACCCCTCAGCGCCCGCCCAGCCAAGGAAGCCCCAGTTCCGACTCAGGCGACGACGGCGACGGCTGCTGCCCCCCCGCCCCTGCATGCATGTAGTCCCAGATATCGAGAACCCCCACATATATCCCAGCCATGCTGAACCCTACACCAATCGCCACGATAGCCGCCGGCAGGGCGTACCGTCGCACGACCGCAACCACCGCCCGACAGCAACGACAGCAACCGCCACTACAACTGTTTTCAACGGCACCACCAGATGAGGCACTGCTGCTGCTACAGTGACCGTTGCTGCTTCCGGCGACTTGCTTTACCCCTTTACCATGACCACTACCACCATTCCGACACGAAAGGAGCGGGGGCTGCTGTGGCTGCTCCCCTCCTTCTGCAGTGCCCGCGGGAGCTAGAATCGGATCCGCGAGGGACCCCAGACGACCGTTGGCGACCAACCGCTGTTGCTGCTGCTGCTGCTGTTGCTGCTGCTGCGGTTGCACTGCAGCTCCTGCTGCTCCTTGTTGCAGTTTCAGCAGCTGCAGTTGCAGTTGCTGCTTGTCGGCGTCTCGTTGCACTGCCAGGTGGATGTAGACGGGGATGACGTAGCACACGAGGCACACAGCGGTGCAGCCCGTGAGTGCAAAGATCTTCTCAGCCTGTGGTTCCATCACCGGCGGCGGCAGCAGCAGCAGCGGCGGGATCAGTCGCAGCCGCAGCCACACATGGGGTTGAGGGCAAGGGGGCAGTTGTGACCATCCATGGGCTTGGGAGGCAGACAGGCGGGGATCAAGTGCGAGATGAGGATAGCGATGGAGGATAGTCCTCCCATGGGTTTTTGACCCCACATGGTCAGTTTTCCCTCCTCCGTACACTCCCCCCCCTCACACACACCCGCACTTCTTGCTGCACTTATTCTTTATATCCCCCTCCCCCCCCACCTGCGTGGGAAACAGCAGCGCCACGCAGGTCGCCCCCGCCAGGATACCCAGCGTCTCCGCCGTCTGCCGGGCCCACGTGAAGGGCGCCTCCGGGCCGGCCAGCAGCAGGTCCAGGGAGGCCCGCAGCGCAAAGTGGGTGGTGACCATGCCGCAGCAGAGGTAGCCCAGCAGCGCCGCGTAGAGGATCAGGGTGGCGGTGTGGTGGCCGGGGAGCAACTGGTTGACCTGGCGGTGTGGGGAGGCGGGGGAGGTGCGGGGGAAAAAGAAATTCCAAAGGGATATGACAAAACCACAGGTAAGGGCGAAGCAATGGGGATAGATGGGGGAGCGGAAGAGAAGGTGAAAGTTTGGGAGCGGAAGATGGAAAGGAGGTGAGAGGAAGAGGCGAACGGCAGAGGGACGAGGTGCGCGGGAGACAGCAGCAGCAGCAGCGGTGCAACCACGTTACACCCAACACAGCGCCCACCGGCCACCATGACCCACCATGATGTTGCTTTCCGTGGCCGCTCCAAAGATGGCGGCTCCAAACACCCCCACCGTGCCGTACACCCCGCACGCCACTCCAAACAGGGTGATGTGCACCGCCCGCTCCGTGAGGCGGGTGCCCAGAGGGCCGGCGGGCATCTCCCGGAGCAGCGGCATCAGCTGCGGGGGGTGGGGGGGGGGGCATGGAGGGAGGGGGGCGGCGGGGAAGGTTAGGCGTGGCTAGCAGCGGTTGTTAGCCTCCTACCAAGGGTTTGCGTAGGGATCGGGCAGAACAGACGACTGACGCTTCCACGGCACCGCCACTATACGGTACGGTACCCTCCGCGCAATGCTGCCCCACCCGCTCTCCACCCGTGCAAACCCGCACGCATTCAACCAATCACTCCACACCAGCACCCCTCCCTCCCCAACCCACGTGTCCTCCCTTCCTCCCCAACCCACATCGCCTTCCCTCCCCCCCCCTCCCTCCCCCCCCCACCATGGGCTGCATGTAGAACGCAAAGCCCAGCACCGCAAACGCCTCCGGCAGGTGACCGTCCAGCCGCACGTGCAGCACCTGCAGCTCCCCGTCCGCCACCGCGGGGAAGCGCAGCTGCAGGGCGCGGGCCACGATGATGCCGCACAGCGCCACCACCACCACCACTCCCACCGTGGCGGCCTTCTCGAACTGGGGGGAGAGGGTTGGGGCAGAGGGTTGGGACAGAGGGTTGGGACAGAGGGTTGGTTATAAACAAACCACACAAACACAAGACGGACCTCCCACCAAGTCCCACTTGTGGTTTCTTATGGTTGGGTATGGTCTTTGATCCCCCACCCAGTCCTACCTGACGAATGTGTCGCTGCATGCACAGCGGCAGCAGCACCAGCAGCACCGTCAGAACCATCACCGGCCGCCCGTCCTGCTCCAACAGGGGCGGGGCACTGCCCGGACCCAGACCCTGAGGAATGCAGGCAGGAGAGGCAGAGGAGTTATACCGTAGGATGTAGGAGGAAGGAACTGCGAGGATGGAAGGCGGCATGATTGTATACCGATAAATAAGCGCATGCTTTGTTCGGTGTGTGTGTTTCGTTGGCTCCTCTGCTCGACAAAGCACCATCCCAAGCCCCCGCTGGCCGGCCCGTACCCTGGCATGCATCGTACACCCTTCCCCAGCAGCCGACACATGGCTTGCGGTTTCCCTTCTTTCCCAAACCCCCTGCCGCGTGGTTCTTTTTCCTCTCATCTCCCCCTTTCGCTCCATCCCACCACCCGCCCCCCTACCCCGCTCCCCCCCTCCCCCCACCCACCTGGTTGACCATCACCCGCGCCACATCCGACAGGAAGGCCAGACCGCCGCACAGCGTCCCAAACAGCAGCAGGATCAACGCGCCCTGCGTGAACAGCCGCGCCCTGCGACCGCCCGCCCACTCCGCGAGCTGCTCATACGTTGTGAGGCCGGTGTGCGCTGCGGCGCGGATCATCATGCAACAGGTGGCGTCGTTGGCAGCGGCGACGAGGACCATGGTAATGACGCCTGCGGCGACTCCGGTTTTGGAGAAGGCGTACGGCACTGGGAGGACGGTACTGCATGTGAGGATGGGTGGGGGAGGTGGGGGAGGGTTGGGTGTGCGTAAGGTTGCGTGTGGAAGAGTGGGGAAGGGCGGATAGGAGGCGTCTGTGGCTACGTAGGGGCAAGGGCTGTACATGATGTGGGATGGTCGTTGGTTAAAGGCGTACCTTCCAAGGACGCCCAATGTGAGAGTGACTAATGCCGAGTATAATGCATGACCGGTGGTGTCTTTTCCAAAGGGAGAGACGTAGTCCGGGTCATCCTCGACGATGACCGCAGCATGCGGCCGGCGCTCGGCGGGTGGAGGTTCGCGCTCCCCGAGCAGCGGCTGGGCAAAATCCGCCATAATCCCACGCGACTTGTTGGAAGCGTTGCTGTAGCGGCGTTATCGCCCGAAGGCGACCTGCGCAGCGGTCAGATGCGGAAGGCCCTAACAATGGGCGATGCACGACGCCAAATATCGTTTGGTAGAGACGATTTAAGAGAATAAAGGCAAATGGGCTTGGGGTTGACCGGGACTCCGCCGACCGTTTGCCAGGAATGCGGGCACCAAAGCGTGCGGCCTTGTCGAAACCCGACTACAAAGCATCGTAACATGTTTGCAATGCTGTTGTTTAAGGCAATTTTTAGTCTCAGGGCTAGTAGCCAACTCCAAAATGCCCATGTCCTACCTCGAAGGGCAAATTCAACCTCAGTAAGGCTTACACAATTGAATCAATACAGTTGTCATTCACAGGACAGCTGCTAGTATGTGTTCAAGCGGGACTAGGTTGACAAGGGTTTGCAGCTTTAGGTTTGTTTAAGGGTTTAGGAGTAAATGAGCAACAATACGCAAAATGCATGCCATGATAGGTGTAATAAGGGAAACAAGGGATAATAACGTTGTTTGCTACATCCCTGGTTTGCCACCATTTGCAACGGCCAACGAAAAGCGCAGTACGACGCTGAGATGGCAGACCGCTGGCGTCCGTTGTGGTCAGCCGTTCAATAGAGATGAGATTGTTCACACATACTTGTCCCCGCGGTTGTACCGTTACAGCCTTACTCGTTCCAATTTGTTCCCACACTTAGTCCTTCCTTTACAGGAGCGCCAGGCCCATGCACATGGCCTGCCAAATGCCTGCAGAAAATCCCGGCTCCGATACAGAAGGACGGTAATCCCGACCTCGCCGCATCCGGCTGTCCAGCAGTGCCCGGGACTGCATGCATTTAGCCAAGGAATCACGATGAGCCCATTCAACAAGATACCTTACATACAGACATCACCCCGGCCAGCAGTGTTCATAGCCATCATGCAGGTTCACAAATCCCCTGCTGCATGCCCAAGGGGACATGCTCCTTGGCACATGGGCGAGATCTATCCATCAACCACCGACACAAAACCTATGAACTCGTAACATACACCATACCGAACCAGCAGTAGCACTCAACACCATACAAGCAAGAGCACCATGCATGCAACAGAAACCTAGCGTCGGCCGGACACAGCTAGGCAGGAAATCGGTACGACAGTAACCAATACCGATGCCAGTCCTGGCGACACTCTCTGCTGCAGTAGTGCAGTAAAGCCAAGTTCAGGCCGCAAGCAGCTGGCCACCCTTTCAGACAGGCAACGGTACACTCCCATCCAAATGCATCTTAATGTCGGCAGTTCAGGAAAAACCAAACCTTAAGTGAGGGCGAGACAGCGGGTAAGTTGGGATGATCAGGTGGCCAACAGGTCCCCTCGACATCCTGCCGCAATTCGCCAGATGTTAACCAGCATGCAATAGCCCCAACGTAGGCAGCGAGCAAGGTTCTGCTCCAGCTGAAACACCATCTCACCCACTGCTGCACACAAATCGACATTGACACAAAGGCACACGTACGGCAGTAGTCCAACTTCAGTTATGATGACCTTTTCCCGTTGGGGCTGAAAAGGCCTTACCGGCAACCACACCACACCTGCATCATTCCCACCACACCTGCATCACTCCTCGGCGCTTGAGGCCATTGAAAACACACAGTAGATTAAAAGTCCCAAAAAGACTTCCAAGATTTCACAATGTAGGCTTGCCTCAGCTTGCTTGCCACAAATCAGTTGGTCAGTATCGGTGTATGTCAGGTGTACACGTGCACGTGCGTGCCATGATACCAGCAGTGAGCAACAGGCAAGCGAAATGGCGGTGTGCCCAGCACGACTGGGCTGCGCTGCTGTGCACCTGAGCTCAAAAGAGATGCAGTAAACACAGACAGCCCGTTCTTACTCGCGGCCAGCTTCGGAACACACAGCATACCTGAAACCACAGTACATTCTTCCCCACGGCCAGCTTTACCAAAACACACATCAGATTTTCACCACGGCCAGTTCTTCCTAGCAAACGTCAGATTCTGCCGCAGCATAAGCGCTGCGGCTCAGTTCCTCCAACCAAGGTGCACACTGCAATCGTGGTTAGCCCCCCGGGGGACCTATCTAGCCTCATGAGAAACCAACCGGTTCAAAAACCATATGCGCCAACATGCCATTTGCGACAACGCAACAACAGTGTTAAATCTCCAAACTCTTAACAGCCACAGCCCAGCAACCTAACGAAGGGGAAAGCCTACCAGCTACAACGTACGGCCGCACCTTGCTTTCGCCTTCACAAGCATCCCAACAGGCTTGAAAAGCCGTACAAACACCCACCAAATTCCAAATGACCAGGCAGGAATGCATGAATGCTCTTTCCAAACCGGAACAACAGTAACGCCCACTTCCTAAAGACAACAGATGGCGGAGCCTCAAAGCACATCCGCATAAGATACACCAATCCATAATAGGAAAATACCGAAATGGGAAAACCAACACTTCAAGTACGACCGGGGCTGGCAGATAGCTGACAAGCCCGGACAGTCCAACACCATGCATAACGAAGCGTACATGGACCAAAATATTGAAGAATAGTTAGGGATTTCCTACCAGGTAAACACCGCTCAGTCCCCACACCCCCATTGCCACAACAACAACAACGGTAAGTCCATGGAACATACCTCCCAAGTTTTCCAGGCAGCAAAGCCCCAATTGGCACTTTCCGGACACCCCCATCCTTCTCTAGCGCTTGAATCACCCAAATGAGCTCACAAGCAAGCACGGTAGCACGGTAGCGGTATCAAAGCTGCTGCTGTTCCCCTACAATGCAACTTGTACATGTATGTTGTGTCCGCCGCCGCAGCTGTAGCTCATCTCTCTTTAATGAAGTACCCGGCTTCTAGGGCCGCCTCCAGCTGCTGTAGGGTCGAGGCATGCCCTCCTTCCTGTTGTTGCTGCTCCTGATCCTGCTGTAGCGACCTTCTCTCTTTCCTCTGCTCCTGCAGCAGGCGATGCTGTCTAGCGAACCGTGGGTCACGCTGCATCAGTCGTTCCTCCAGCCGCTCCAGTTCCCGTTGGATCTGTAACCAAGGCGGGCGGAACCATTACTCAAAAGGCGTCAACACCTGGTAAACTTTGATTGACTTTGCTTGTCAATCACAGAAGCAGAGATGAAGAGCTAAGTACCAGGCCTGCACTCCAGTATCAAACACAATAACGCTCTCCTAGGCACTGCAACATGAAATGCACCGCCGTCCCAAACTACTCCCCCAACCCCCCCGTACCTCACTCAAGGATGGGCGGTCGGAACACCCGGGGTCAGGCCCGGAGGACAAAGCTCGGGTTGGGAAACGTGATGACGCCATCCTCATCCCACCACCCGCGTGCCCATGTGGGTTGGGCCCTGACCTCAGACCTCCTGCACTCCTGAGCCCATCCACTCCTGTTGTCTCACGTTCCGCAGTACGACCTGAAGCAGCCTTCCAGGCAGCCAGGCCGGTATTATTCCTCAGAACCCGGCGGTGTATGGGCACCATTGCTGTCGTCGTCGGTGCCTCCCTTGCAGCAGGTTCACCCTGTGCTGATGCCTCGCATGTTGCTGGGGATGCAGGTATGCCTGGCGGCACCGTCTGTGTCATAGGTACTGTCATTGGCGGGGTTGAAGGTGTTGCAGCAGGTGTGGATGTGCTTTGTGGCGTCGTCGAGGCATCCTCACAGCAGACACGACTACCACGGGCCATGACGGTACTGGTACCTGCCGTGGGTCTGTCACATTCAACATCACCTGTTCCACAGTTGCTCTGCTCGCGCTCACTGGTGTTTGTGCCCCGGCGGCTGCCCATAGCCCGCAAGAGGGCAATGAAGGCAGACCCCAGGGATCCCACAGACGTCGTCAGCATGGTGGTCTGGGAGGTGGGCTGTGGCTGGTCCTGGGACAGCAGGGATTGCTGTGTCAACGGATGTGATTGCCACTGCGGCGGCAGTGGAGGCTGCAGGTGCTGTGGCTGCTGCTGCAGGTGCTGGCTCTGCCGCGGGCTCTGCTGCTGCTGCTGTTGTTGCGGTGGAAGAGGAGCAGGGGCACACAGCTGCCGAGCAGGTTGTCGGTGGTGTAGTTGTAGCTGCTGCTGCTGCTCCTGCTCCTGTTGGAGCTCCCCACGTGCTTGGACCAACCGTTGCTCAACAGCAGCACTGTTAGCATTGAGGCTACCACCAATGGTGCTGCCAGCATCACCATCCGTAACAATGGTGACGGTTGCTTGTCCGGTATTGCTGGCGCCGTGGGTGGTTTTGCTGGCCTGCCTCCGCAGGATTGATGGAAGCAGCAGCAATGGCAGCGTGCAACCACATGATGGATCGCCCGCACGGTCACGTGCGTCTGCAGTAGCTGCACATGGGGTACTAACAGGGCGAGCTCCCTCCTGCTGCTGGCCCTCCTGCTGCTGCCACACCTTGGGTTGGTACGGGGCTGCAAGGGCCGCCCCACCTTTACTTGCATCGGGTTGTGGTCTGTAGCAACCTCCACAGCTGTCTTCCACGGCTGCATTCCTGCTGGCAGTGATGCTGCTGTCACCACTGACAGTAGCGTTGGCCACCTGAAACCCAGCTGCTGCAGTGACCGCAGTAGCAGGAGTCGTGATAACCCTCGCTGCTGCAGCACAAGAAGTGGTTGCAGCAGCAGTTTCCCAGCTGCTGCAAGCAGCACACGTGGACACAGTGGTAGCATCCACGGTAGTGGCATCCGCAGTGGTGACAGTGTCCATAGCAATGGACGCAGGGGCAGGGCTGCTGGTTATAGAAGGAGCGGCGGCGTCAGAAGGAGCAGTGTCTGCGATGCACTCAGTTGCAGAGGTCTGTGTTCTGACAGCGGCACGCCCAGCACCAGTGCCGCTAGCATCAGCACCAGCAGCACCAGCAACCATGACCACCTGCAGAGCCGTCTTACAAGGGTCAACAACGGGCACCGAGGGTGGTCCACTGCCTGATGGCTGAAGTTCGGTCGTATGCCCACGCACATTAGCAGTGGTTTCTGCGCCTCCCTCTCCCGCTCGCCGGGCAGCTCGGGCTCCTGCTGTGCGTGCTGTGCTCCCCGGCTGGCCCTTTTGGCGGCCAAAAAAGACGCATACAGTGGATGGAAGCACCACCATCACCACTAACATCAACACCAGCGATGAAGCCAGGAGGGACAGCAGCAACACGGCCCCCGCAATGTAGCTGACGCCAGGACCGTGCAACATTCCAGTAGCAGCGCGGCGCAGACCCGCAGCAGCATGTGTGCCACCACCCTGAGCCAATGCCAGCAGCATGCGCTGCTTGTGTTGCTGCAGCTGGTGCTGCTGCGGTGGTGATGGGGAACGTTGCAGCTCCCGCAGCTGCCTCCGTGCCACCACTGCACGGCACTCCTCATCAGTGGGCTCCTGCGCATATAGATACACACAGAGGAGACATTCCAATGACACCTTTTGATGAAGCACCTGGAAACGCTGCTCCCGTCTTCTTTCCACCATCAGTTATTGAGAAAACATCACCAATGTACTGCTTTACACGCCTTATGCGTGCCCTACACTTGCCAGAGCATCAGGCAAGGTGACTGCGTGACAGAAGGAGCAACCCACCGACCTACCTCGTGCTGCGGCGGCAGAAAGCCGTCACACACCAGCAACGTGTTGTTCCAGTGTGTGCGGCCACCTGCATGGCAAAGCGAGGTACGACGCAGGAGCCAGGGCGGGCCCTTAGAGCGAGGGCAAGGGTGGAGGCACAGCCATGGGGCTTCTGGCATAGGCATGTGTCACTTCATGTCACACGCTACCGGTAACAAGCAGCAGCAGCAGCACCTGCGCACACACCACTACTATGCAACGAGTGAAATATTACACCCACCAGTCGGCAAGTCAACCGTCACATCCAGTCCTCGCAACACGGGGGAGCAGCAGGACTGTTGCCGCCGCAGCAGCTGCCCTTCTTGATGGCCGCGATTACCACCACTATCACTGCCGCTGCTGCCATGGCTTTCAGTGCTGCCGCCAACATTGCTGCCACCGCTGCTGCTATCACTATCACTGCCACCGCTGCTGCCACAGAGCACAGCGCCCTCCGATAGCCACACCAAGCGCTGCTGCGATTGCTGCGATTGCTGCGGGCGCCTTAACTGTGGACGCTGAGACTCCAGGGATCCGCCGGCGGCACTTCCTGGCGGCCCAGCTGCGTGAGCCCATTGCTGCCTTATGACGTCCAGAGGAGGGCATGTGGTGCGTCTGTGCACCACATCCTCCCACACGAGGCTGGACGAGGCGGCTGAGGGTGCGAAGAAGGTGCGGGGGGACAGCTGAGCGATTGAGAGTAGGTTGACCAGTGTGAGGCGTCGGAAGGTGAGAACCACGCCGGGGCCCAGTTGACACTGCGTTGCGGGCGTGGGGGAGCGGCAGGATGGAATGGGTGAGACGAGCGTCGGAGGTGAAGCACACGTGCATCAGAGCGGCAGGGTTTGGTGGGCGATGCGGACGTAGAAGAGACCGGCCAGTGTTGTTCATGGAGACATACGGAAGGAATGTGGAGCGGAGGAGAGGAAATGGGGCTTCAATGAGCATTTGGACTGAGGTTTTGCCAATGCCGCTTCAATTGGAATCACCAAGCATCCCACGTACAAAGCTCTGGCATGATGAGCACGTAAACCAAGCGTGCATAAGACAAGCGATATCGCTCGCAGGAAACAGAGGGTTTAAGGGCGTACCTGGGCATAGCTTGCAAAAGTAAAATCTAGCCGGGGATAGGCATCCCAGCTCCCTTTAATGGCTCCTTCGACGAGTACATTACGCTCCAACAGCAGAGGACCACCGTAAGAGGCGTTGCTATTACGAACAACAAACCCGCCCGCTACTCGAATATGAGTCACGTTGAAGTCTCTGAAGGCCGCAAGCAGCCCGGCATGGTCGGAAACAATCCGTTGCTGCTGTGTGCGGGCTGGTCTCGCATGAGTCGTCCACAAGAGCAACACAAGTAAGTAGACGATGAAGGCCTTAGTTCTGTGATAATGGCAAGATGGCCTTTGCGAGGCTGTGTCCATTGGTGCCCATAAGGCATGTGGTTAAGCTATTCGCACGAGGTTTGCTCATCGATAAATCCTACAAGAGCTATGCCTTTATCTCTCGCCATATATTATGGCCATTGCTCAAGCAAACGATAATTTGTTGCGAACGAGGAGCGGCAGCTTGAACGCACGGTTCCATTTCCTGCATTATACACCCAAGCCATTACAAAGGACCTAAATTGCAGATATCGAGCAACCGTACTGCCGATGTGTAGATTACGGGTAGTAAGCTGGGCTCCAGGCCGCAGTGCAGAGCCGTACAAAGCCGCATCACAGGATCCTGAACACAATCTGACACTGTAGACGTCCTGTTTCGTAATGGTGCCGCCATAGGTGCTATATATTTCATTGGTTACTACATGCAAATGGTTTTGGTATCGTTAGCGGTTTTCTCTTCAGGTGTTTCGCAGTGATCATGACTTAGAAAGTGATACAGCAGAATCGGCGCGCATATTTCCCTTAACGTGTATTTGTCCGGAAGCACGTTGCAGACGCAACGAGTCGAGATACCTTCTCTTGCAAATTCGCGCAGCCGCAATCCCCAATCCACAATCTTCCGACAACAAAGCACTCCGTGCTGCTTGGCTCACCTTCTACCGCAAGGCCCTTCCGTTCCAACGTTAGGCACCAAACATGTTCTATCTCTCGCAACAACACATTCCTGATACTCTACTTTCTCCCTTAATAAGGGCCATAACACAACTGCCAAGCCATCCCCCGTATTCAATCCTGATGTGAAGAGTCAAAACGTCCAAGACCGGTACATAAAGTAGCCGAGTGTCGACCGGGATCTTCGTAGCCCCAGCAGCATTTGGCGTCCATATCACATCCTCCCTCAACCCCTACCCTCCTTCCACAGGACCCACCATCTTCCATCCATGCACCACACCGCCTAACCCTTCCTCGGCGCCCCGTGCTTTCCCACCAACTCATCCCTCCCACCCTTCCCCTGCAATAAATTACAGTCATGGCTCGGTCATCCCCTCCTTCCACATGTATCCCACAACTCCTGCCACCCACAGCAATGCCTCCCCGTTGTGATTTGGGGTGTGCCGTACGTTCCTGCTCGCAACCAGTGTTCTCCACGCACGCGGGAGGTGAGGGGAAGGAGCTACCGGTTAAAGAGGTAGAGCAGTGTGTTGCAGAGTTCGGGCCAGCTTATCAGCATGTCACTGGGAACCGGCGGAGGAGGCGACAGCTGCTGGGAGCTCTGCTGCTGCAGCAGCTGCGGTAGCTGCTGGGAGGACTGTTGCTGCTGCAGCTGCTGCTGGGATGACGCAGCTGATAACCCAGTCCCCCTCCCCACACCCGCACCCGCCCCCGCCGTGCCCAGCCTCCACTCCGGAACCAACAAGCCATCCGGCCCCACCACCGCGCCCGCACGAACCCCGCCTCCTCCGCCGCCGCCATTTGTCGTACGGAATACGACAGAACCACCTGCTCCTGCCGTACCAGCTCCAGCTGACGTCATGAGCATACCCCCCGCCTCCGCTGCCCCCATGTGCGCCCGCAGGAACCCCACACTCAACACCGCCTCCAAATCCGCCTCCGACACGTCCCAGCCGCTCCCCGGCTGAGATGCCGCCGCAATGATGGCTTGTCGTACTGTCGACAAGGCGGTACGAGGCCCCGAAACCACTGCCGTACTATCCAACGGAGGCGGAGGTGGAAGTGCAGGCGCTGCTGCGCCGCCGCTGCCGACACTGCCGCTGCTGGCGTTACTGGCGACGCCAACACCAACGCCGCTCCCCGCGCCGGCAGTTGGGTAGTAACGGTTCACCATGTGGTACGGCGACCCGCCATTGCTCACAACCCCACTCCCACCCACTCCCCCACCACCCCCACCCAGCCCCCCTCCTCCTCCTCCTCCAAACCCAGTCCCAGCACCGCCCGCATATTCCTCCTGCGGCACGCAGCTGTAGAAGATCTGCTTGGCCTGCGGCAGCCGGTTCCTGAAGGCGCGCGCCACCCGCCCCGTCCTGTCCTCCGCGCGCAGGAAGGCCATCAGCTCCGCCCAGCTCACCCCCAGCCGCCCGCTGGCGTCCGCGGTGCGACCCGCGGTGGCGGTGCCCAGCAGCCGCTCGTGCTGCAGGACCTGGGAGCGGGGGGGGGGGAGATTGGGGGGGGGGGGGGTAGGAAAAACGGACGAGGCAACTAACGAGCTGTACGACAAGGCTTTACCATGGGGTCGGGGGGGTCAAAGACCATACCGAACCGTAGGAAGCGCACCAAAGAGATGTACCATAACCACAGGAAGGGGCTGAGGGGTAAGGTTGGGTGATAACGCCCGCTGTCCAAAGCAGACAATGCAGACCACATCTCACCGACCCGGAGGGCCCTGAAGGGGGTTGTTTTGTACCGGTGCAGGGTAGGCCTCAACGGACTGCCGGATCAGTCCGCTGCTGCAACTCCCAAGGTGAAGGAGCCTTGTCACATGGTTTGCTCCTCCTCTCTTCTCCCTCCCCAACTCCTCCGCCCCTCCTCCTCCATTGTTATGCAACACAGAGGGTATTCTTCGTTTCCCCTCCTCCTCTCCCTGCCCACTCCTCCCTCCCTTCCTCCCCTCACCTCATCCAGCGCCTCCAACGTGAACCCCCACTCCGCCACCACCTCCCCCAGCGCAGCTCGCAGCGACTCCAGAGGCACTCGACCGTCCCGGGGCAGCGCACTGCCACCTGCTGCCCCCCCTGCTGCTGCCCCCCCTGCCGCTACCGGGCTGGGGCTCCTGCTGCTTCCGCCTCCTCCTCCTGCCCCCGCTGCTGCTGCTGCTGCTGCTGCCGCCCGGTTGCTTTCCTCCCGCGCTAGCAGGCTGTAGCACATGGCTCGCAGCTCGGGACCGTGCTGGCGGAGGGCCTGCGGGGGGATAGGGGAGCGGGGGAGGGAGAGGGATAAAGACCCATGCGTTGAGATTGATGATGTGTAATGAGAGGTGGGGTGAGGTAGGGAGAGGGGTCAGGCCCCTCCTCAAACCCCTTCCTACCGGCTCTTCCTGCATCAAGCCACCCCTCCCCTCCTCCTCCTCAGTGTTCTCCTCCCTCCTTGCCCGCCAGTCAGTCAGCCCGGCCAAGTGCGGATTCGGGTTGGGCAGCGCTACATCCCTTTCACCTCCCCATTACCCCGAGTCCCCTCCTTCCCCTCCACAGTCCCCTCCTTTCCCTCCTGCCCCTGGACTTAGTTGTTTGCATTTCTTATATAATTTGCCCCTTCCCAGACCCCTCCCCCGGCGCCCTGCTCACCCTCACAATCCCCCCTCCCTCCAGCTTATTTGCTATCATCATTCAACACCTTGGGAATCTTCTTTTCCCCCTCCCCCTCCCTCCTCACAATACCCCCCTTCACACCCCTCCTTACCCTCACAATCTCCCCCGGCGCGCTCCTCCTCGCCGCCCGGTTGTCCCCCAGCGCCGCCAGCAGCGGCCCCGCGTCCTCGCACGCGGAGGGGCCCAGCGAGCAGTGGTGCGTGCGGCTGGGGCGGGGCGGCAGCAGCGCAGTGGAGCCAATACCCAGCTGGGGATTTAGGAAGGGGGGGGAGAGGGCTGTTGAGAATTATACGGAGGTCAGGAGGTCAAGAAGCTATTCGTACCCTCACAATAAGGTATACATTTGTGCTCTACCCAATCCCCGACCCCGTCCGTCCCTGCCTCGTCCCCTACGCTACCCGCCTCCCTCCCCGGCCCTTCCCCCCCTGTAGTTAGTTTCTTTCTCTTTACCCCTCCCCCCTCCCCCCTCCATGGTTCCTATCGTTGGGTATGGCCTTTGAAACCCCGCCCCCCCCCTCCCCCCACCTCCCCCCTGCCCCACCTCCACAATGCGACTGTTCTCCCGCAGCAGGCGGGTGAGCGCAAGACCCCCTCGGTCCCCGATCAGGTTGTGGGAGAGGTCCAGCGAGGTCAGGCAGGGGTGGCCCTGGGGGGGAGGGGGCGGGAGGTTGGGAGGTGGGAAAAGGAAACTGACAAGCGGTATGACGAGGCTTCACCAGGCGGGAGGTTGGGGAGTGAGGTGAGGGGGGCGGTGGGTGAAAGAGGACGGAAGCCAGCGTTTGCACTGGCAATGCAATTGCACATGGGAGGCCGGGGGCCAAAGGCGCGTTACCGGTGGCCGTGAATGGGGATCGGCAGGTAAGGGTGACGGTGCGCGTACGAGGAGATTCCCGCATGAAACAGCCCCTTCCCCACCCTCTTCCCCTCCCCCAAAAGGCGTGTTTGCCAGCCTCATTCAACACACATTGGGTATTCCTCTTTTCCCTCCTTTCCCCCCTCTTCCCCCCCCTCCCCCCCTCCTCCCCCCCTCCTCCCCTCCTCTCCCCCTCACCCTCAGCCAGCCCGCCAGCAGCTCCGCGCTACCGCACCCCAGTCCGCAGTGCGCCAGACCCAGCCCACAGAACGCCGCGTCGCCCCCCAGCGCGTCCAGCACCGGCAGCAGCCCCCGGGGGCCCAGATAGCAGCGGGAGAAGTCGTACACGTAGGGGTCGCTGTTGTGAGGGGGGAGTGGGTGGGAGGTCCAAAAAGACCATAGCAGGCCATGGGAAACCGCAGGTTAGGGCATAAGGGGGAAAAGGTGAAAAAGAGGAAGACCCAATGTGTTCAATGGTAATGGCAGGCTAGGCGACATGCTCATGGAGATTGGAATCGAATGGACGGGTCGGGAGCGAGGGGTGGGGCGGGGACATACACACACACACTTCATCTTTCGGCAATCACAGTACGTTTCGCCTCGCGGCCAGTTATTTTAACACACACGCACTGTGGCGTTTCTATGGGGACTTCATCTTCAGGCAACCACTATACGTTCCGACTCGAGGTTAGTTTCCTTAACACACACACGTACATTCCTCCCAGCCATCCCCCGCACCGTATTTTGTTTTCCATCATGGCGTTCACGGCGATCTCCACCTGGTCCCGCAGCCGACCCATGGGACACCCGGGGGGCGCCAGCGAGGGGGCCAGCGCCGCCAGCAGCGACACGAACTCGGAACGACTCACCTGAGAGGGCGGGGAGGGGGTGAGGGAGGTGGTGAGGGAGGTCGGGACGAAAGGCTTGCAACGCTATCCGACAAGGCATGCCCCCAGCCCCCACCCCTCACAGCTCCCGTTTTTTTGTTGTGCGGTCCACTGCTTTCCATCCCCTCCCCTCCTTCCCTCCCTCCTTCTCAACCACCTCACTACCCTTGTCGTACGGGATCACGTGTTGGGTCCCGGTTAGGCACCCTGCCGTATTCACCACCCATCTCATGCCCCCTCCCGCCCAGCACCCCCAGCACCCCTACCAGCTCATGCCCCCTCCTGCCCCTTCCCTTCCCCCCCTACCAGCTCCCATTGCCCCAATTGCTTTGCCCTAACTTGTGGTCTCCTATGGTTTGGTATGGTCTTTGACCCCCCTACCAGCTCATGCCCCCTCCTGCCCAGCACCCCCAGCACCCCCCCCCTACCAGCTCGTGCCCCCTCCTGCCCAGCACCCCCCCCTACCAGCTCATGCCCCCTCCCGCCCAGCACCCCCAGCACCCCCCCTACCAGCTCATGCCCCCTCCTGCCCAGCACCCCCAGCACCCCCCCCTACCAGCTCATGCCCCCTCCTGCCCAGCACCCCCAGCACCCCCCCCTACCAGCTCATGCCCCCTCCTGCCCAGCACCGGCTCCTCCCCCGCCAGCCCCTCCATGTCCGCTGCCGCCCCCGGGCTGAAGGCGACCACCGCGGAACGAACCTCGCTGGCGGGCAGGGAGCCCTGGGGGGGGGGGGGGTGCGGGGGGGGGGAAGGAAGGCATGTGAAGGGGGAGGGAGGGAGGAAGACATATGAGAGAGGCCAGCAGTGGACGAGCCACCGTGAAAAAAGACTAATTACCCCCTCCTGCCTCACCCAACCACGCACCCACCCCCCTTCCAACTCCCCTAACTCCCTGTTAACTCCCTTCACCCCCACCCACCCCCACCTGCCCGGTCACATCCAGGTAGTCGAACAGCGCCCCCAGCATGCCCTCCACATCCAGTGTGTTGTGACCCACGGGTCGCTGCAGCACCTCCAGCGCCGCCTGCCGCAGCTCCCCCACGCTGCCCGCTGCCGCGCTGGCGGTCTCCAGCAGGCAGCGGAACTGCGCCTCACTCACCACGTGGCAGCCGGGGGGCAGGCCGGCGGAGGAGAGGAGCTGCTCCCATGGGGTCCTGGGAAGGGGAGCGGGATGTACGGAATCGCGTAACTTTACACCGAAACCGGGCTGGAATGAGCCAGCTAGGCTTGGCCCTGCGCCAAGCTGGGTGTGCGTGTGTTTTGTGTCTTGGCCGTGTGTTAAAATAACTGGCCGCGAGGCGAAACGCACTGTGATTGCCGAAAGATGAAGTCCTCCCACCGAAACGCCACAGGTGAAGTGAAGTCCGTTGACTATGGTGGTTGGCCGTGTGTACGCGTGTGTGCTCTAACCTTCCCGTGTTTTTTCCTCCACTTGCGGTCTCTCACCAGGATCTTCCAAACCACGCGACCCGTTAATTGGTTTAGCCCCTGCTAAATTCACATGGCGACACACGGCGACCCCTAAAACCCATCCACCCACCAAAACGCCTTCCCCAACCCCCTACTACCCCAGCCCACCTTGGATCCACCAGCTGACAGACGTACGACACCGCTCGTGCCGCGTACAGCGGTCCCTCCGCGCCGCCCCCCGACATCGCGAACGCCGCGCTGCCCAGTGTGCTCGCATGCAGCTCGCTGGCCGCCGCCGTGCCGCCGGCGGTGCCGGGGCGCAGCGCGGGTGACCCAAGGGTCAGTGGGTACACATGCGACAGAATGAGGTCTCGGAGCTCACTGCAGGTTTGGGCCGCCGCGGCGCGAGCTTCATGGGAGTTGACTGGGCCCAGCGGGTAGGCGGAGGAGGAGGCGGAGAGGGGCTGGGTAGGTGCGGAGGGTGCGGCTGGGGAGGAGGTGGAGTAGAGGCGGGAGGCGGAGGCGGAAGGGGGACCGCTGGGTTCGAGTGGGGTGGGCTGGAGGGTGGAGAAGGAAGGGGATGGGGAGGCGGTGGGGGGCTCCGAGGCGGGGGGGCATACCCTCTGCCAGGGGCCCGACTGCATCAGGCGGACCCGCCGGTGAAGCTGCGGAAGGAGGGGAAGAAGGAGGGGGGGATACCAGGGATGGCTTAGGAGGAGGGGGTGGGATAAGATACGGGAAGGTGGAGAGGGGCGGAGGGGGGGGGGTGGAGGAGGAGGTGAAGGAGGGAGAGTTGAAGAGGGTTGATGTTTGCTTGTGCGTTACAGGACTGTCTCCACCTGGGCCGTTATTACCCGACGTTAGCTGCCGAGGATTGGTGCTAAAAGAACGGTACGCATCATAACCCCCTGGCAGTGGCAGTGCGTGAAACCTTAACTGGCAGGCGCGCAGAGCAAAGCAGATGACGGCCATCAAACAACCTACTTGCTACGGGTGTTGCTAGCCCAGTGGATACATGAGCTTCTATAGGATCGCTTGTTCAAGTCAACGGACCTGGGCTATCACAGCGCTGTTTGCTGGAACGCGGTGCCGCTCACATGCCTCCAAGTACACAGCCACCAGGTTTCCAGGGGGCGTTGCCCATCTGCAGCACGATTGCTAAGGCTCAGCAATAATGAAGCGGTTAAAGTAAGAGAAACCAAAATCTCCTACGGAACTACCACAGGCAAGGAAGAAACGAAGGCATGGCGTAGCCGCATGTTGGAAATTGATATCGGAAATTAAAGTCAGAGTACGCTACAACGACGCACCCGTGAACCTTGTAGCGATCGCGTACATAGGTTTTACTCCTGGGAGCCGGTGGCTCCGGCACAGCATCGTCCGGCGCAAGTTCGAGGTCCATTTGGAAGCCCGGCTTTTAATTGCAGTCACAGTGAAGTCACACTCATTTTCTGAGTACTATATAAACACATTCACTTGGTAGAGAGGCTCCAGACGGTAGCAAAAAGGGATGCCGGTGTTTCCTAAGCAAACGCTGCATGTAAGTAAGGGCGTTCTTCAATGCCTTGTCCCAACAAAGTATCTAACAACATACATCGTCTGCAATTGCCGGTCTGTAACTTCCTATTTGGCGTTCTGTCTCGTCCTGTCGTACTCGGCTTGGTCATCTATCGCACAGGATACTGCTGTTCCAGACGAAGAGACTTCTGTAGCCCGCTTGCGTGTGCGGATGTTCTACGCCTGTAATACTTAGCGTTTGTATAAAGCATGGCTGGCTCTTACAAGCCATGTGCAGGCAGCGCTCTGCTGCTGCTATTGGTTTCTTGTTACCTGTCACATATCTGCGTCTCCATCCGTCCAGCTTATCAATATAACATTAACGCTTGGCGACGCGGCTCGACAGTTAGCTCTGGTCGCACGGCTACCGCTAACGACAGAAAGCCCGGAACATTAGATCTGCCCACTCTACTGCGGGGTACCCTTTACGTCGTGAACGTCGACGGCAGTCTCTTCAAGCTGGCGCGCCTAGAAGCGGAGTCGTTCCAACCGCAACACCTGGCAAACTCTAGCGCCATGTACGCACACTTACGCAGCATCTATCCTGGCGAGAACGTGGGGTGGGCTTGGTATGCCGACACGTACGCGGAGGACGGCTGGTACCGTCTTGAAATAAGAATCGACCACGACGCGCCATTTCCTGATATCGTCAAGGCGCGCGCGGCGGGCTTTGTGGAAGGCAACTTGCAAGGGGCGCATATGTACAGGTGAAAGCGCGTAATTCAGGGTATGCAATTAGTTGAGAAAAACGGGCTCCGGAGCACATGACGTCGGCATCGCCCAAATAGCGAGATGTTTTAGATGCGCGGCCTTAATCAGTATCCAAGCTTAAATGCTTACGGAACGCTTTTGTCGCTGAAAACTCAAATTGATGTTGCATTCTGCAACAGTTATCTATGCTCCATGGCTCCTGCTCCTCATAGTTCAGGGGCACAGAGCAAGGTGACACGAAAACGCGCCTCTTCCGGGCACTGCAAAAGTGCCCAGCGGGTCCGAACCCATTGCACACCCTTGACCCCCCGCCTTCCCTTGTCAGTTTCCTCAGATTTTTCCCGCCCCTTTCCTACCTCCTACGGAGGACGCCTGGACTACACCGTGCGCTTCATTCGTAGCAACATCCAGTGCTCCGCTTGTTCCCTCCTCTTCGTTTCGTTTTCCATCGCTCCCCACACGGCGCCTACACGTCACACGTGTCACAGTTCGTTTCTTCTCTGTGCCCCGCCCAACCACCGGATTACCCGCATCTCCCCACCTTACCCATCGGTAAACCCATGTCACGGAGTTAGTTAATCTCTTCCATCCAACTCCCAACCACCAACCACCTCACTCAACCGCCAGGTACTGGACCAACTACCGGGTCAACGAATACCGCGGTCGCGGCGAGGCCCCCTCGCAGCAGTTGTACGACTGGTTGGACGAGCAGTACGACTGGATGACTAAGAAGGTCCATGCGGCCACTGGCTGGACACGTGACATGCTGGCGGGGCGGGCCCCGGTGCCGCCGCCGGCCTGCGGTAGGGGCAGGTGCGGAAACAGCAGCGGCAACCGCAACAGCAGCGACGTCGATGCAGGTGGCGCTGGTGCTGGTGGTGATGTGGTTTGGAGCGTGTCCGAGCTCCTGCAGCCGGAATCGCAGCAGCAGCACCAGCTACAACAACCGCATCCACGGCAGACGGGTCCACAGCAGATACACCAGCAATCTCAGCAGCACCAAGAGCAACCTCAGCCCCACCAGCAGCAGCAAGTGCTGGGTGACTCCGACCGGCGCTACTGGGCACTGGCGGGGCTGGTTGCGGCGCAGCTGGAGGGGCTGGCAGCGGGTTTCTGGGCGGCAGCGGTGGAGCCGGGGCGCAACATGACGTGGCAGGAGCTGTGAGAGAGGAGGGGGAGGGAAGGGGGAGGGCCAGGGAGGGATTGGGAGGGAATGGGAGCACGGCTTGCATGGGGCAGGTGGCTTGCATGGGGTAGGTGGCTGTGGCGACTGCGGCACGCGCGTGCAAGGTGAAGATGAAGAGTCGGGGAGCGGTTCTGTGTAGGTGCACGTTGGGCCTCTTACGTGCCGTACATCCCTCCACCCCTGCCGTACAGGTACGCCCTGAACGCCATTGGAGACCTGTATGAGCTCAACGTCCTCTTCCCACCCACCCCGGAGCCATCACCCTCAACCGCACCCCCGGAGCCGTCGCATCCATCAACCCCAGGCGCGGCACCGCCTCCGCCTCCGCCTCCTTCCTACCCGCCTACCTCCACCACGCAGGGAGGTGCTGCTGCTGCTGCTGCTCCGGGGCCAGCGGTCGCTGCGGTGAAGCATCTTGCGGTTGAGGGTGAGGTTGGGGATGATACCGGTCCTGCAGGGGCAGCAACAGGAGGAGGAGGTACGGAAGCTGTTGTACGGCAGGGTTTTACTCCTGTACGGCAGCACTCCCCCCCTGTACGGCGGTACAGTCCCGGTCACGGGGAGGTGGGTGAGTACGGGTACGGGGAGCTGCTGGAGTGTTCCGCCATCATAAAGGTGGAGGAGTTGAAGGAGGAGGAGGAGGAGAAGGAAGGAGAGGAACAGGTGGAGGAGGAGGCGGAGGAGGTAAAGAAGGAGAGGGAGACGGCAGGAGAGGATCAGGAGGAGGAGGCGGAGGAGGGTGGGCTGCAGCGGAGGCGGCGGAGACGAGTACGGAGCTTCTGGGCGGCTCACAACACGTGGCGGTCGTACTATCACATGGTCCGGTGAGGGCCGCGTCTACCGTGTCGACATTTTTGAACATTACTTTAACGTTAACATTGCTTTCGATGCTTTCTTGTCAAGGTGACTTTCAGGTGACTAGACTACCGGGAACACCTCAGCGTAGGGTTCCAAGCGCTGTGTCAGCCGCCTCCGCCCAACTACGCCTTCCCGCTACGCACCCACCCTGCATCCACCCAACTTCGAAACGGCTCGGCCCCGGCCCCGGCCCGGCCCGCTACGCCTTATCAATCGGCCGGTTAGTTGTTTCCTCTTTGCCCCGCCCCGTCCCCACCCCGCCCGTTTCAGGACTTGGAAGGTGTACGACCTGCCGTGGGGCGCTTCGGGTCCCCTCACCGTCTCATCGTCACCCGGACTGCTGCACTCCAAAGATGACTGGTGAGGGGCCGGACTGGTGGGGGTGCTGGGGTGCTGGGGTGCGGAGAACGTGTTTATTTATATCACAACCAGAAGTGAGGGCAAAAGACAAAGAAGGATCGGGGTTGGGGTGGTGGGGTGCAAGGGTGCGGGTGAGTGGGCTGGGCGCTAGGGTGTGGGCTGGACTGGAGGGCTTGGATGGAGGCATCATGTCTTCGTGTGTGTTAGGAAAGCTGGCTGCATGTGTGTGTGTGTGTGTTTTGAGATGCGCACATGGCAACCGCGCATGGGGTGCCTAATGAGGTGGCAAAACTCGTACCCGCACCCCCGTACCCGCACCCCCGTAAGCAAGCCGAGACTTCGGAACACTCATTTGCCCGGCACGTGTGACGCACGTGTGACACGTACGAACCGCGTGTTGTACAACAACAACAACACACACAGGTACACAACCGACAAGTTCGTTATCATGGAAACCACCAACGGTCTCTACAACAAGTCGTTGTACGACCTGATTCAACCGCGTTGCGTGCTGATGTGGCAGCGGGCACAGGTGAGGCGGGGCCATTCCTCTTTTGCTGGGACGCGAGCTCTTCGTAATGCTCGTCCCGGGATTGAAGATACAAACATAGCTGATGACCTACTACAACTAAAGGAGCACATGTGTTGTATGGTTGTTCCATGGTGACCCACGGGTCGCAGGAGCACCTTCCGATCACCCAGCCTTCTACGCTTCCCTTGCACCCTTCCCTGCACGTCGCCCCACTGCCGCGTCCCCTTTCCGGTCCCCCTCCCCCTCCCCGTCTTGCCCTTTGTGCCACACACAGCACTATCATTCAACGCCATTCATGCTTCCTCCTTACCCCCTTTCCCCTCCCCCCTCCTCCCCCCACCAGCTGGCCAACTTCGGCGCCCGCTCCGGCAGCGAGTGGGTGGACCTGTTCGGGCGCCACAACAGCGGCACCTACAACAACCAGGTACGGGCAGAGAAGCACCAAACCATAAGTGAGGGCAAGACAAAGGGGGTATCATCCACCCATATCGCACACAAGACTCCACAAGACTCCACAACTACCAGCGTGCGTTCACTGCGCCCCTCACACGGCCTCCCTCCTCTTCTCCCTCCTCCCTCCTCCTCCCCACGGGCTTGTCGCCTAGTTTGCCATTAACAATCCACACATTGGGTTTTCTTCCCCTCCCTCCTCTCCTCCCCCCCAGTGGATGGTTCTTGACGTTCCCCGGCTGCACTCGGGCCGCCACTCCGGACTGCTGTGGGTGCTGGAGCAGGTGCCGGGGGCCGTGAGGAGCCGGGACGTGTCGCAGGTGGGAGCCTGGGGGGCGGGGGGGGGAATTAATAATAAGAAGTGAAGCATGTGGGGGCCGCCGGGGGGGGGGGGAGGAGGAAGAAACTAACTAACCGTATGACAAGGCTGCAGGCGGAGGCGGAGGCGAGCCAACCGTAGCGGTGTGGGGCTGGTGGTGGTGGTGGTGGGCGATTAGGTATCCTGAGCCGCGAAAGCACCGTGGCGGGGGAAGGTGGTGAATTCCGCCATTGCGGCAGTTTCGGCGGGATTGTGAAGAATACCGGTGCGTGTCACGTCAGCAAAGGTGACGCGCGAGTGGCGTGTCGTACATCTTGCCGTACATCCACAGGTGTTGCTGCGTCAGGGCTACTGGGCGTCGTACAATGTGCCGTACTTCCCCGAGATCTACAACCTGACGGGCTATCCGCACCCCAGCATATACGACACCTGTCCGCGCGCGCAGATCTTCAGGTGGGGCCCGTGCGTTGCGACCTTTGCGTTGTGGGGAGCCTCCTTGATTGCCTTGCAACCCTTCTCCTTCCCCTCCTCGACTCCCCCTCCCCTCCTGCTGCTCGGCTCGGCTCGCTTGCATCCACTCGCCAGGCGCTGTCATCGCGGGGAGCCACTGCCGCTGCCACGCCGTCTTGTTCTCTGCTGCCCGCACCCCTCACCCCCCCCTTCACCCATTACTTCGCCGTAACATGTGGTTTCCTATGGTATGGTATGGTCCACGACCCCCTTCGTCCCCTCCCACCCTTCACCCCCCTTTCCCCATCCTCAGACGCGAGCAGGCCTCCCTCACATCCCGCGCCGCCCTCATGGCCCTCATGCGCCTCAACCGCTACAAGCTCGACCCGCTGTCGGGGGGGCTGCCCAACAACGCCATCGCTGCAAGGTGTGAGAGAGCTTAGATGATGGCGCGTTGCGGCCCCCGTCATATGCTGTACGCCGTATGCCCCGTATGTCGTCCCTTACGTAAGCATGTGTACGCCGTACACCCTGCACCCACTACCGGTATGTATCCCGTGTGCGCGCAGGTACGACCTGCCCGCAGCGACCGACCCGGCGGGTCAGCCGCGCAACTGGACGCGAAAGGCGTACGGCGCCGTGGATGCCAAGGTGGGGGGCAGCGGGTGCTGCAGTGGGGGCAGTACGCTCGCTTGCTGGGTACCTGCCCTCGCCTTGTCTTAGGCACCTCCTCAACCTGCCTTCCCCGCTCTTGTAGTTGCGGTGGTTGTGACAGGAACAGTTGCGATTTCTTGCTCCTGTCCCCCGCTTCATTTCCCCATGGCACCTCTTCTTTCTTTTCTCCCTCCCCCCTAGGTTGCTTTGCCCTCTAACCCGTGGTTCTGGTATCTTTTTTTCCGCCTCGTTCCCCGGTTCGTTGGCCTTTTTTGTGGTTTCACATGGTTTGGTACAATTTCCAGGTGGTGGACTCCGAGTCCTTCCCCTCCGGCCGCACCTACGTCATCAACGGCCCCACCTCCGACGACCAGCCGCCCTTTTCCTGGGCCGTCCCCGACCCGCTGCTGGCTGACATCCGGCACGAGGGCTGCGTGGGGGAGTTCCGGTTCGGGTGGCAGGCGTACCAGAGCATTGCGGGGCCGCGTGGGGAGTAGGGAGGGAGGGGGACTAAGTGAGAAGTGAAGCACAGCTGGTCTCAATCCCACATTCTGATTCATGCAGCGGAGGGGGCGCTTGAGCTGAGTCGCGGGCAGGAGGGACTGCAGGATGAGGAGCAGAGGTGGTGCGGGCAGGAGGGGGAGCCTGCATGAGGAGGAGGCTGGGAGGGGCGGTTGGAGAACGGCAGAAGCAGCGGCAGCTGGGGAGCTCAACGGAGCAGTGAAGCAGAACGACTTTGTCAGGATGGCACAGCAGGAGCAGGAGCAGTTGCAGGATTAAGACGGAAGCAGGGCGAGGCAGGGCAGGGCAAAGTTATGGCGTAAGGCTTAAGAGGGAGAGGGGATGCTTGCCGTACAGTGCTTTCGACACCACCATCGAAAGGCTTGTACAATAACTGTACATAAGCATAAGCTTCGTAAACCCACACACACATGCATGAGCTTCTTTCCTGTTATCGTTGTTGGGTTGATGCGCTGTAGCGGGTAAAGCTGGTCTTCATATCGGTATGAGGTTTTGCTTGGGTGCTGCTGGCGGGCTGGTTTAGCATAAGTCGGATTGTTTAGTTGGCAGGGTTGTTTTGGCTGTGTGCATGCTGCGCTACCATGCGTAGTTGAGCGGGGCGTGTGTAGTTGAGCGGAAACAAGAGCAAGCAGTTGGGATAGGTTCGCATGTGAAGTAGTGTGAGGTAACCAAACCTGAACCGTAACTCAAAAACTGCTGAGATAGCTGGTGCTGAATGTAAGAAGAGTGGCCGGTTGACGACGCATGTCGGTGATGCTGATGGTGTCGGGAAAAACTAATTACTACTGAGTACCTAGCCCGCTGACCAACTCGACGCCGGGAGCCCCCGCGCTCTGGTCACGCAGACGAGACACCACAATGCTGTGCATGCCCGCGAGTCAAAAGTACATGTGCACATGCGTGTGTCTCGTACTCGTACGGCACACGCACATCAGCTAGTGCCATGGCAGAAACCACAACCGAGATGCCTCTTTGATTCCGTGCACCGGTATGTCATCAGGGCGCCGACACGCTTGTTGCATACAAACCCATATCAAAACCGACACATTAGGACAGAATAGAAGAGCATGTACGCATAACGACATGTACGTGCCGCCTCCTCAACAGCCTCACTCGTGCATCCTTCCTTCCGCAGTTGGTGGCGCCAGGGGTGGTAGTGGTGCAGGCCTTGCATGCCTGCTTGCATGTGTGGCAACCCCAGCTGTGACCCGTCATGATGCACGTGTATGTGGGCCTGAGTGGGCCTGTGTGTGCAATGCCGCCTGCTGCAGTCCTTTCTTCCAGTTTGCACAAACGCATGCCGACAACCACAACCACATACACAGCAGCGAAAGAGAGAACATGTACACAGGCGCCGGGGTGGTAGTCGTACAGCACACCTATGGACGACATGACACGACTTGAGAAACCAGTGAAACCAACTGGTAATGCAACGATAATGTCTTTTTTTCTTCTTGCGCATTCTTCGCTGCACATTCTTCTATGCTCCTGGAACCAGAATCGGCTCTCCTCAGCGAAGTCCCTCGTCCTCTTCCTCCTCGCAACGCCGTTCACAGGAGCAGCAGCAACCCCTGCCAATCCCCCTGCACCCTACGCCATAAGCCCCCTCCCTCCTCCCCCTTTCCCCTCTGCCTCTTATATTCCTGGTTTCCTCCTCCTCCCTCCCCTCTACTTCTCCGCCAGGCACTGCAGCGCCAGGTCGCGCTCCTCCACCAGCTCCGCCTCCGTGGCACGCAGGCGCTCGCGGGAGGGGGCGTCGATGGGGAGGCCTGCAGCAGGGGAAGGGGGAGGGAAGGGGCGGGGAAAGATGAAGAGGAAGGGAAGAAGCATGCGCTGATGCACATATGATACAGCTGTGGAGGAGCGCGACCTGGAGGAAGGCAGGGGGAGGAAGAGTCATGGCCCCATGAGAGGAGGGGCGGGTCATGATGATGATGGCGTAACACCCAACGTAAACGTGCATATCCATTCGCCAGAAGGCATTTAACCACCACCATCCTTCCCACCACCATCCTTCCCACCACGGCCCTTCCTTTCTTCTCCTTCCCCATCCAACCACCTGCCCACCCACATCCCTCTCACCCACCCCACCCCCACCCCCCCACCTTTCACGATGCGCCACTTGCCCCTGCTGCAGGTGACGGGGTAGGAGTACACCAGCCCCGGCTGCACCTCGTAGCTGCCGTCCGACACCACCCCCATGGACGTCCAGGCGCCCGCGGGGGTGCCGCGCAGCCAGTCGCGCACGTGGTTGCACACCGCGTTGGCGGCGGAGAGGGCCGAAGACAGACCGCGAGCCTGGGGGGAGGGGAAAAAGAACATACCATAGGAAACCAAAGGTTAGGGCAAAGCAAAGGGCGAGAGGAAGACCCAATGTGTCGAATGATAATGGCAAGGAGGTGGAAGGACAGGGGTAAGGGAGAGGGGTGGGGGTTGCATCGTTGTACTGAGAGACTCCCAGACCTCCCACACTCCCTCCCCTGCAGCTCTCCCTCACCACACGCACCTGGCATTGGTCCTTCCCGCCACCTCCCCCGCCTCCACCCTTCCACCCACGCGTCTCCGTTCGATTACCCCCCTCCCCTCCCCTCTCCCCTCTTCTCATTCAACACCATGGGCATTCTTCTGTTCCCCCTCCTCCCCCCTGCCCCACCTTGATGATGGCGGCGCCCCGCTGCTGCACCGTGCTGATGAACTCGCCGTTCAGCCACGCGTCGTCGCCCACGGCTGCGCGGATGGGCTTGCCCGCCACCGACCCGTGGTTCACATCGGGGTACTGCGTGGAGGAGTGGTTGCCCCAGATGATGACGTTCTTCACGGCGGACACGTGCGACCCAGTGCGCTCGGAGAGCTGGAGGAGGGGGAGGTGGGAGGAAGGGAGAGGAAATACATGAGAATGGGGGGAGGGAACAGATCGTTGAGGAAAGGGTGAAAACACAAAGTAATTACACAAGGGTGTATTCAGAGGTTGATGCCGGTTGTTGAGGCTCATTCACAGCGCAGTACTTTTCCTCCTCCTCCCCTTCCTCCTCCTCCTCCTTCCCCTCCTCCTCCTCCTCTTCTTCCACGCCCCCACCTGCCCCAGCGCGCGGTTGTGGTCCAGGCGGGTGAGGCAGGTGATGTTGTCGCGCGGGATGGAGGGCGCGTTCTCCGCCAGGATAAGCGCGTTGGTGTTGGCGGGGTTGGCCACCACCACCACCTTGACGTCCTTGGAGGCGTTGGAGGCGAGTGCGGAGGCCTGGCTCTTGTAGATGGAGACGTTCTTGGACATGACGTCCTTGCGCTCCTCGCCCGCCTTGCGCGGGTAGCCGCCCACCATGACCGCCACGTCGACGTCCTTGCAGGCGGCGGCGACGTCGGTGAAGGTGAGGACGCCTGGAGGAGGGGAGGGGAGGGGATTAATATGTGATGAAGATTCCGCATTAAGCTGGATTATAGGATTGCGCATAGTCAAATTCGAGGGGAGGGGAGGGGAGGAGAGGAGGGTGGGTTGAGGGAGGAGGGTGGGTTATAGGAGTGCATGGGGGCGAGCGGTAGTAGTAAAAAGTGATAAGTGGAGGAGGGTTGAAGATGGAATGCAGGGGAGGAAAGGGCACCAAAAGAGACCAGAGGAAGACGAATCTACCGTAAGATTCGGCTTCCTCTGGCCTACCCGCTGGCCTACCCGCTAAGGGTGTGTATTTGGATCAGCGGGAGGGGCGTTAATTTGTAGTTGGCAAGCCTCGCTGGGACGGGAAAGGGTATCTTCAAGGCCCGAAGCAGCATGCGAGTACATGTTCAGGTATCAAACATCTATCTTTAGCCGTGGCGCCTAGAGGTTTAAACCTGTGGAACATTCACAAGGCACGTATCTTTGTCGGTTGGAACCTCATCCCTCCCATCCACCCAAGCCAGGTCCAAGCATTCTCTTACCCTCCAGGAGAGGATAGGCGCCATCCACAAGCTCCATCCGAAGGCCTTCAAGCGCATTCTTAGCGGGCTCCACGTCCAGCAAGTGCAGAATGACGGGCTGGTCAGGTCCAAGCATGGCACCGGTTGCCACTTGAGGGGCAAGCGCATAGCCAATCTGGCCTGCAAATGTATTTGATGTAAAACGGTGGCGTCGTTTCGTTTCGGGGCAGGCCTTTGGCATACAAAGTATCCAACGACGGAACGAGGGAACGGAACGGCCATACTAGGCATGCAAACGTAGCATATCCTAAAATATGAATGGAGTTGACAAGCCAACTGGTCGAGTAGAGGCTGCAAAAGCGTCACACCCTATCCAAGTAACTGCAAAGGCAACACGTTGCGGTTGCGCAAGTTTGTCCAGCTTACCCGCAGCGCCTGTGATCAGGACCCTCATAACCTTCTTCCTCCGCAGCTTCATGAGGTACTTCGAGCCAAGGGCCAAGCCCGCGCCTAGGATTGCAGCCCCGGCAAGGGGGAAGATTTGAGGCTTGGCCATAGCAACAGACTTAGCTTGCGTAAGAAAAAAGATTATGAAGGTGTCTGAGCATGCAGCTCCAAAGAAGTGTGGCGACACGTTATAAGCTGTTGCCCTTGGCCGTTGCACGATGGGTCCATTAACCACTGACAATGGGTCCATTGACCAAGCGGTACACGATGACCTCGAAAGGGCCATCTATTATCATTGTTACCCAATGCTGTTTCAGCAACCATGCTTAGCCCCTCAGCGCTTATTTCCTCCTTGGCTCGGAACAACAATGCCACATCTACAGACCCTTCACCAAACACGATACTTAAAGCACGACACCGACTGCATTAGTTCTGTGTATACATCTACGAGCTCGTTTGGGTGGCGCGTCCAAGCCAAAATCGCGTCCAAGCAAAACACAGGCGTATACCAGTCCCCAAAACTCCCACTTCCCCCCACATCGCAACGTCCCACATGCTCCAAACAACGACTCACATCAATCCAAAGCCAAATTACAACCACGGCCCATATCCGTTATCCGGATTCTCCGCCTTCGCATTGAACCGTGCACCTTCCATCGACTATAAGAGCTTCCGAGCTTCCGCAGCCTCACGACGAAACTCCTTTGCGCCCCGCGCACCACACGAGATTGCAACTCCCCTGGTTAAAAGACCCCTTTTACGTCTGCCAAAACAGCTCAATCTCTTCAAACACGCGTCCCCTCCAAAGTGAAACATCTCGATGTTCACTCAGTGCGCGAAGGTATGGTGGCACACGGTAACAATTCTCTCGTATTCGAGCACACCCAGAGTCCGCAAGACTTGCGATTCCAGCTATTGCAGCAACAGCTTCACACAAACAACCTGTCCCCGCTGCCGCATTAGGGCTGCAGTAGCGCACCTCCCCCCGCTGCACCCCACCAGCTCCCCAGCCTCGGCACCCACCGCCCGCAACCTCTGATTCCTCGGCTGTCCAGCCTCCTCCTTCCGTCCAACCCTTTTTAGCAACCCATTCTTACATACAATCCATTTCCCCGTACGACGAAAAGCTCCACAGTTCCGCAGCCTGCCAAAACAGCTGTACATAAACAAACCCATCATCGCAACGTCGCAGTACATCCGTACAACCGTACATCAAAATACTCAGGTCCGTGCACTTGTGTGCAGCGCTGTTATTCCCCCAAACCCCCGACGATATACTCATGTCTACCGGTATCTCCATGCACGCAACTCCCGACATAGAAGAACCGCCTCTGTAGTGTTCCTCCTTGACACAAAATCCCTCCTTGCAAACATCGCAATCCGGGAAAAACCAAGCCATACATCCACATCCACATGCGCACCACCCCACCCATCCCTCCACTCTCACCTACCACTCGCCACCCTGCAGCACAGCCTCTGAGCCCTCCCGGTCAACGCATCCGCACACCCATCACACCAGCCCCTACGCCCCCCACCCAGCCCACCTCCAAACCCCCCTTGCACTCCCATCCTCCCCGGGACCTCCAACCAGCCCCCCCACAACCCGCCCAGCTACCTCCGCCGCCCATCCCCCACCTCCAACCACCCCATCACCATCACCCGGCTGCTGAGGTTGCGGGGAGGCAGGTGGCACGCCCCCAACCTGCCGAGACGCCAGCCACATACCCGCAAACACATTCACAAACAGCGCCACCCCCAGCAACCCAACCAACCATGCAACGGCTCGTTGTACGGCATGCGAAACCGTACGGTGGTCCTTATAACGCACCAGCAGGGCCGCGGGGATGATGAAGCACATGATGGTGCAGGCGACCGCGCCCACAAAGCTGATGACGTCCCAGATGGAAGGTACGAATACGGCAATGCCGTACGCTGAGGCCAGCAGGCCGTACGTGCAGGAGAGGTAGAGGGTTGTGGACACGGGGGGAGCTCCGGGTGCCACCTGGGCGGGGGCGACCAGCTCCTGAGGGGGGAGGATATGGGTTGTTGTACGGCAGGGGTGGTATACGGCAGGAGGGAGAGTTAAACAACCTAGAGAGGGAGAGAAACGCATTCCGGAAGGGGAAGGAGAGGGATACTTAGCCCCTGTCATGGTCTCTGCTCAAGTCAGCCGCCCCGCCGCCTCTCCCCGTTTCATCCCACCCACGCCTTTCCCGCCTTTCCTGTTTTCGCATCACATCCCACCCCCAACCCGCCTCGCATCCGCTCCGTTTCCCCTACCCCTTCTGTTAGTCCTGTTGCAACAAACTGGGCTTCCCGTGCAACTTCCCTTCCCACCCCCTGTTGTGTGCCAGGACCCCACCCCTGCTGAGTTACACCCCTTCCCCATGCGCTCACTGCATGAGTCGGGATATGGGATTGGGACTCCGTTGCTTTTCATTTGCTTTCCCCCCACCACCCCCACCCACCATGACCGCCTGCCGCAGCGGGAACATGATGAGCACCGAGGAGCCCACCAGCGACGCCGTGTAGCCGCCCTTCACCCCCAGCGACACTGCAACCCCCGCAGCCTCCCCTATCAACGGCGCCAGCTGCGGAGGCGACAAGTTATTCAGGAAATTGCCTCGCACCTCCCGACCGAACGCCGTGTACGCCGCCCCCGAAACCACCACAAACAGCACCGTCACCAGCGCCAACGAAGACCCCACGACACGATCCAGTACGGCAGGACTGTACGGCACCAGCATGGATCGAAGCGGGTGTACGGATTGGTGACAGGAGGCGGCCGTTAGCAGGATGGGAACCACGGAGAGGGCAGCGGTGATGCGACTGGGGGTGTCGGAGCCCAAGCCTTCTAGGTCGGGGCCCAGGGGCAGCACGTGGGCGGTTCCCTTGGCGACGGCTGCCGCGCCCAGCCAGCAGGTCGCGGCGGCGAATGCGACGAGTGAGAGCAGGCCGATGACGTTGACGACGCCCAAGTGACCCATGGTTCGCAGGGAGGCGAGTGGCGCCAGGACGCAGCCCGTGAGCGCGGCGAGGATGAAGGGGCGACCCACCCACCACTGGGACCTGGGGGAGGGGGAGAGGGGAAAAGAAGGGTAGCCATTGGCCGGACGGGGGGCGTCCGGAGGGGAGGGAGAGCGAGATGCGGGGAGGGGACAAACGAACAAAAACATAATGAAGAAAGGAGGGGGAAACTGATGGGCTGTACGACCAGGCTTCAACAGGGGCGGGGCGGGGAGGGCAGGGGTGGGAATGTAGGGCAGGGCGGGCCCCGTGGAGGGTTGTCAGGTGTGGCCGCCAGACCAAGGCAACTCTTGTGGCCCCACCGCGCCCCCCCAGCCGGACCCCCAACCCCCCAGCCGGACCCCCGACCGGCCCCCGCACCTCTCCTCCTCCGGCAGCCATCGGGTGATGAGACCGTCATGCGCGGGCGCTTCGCCTGCATGCGTGAAGGGAAGGGGAAGAGGGGGGAAGCTGAGGAGCTGTAGCACAAGGCTTCACCGTGAGGTTCAAGTATGTGGGAGGGTAAAGACATGTGGGGCCAGTGAGGGGAGAAGAAAGGGGTTGAGGGGGAGGGATGATGAAGAGCGTGTTCATCAGACCTCTGGGCTGTACGGGCCGTCCTGCACATGGCCCAGCTGAAAATGACACCCACGAGCACCCCTCAAAGACGGTGTGACACAAACACACACGTGTACACCCCCCTGCCCTCCTTTTCGCCCCATTCGCGGCCAGTTTTCCGACCACCCTCTCCCAGGGCGGTTACACATCGGGCATCCCTTTCCCCCCAGGGCGCTAAGGGGGGGCAGGCGGTGGTGGTGCGCTCACCTACGAGCATGTCCCCGATGATGTCAATGTACACAACCTGCGGGTCCACATACACACATACACACACGGGGGAGGGGGCGGCAGGGGGGATAAGGGGGGGATACCTTACCATAAGGGGGGGGGGCGATAAGGGGGGGGCGACGCGGGTGATGGAGCCAGCGGGCGACCCTCCCTGCCTCTGCCTCCCTGCCTGCCTCTACCCCTCCCCCCCCTCATTCCCTTTTCCCCCCTCCCCACTCCTACTATGCCTTCCTCCTCCCCAAACCATCACACCAGCGCAGCCGCGAGCACCGGAGATTTGTTACGGTCTGCCCTCCCCCTCCTGCCCCCCTCCGCCCCCCCTCCCCCTCCTGCCCCCCTCCGCCCCCCCCCTCCCCCTCCTGCCCCCCTCCGCCCCCCCCCTCCCCCTCCTGCCCCCCTCCGCCCCCCACCTCGAAGCCCAGGCAGCCAAGCAGCATCACGGCCTGCAGCACCTTCTCCGCCAGCGGCCCCAGCGCCGTGCGCACCAGCCCCGAGTAGCTGTCCCGCCGCAACCGGTCGGAGGCGTACACCAGGCCTGGGGGGGAGGGTGCATGGGGCGGGGGGGGAGGGGGAGGGAAGGGGGAGGGAGGGGTATAGTAAAGAGGAGGAAAGCAATGGACCGTGTGATGTCATGTAGGCGCCATCCAGGGTGGGGGGTGCATCATGTGACGTCATGTGGGCTGCACCGTGGGGGGGAGTACGGCATGGGGGCCGATCCTTTCCGGTCATGGGTGTGCATGGGGAGAGTGGGGTAAACAAGTAGACGTTTCCCTTCCTCTTCCCTCCCCTCCCACACCACACGTTGGAAATTCTCCCTCCCCTCCCCTCCCCTCTCCCCTCCCTCCCCTCCCCTCTCCCCTCCCCTCTTCCCTCCCTCCCCTCCCCTCTACCCTCCCTCCCCTCCCCTCTACCCTCCCTCCCCTCCCCCCTCCCCTCCCTCCCCTCCCCCCTCCCCTCCCTCAACCCCACCATGCACGGTGAAGTGGGTGAGCAGGCCCACCAGCACCAGCAGCGATACACCCAGGCCCCAACCCAGCAGCGACACGGCGCGGGGGAGAGCCTGGGGAGGGGGCGGGGGTTGGGGGGGGAGAGGGATGCCCAAGGTGGGGGTAAAGATAAGGAAAACATATGCGGGGGGAAGAGAGGTAAAGACCCGATTTGAGGGGGGGGAAGAAAGGTGGAGGAGAAGGAACATATGAGGGTAATGGATGGGGCGCGAGGCAGGGAGTTGGGGCGGGAGGAGCGCGGCGAGGTGTGCGCCTGTGACCGCAGGGAGGCGTGGATCAGCTTGAGGAGGTGGCAATCATGAGGAGGTGGCAACCATGATAAGGTGGCAATCATGAGGAGGTGGCAAAGACGAAGAGTGGTGCGGGCACGCGGGGGCAGTGGAGCTAGCTGGAGGCAACGAGACGACAAGGGCGAAAAGGCGGTCGTGGAGGGGCTGAGCTGCACCGGTGCATGGAGAGCCCATGCCCCCACCCCACGCTCATCCACTCATCACATGCAAAAATTGTTTCTCCCTGACCACCTGTTTCACTTAATATAATATATTTTCCTCCCCCCCCCCCCCCCACCCTCAACCCCGGCACAGGGTTCAGTTTTACCCCGTCACCCTCACCCTCCATCCTGTTTCCTTCCTCCCCTCTCTCACCATGATTCCGGCTCCCAGGATGACCTTCGTGAGGTTGAAGGTGCACTCCCAGAAGTTGTGTTTGGGCGAGGGAGGGACGTCCTCGTAGAGGAAGGGCGAGGCGGAGTGCTCCAGGAGGGGCGCATCGAGCGCTGCTGCGGATGGACGGGAAATATACCAAGGATATTACCAGGTTGTGGAGGGGCGGCGAAGATATGGGAGCAGGTGGGGACATGAAAGCAGGTGGGAGGCAAGGCAGGTATTGAAGAATTGAACCATGGCGATGTCGCTGCAGGGTCGCGGGTGGCGTTCTGATGACAAGGATAGAGAATGGCATGTTCCTTTAGTCCGACCTCATGACTGCATATACTGCACTACAACGCATCTAGGCAACCCTTATGCGCTCATCCCGCCATATCGTACCTCCCGCAGCGCTCTCCATGTCAGGTCGGGCCAGGTCCGCAGCGCCCGTATTTCGTTGCCCCATACGACTAAGTAACAGGTAGTAAAGCCTAGTTAATGGTCAAGGAAAAAACACACCTTGTCCCAAAGGGCGCAGCCCTTAAACAAAGCCAGCCTGCGGCGCTGTCACCATGAGGAGGAAACCTTAATGTGTAGTGTTCATGTGTTACCACATACGCTTTTTGATGCTAACTCCGAGCTGGCGGCTTGCTTTCCTGACATTGCGCCTTACGCGCGCTACTCCGCACCGAAACCATATGGTGTGTACCTCCTTATAGATTTGTCGTATGCACATGCTTGCATTTACCTGATGCCGCATAAGGAGCAAAGTCGTATTGCACTGCTCCCTCCTTCGGCCCATTAGGAAATTAGGGTTATGTATTACTTGTCAGGGCTGCACTATCCACAGTTCTACCATGTGATTTGGTTTAATGATGATTGGTGCGGTCGGATTTTGGCTAGTCACATAGGGTTGTTATGAATAGTCTGCTACGGGCAGAAGTGAACAAGGCACCGAGGCCAGCCTGCGGCCTGCCTTGCAAACATAGCTGGCTCCAGCAGCCAACCTTAGCCTCTCCGTCTATCTGGTTATCAGCGGGGGTATTCACCACCTGCTCGTAAGCAGGGCCTGCAGGGCTAGGGCCTGCAGCCCTGCAGGCCTGTAATAACCAACTAGGGCGGCTTTTAAAATGGCCCGCTTCACCTTAGGTACACTGAGAATAAAATATCACGGGATGACCGTTGTGTTTTCTTGGCTGGAGCGCGACATGCCACACGAGCACCAGGATGTTGCCTCTTGCCTTGGAAAACCGAACATGCGCCACTTATGCGGTTCGGTTTCCTTGCTACGCTGGTTAGCAAACCTGAAATTGCGCTAATGGTGTCAAGGGTGAAGGGGGTTGTCGGGAGCAGCATCTGTAACTTTTGCGTACCTCATGTTGCCGTTCCGTGCCTGTCACAGGACGGTAGGCCGCCTAATTTCGTACCTGTAACGCAGTTGTGAGGGAAAGTATGTTTTCACAGGTGCAGGGGAGGTTAAGGGGTTTCCCATTCCAGCTCTTTACCCGGCCGCTTGACGGCTAGTGTTTATCTGTTGGGTGGCCTCCCCGCAGGGCCTGTAGCCCCACCCAACCATCCCAGATGGGAGCTGGAAGCGCATAGGGGGGGTTTCGCCGTTAGTTGTAATTTAGATACACGGTAACTCACGGCTTTCCAGCAGGAGCGCTCTCTCCCGCACACGCAGACCGGTGATACCTACATGGGGCTTTTGGACATGGTCAGCTTGTGGGCGTTGTGGCCTATATGCACCACGGTGCTTAGTTAGCACTCGTCCTGAAGTTACACTCAGCCCAAAGCGTTCTTGACCGCAGACATGGCTCGTTCAGCCAGCCATCCTGGCTAACCATCCACTCCGTCCCATCTACGCGGCGTGCTGGCATCGTTGGAAGGAAGATTATACTTCCCCTCCGTCAATAGCTACAAAGAACTCCGGCGGGATGTTTGTAATGCTGCTTTAATGGGTGTCTTGCCAACGCCGTCCTCAATGCACAAGGCTGTTCTTACGATGGGGGCTCTAGCTGCGCCTTAGTAGAACTATTCTAATTGTTAGTAAAGTATGAAAAAAGAAGAACAGGTTTGCACAGCATTAGGTAAAGCTACCGGTGTTGTAAGCTGGAGCCGGCCGACTGGAGCGCGCGATAGATATGTGATCAGGAGCCTCGAGGATAAACCCTCATTTTCTCCGCGTCATGCTCATATGCTCTTCCCTTTTGCTTTCGCACAGGTTATGCAGCCAGAATCATGCAAGGGAGTACTTGTTAGCTACTGCGAGCCAGTACGACATGTCGGACGAGCGCTCCTTGCCGAGCGACTATCTGTAAGAAAGATAGCACATCGAACAGGTCAACTGCAATCGAAATTAATTAGGAAAACCAAAAGTACGCAGAGGCTCCAGAATTCATGGCATTGATTTTCGACAGCGACGCGGCAGCCACCTGGCAGCACCTATGGCCACCCAGCGGTTGAAGGCCTCTTATAAGGATATTACGTTTTGAGGATTGACTGGCTAATGGTGAAAGTACCATAGAATTATGGTAAAATCTTAATGGGTGGTCTGTCACTGCTGGCGCACATCTTGGACGGACAGGACAATTTATGAGCACAAGGAGATGCTCTGCCCTAACCATGTTCGAGGCGTACCTTTCCTAAAATGAACGGTACAGAGCTGGTAACAGGACCTACGGGCAGGGCTACAATACAGACCCCAGGGCTAAATCGGCGAGCAAAAATATGGGAGTTGTTAACAACTACACTTGGCATGCCGCTAAGCACTGCAGCTCTCTAGGAATGAGCCCACCATGCCGGTTGGCGATGCCGTACAGTACTCTGGGATGGAAGGAAAAGTATGCATTTCCACCACTTCGTAGGGGATGCCCATTAGGGTAATACTATACTACCTACGGGTATTGTTACGGCGTACTAGATGTACCCTTATTAAGGAAGCCTTCTTCGCTAAACAACCGATGTTACCGGTACGCCGAGGAAGAGACGGCTGATGCTCTCACTAACATATAGTTCGCATTGGGTGACTGTTTTTGGACTGCAAACACTTGAAGCAGTGCCTAGTGCGTAGTTACTTGCGCACACCTTAGTCTCAAAACGGCGATAGCCTCCGCCTAATCGGCTTAAAAGTTAGACAACCAACGGGGTTACAACGTCTAACAATACGCTTTGTGGAATGCCGGAGAGCAGGTAAGCCGAAATGCTTTACAGCATTGCTTCTGTTGTAAGCATATATATGTATGTTGTCTCTGGTATGGAATATTATGAACTGCCAGCAATGTAATGGCCCATTTGCCGACCTGAATCCCTCCTTTCACTCCGGCAGGAGCGAGCTAGATAAGATGGGATACTTTCTATTATAGGGTTGCTTCCCTTGACAAAGCAACAAATTTGACCGACAGAATCAGTGCAGACGACGTTTCGCCATGATGCCTACAGCGAGTCTTCGTCAGGTTATTATATGCCTCATGATGGCGGGCTGGCTGTCATACGGGCCGCTGGCGACAGCTGCCGACGGCATCCAAGTCCTATTTCAGCCTTTGAGCAGCGCCAGTACACTAGATGATGTGGCTGTGCCCAACGACGGCTACACGGATAGGAATGCGCCTCAGCGCGTCGACTACCGGGACAGGAATCGCACCACGGCAGACCTTGGACTGCTTGGAGCTTCAACAGGAATGTGTTCATACGGAGGTGACTGCGACTTTTGTGCGTATAGGAACGCAAACCCCTGTCAGGTGAGGACGTAGTGAGGACCCAGGTCAGAAAACAGGAGCATGAATGTGGCAATTGGACAGCCCTGTGGAACTCAAACCCAGCCTCTACCAGAAGTAACTATCTGCCGCACACGCAAAATGGTTGGTTCCTCAACGCACATGTAGTAGCATAATAATCGGCCGCTTTTTGGCTTATTACGGAAAACCGCACCATATGCTTTCCACATGCTCAGCGCGCCCTGCCCTCCCAACACCATAGCAGCTCTCCTTACTTCTCCTTGTATGTGGTTGTCCTTCGCGATGTCTTTTTACAATCCTGCTATTTGCCCCCGCATTGTCTAGCATTTAGCATAGCTTGGACTCTTCCCGCCATTTTGTCTGACTGTCAGAAGCCTCCCTAGCAACCCTCAATTAACTTCAACCTTCCTCGCTTCAGGTCTTGGACCGATATGGGGCCAACACCACGCTCTGCCAGCTGCCAGGATTCCTGGGAGGCAGCATCTCGGAAGATACGGTGCGTTTACACGTTTTGCTATTGCCGTACACGGTCATAATTTTGGATCTTACCGTTATTCGTATACCGTGTTCGTCGAACCACCAGGGACCCGCCCTCACCTTTGCCCCCTGTACTAGCAAGAGCCTTATTTCGCTGCACGATGGGTAAGATGGGATGGCCCCAACACCACACCCTCACCCACCACCCCTCCCTCACGCGCCTCCCTGCCCCTGCTGCCCCTCGCAACCCTCACCCAGCTCTGTGCCATGGGAGCCAACGCCGACATCGTTGTCTCACACAACGAACTCGGCAGCACAAGCAGCAGCAGCAGTGCATCCGGGTCCAGCGTGACTGCTGCTACGCTGACCGCCTTTCGCACCCGGGACGGCCTGATGATGATTACCGTGACAACCCGCTGTGGCTGGCTGCTGGTGCCCTCCCCCGTCTCAGCAGCAGCAGCCACTGCCTCGTCCTCCGCTTGGAACTCGGCAGGCAGCAACAGCAGTAACAGCAACACCTCACAGCAGCAGCTCATTTTGCTCGAGGGAAATGCCACGTACAACGGCATGGCATTTCAATTTGTCGTGCCCTTGCAACAACAAAGCGCAACGGCTGTTTCAGCTGCAGCAGCAGAAGTTACTGAGGAGCGCTACAGCTGTTTCACCGCGGCGTTGCCTCTGCAAGGCCTCACCAGCAGTTGTCAGGCATTGGAGCTGGGTTTGAACCTGCGACTTGCGCTACGGCACGTGGCACTCGGGGTGATCGAGGACACCACCACCACAACAACAACAACAACAGCAGCAGGATCAGCCGAGGAGGGCGCATATGAGTACTACGATGATGCGGATGTGGTGTGTGAGACGTCCGGGAGTGTGCATGAGGCGCAGGTGCAGCTCACTATGAAGCCTCCCCAGGTCCGACAACGGCTCGAGGCGGTGGTGGCGGCGGCGACGGAGGCGGTCGAGGACTCCCTGCAGTGGCAGGTGCTGGAGCAGCAGCAGGAGCAGGAGCAGGAGCTGCAACAGCTCTTCAGCTACGGAGTTGGCGCAGCCGCCACCTTTGCTGCCACGCTAGACCCCAGGACGTGAGTGGTGGGCGCGGAAAGGGTCAAGTTGCCGCTTTTGGTTCTCTTTTATGTCCTCTGCAAACTATGCTTACTGGGGCTAATAACCAAAATTAATGACCCATGGGCCACCACTTGCCACACATGCTTCCCTCCCTCCCACCCACATGCTTCCCTCCCTCCCGTCTTCCGTTCCTCACATGCAACTCCTTCCTGAACTTCCTAAACCTTAAACCCTGTCTCTCGCGCGCAGCTCGGAGTCCTCTGGGTGGCTGCAGTCCCTGTCCAGTCAGTCTCCGCTGGTCTCCACCACCACCACCCGCCAGAGCCTCTCCTTCCTGGTCGGCAGGGTGCAACAAACCACCACCTCCCCTTCCTCATCATCATCGTCGGGTGTGGTGCCGCTGCTGCCTGCAAGCCTCGACCTGCACAATTGCGGGCGGCAGGCGGTGGATGCGGTGGCGGCAGCGGTGGTTGCGGCGCTCGCATCCCAGGTGGGGTTTTGGTTTCCTGGGAAAGGTCGAGAGAGGTCAGGAATGGGATGGAGCAGAGTGGCGTATCGTACAAACTCGTGGTTCGAATACCTGAAGGATTAGGGCGAAGGCAAGGGGGGGCATGCGAAGCGGTCGACCGTCACACCATCGTGTTTACTTCACTGTTTTCGATGTACTGCTGCGACTGATGCTCCGTCTGATGCGTTTTCTCTGCTGCTGGTACTCTGTACAGGGCGTCACAGACAAGCACGTGGCTGACGTGGTCTGCCTCCAGTCGCCCTACTCTACTGTGCCGGCCACAGAGGTGCGTGTTGTTTTTGTGCGCTGGGGCTTCCGAAGCAATACACAGCTTGATTTATCGCTGTTGCATTTTCAACTCCTGCCTTCCCTCTCAGCTTTCACCCTCTCCCTCTCCACAGTTGCCGCCCTGTGCAAGCCTGACCTCACTCCTCTTCAACGTATCTCTGGACATGCCACTCGGCCTTGCCATCTCCTCCACCGGCTCCTACTCCTCAACCACCACCACCCCTACCTCCAATCCATCAACCGTTTCGTACGGCACCACCAGCAGCAGTACGAACAGCGGTAACGGGACGGATCCTGCGAATCTTACAGTCCTGGCCGATGCCCTGGTGCTTGCCTCCTTTGCTGCTCCGTGGACTTGCGTTTCAACGGAGAGTCAGATGCAGATGGAGTTGGAGGTCCACATCAGCATGCAACTGCCCAAGGCACCGGGAGTGGAGGTAAGCAACGACAGGAAGAGCACAGGATGGAGAGAGCCCCTGTAATATGTGCTTACGCTTGCTGCGTGTGGGAATCGTGCATGCGTGTCTTCTAGCTGCTCACTCTACGCAACACCGGCAACCCCAGTAAACCACTTGCCTCAACGCGTGACCTTTTCAACTGGGCCGCGGAACGCTGACAATGACTTCTCCTCGCGTGCGTTAAGAAAACTGGCCGCGTATGTGTGTATGCTTTGCAGGAAACCGACCTCCTCGCCGCAGGCAACAATCTGCTGCCGCCGCCACCGCTGGGCACCTCGGTCGTGCTGCGCCCCCCACCGCCTGTTGCAGCACCTACCGACAAGCAAGGCAGCATCACCTCACAGCCGCCGCCGCCAACACCCGCCGCCGCCGTCGTCGCTGCTCCTGCTGCTTCCGCCTCCAGCGCTTTACCTGCGAGCTTGGTCATAGCTGTCGTATTGGCGTCCGTACTCGCAGCCCTGGTTGCGGTTGCGGCTTACTATGCCGTACGAAGTGCCGTACGAGCTAAGGCGGCGGAAAAACTCGTTTCAGCGCTGATGACAGGGGGTGCATTGGCTGGAGCAGGTGCTGCAGGACATGCAGCCGCAGCGACGGCAGCGGCAGGAGGAGTATCCGCACGTGGGAAGGGCATGTCGGCGTTCGGGTTTGGTTTTGGATCTGTGTTTTCTTCCCCACATTCGACTGTCGATGGCAGCCCCAATGAGGAGAGCAACAACAACGCCAATGACAGCCAGCAGCAGACAAAACGTGCCGACGTGCAGGAGGGTGCCCAGCTCTGGGCCTCTACAGGTGCAGCCGGTCTCAGCAACGACACTGCCTGGTCCACTGCAACCGCTGGTGCTGCCACACCGCTGCCCGCTGCGGGAGTTGCGGGGGCCACGGCAACTGTCACTGTTGTCCCCAACAGCAACAGGTTTGCCAACAGTAACGGCTCCTTCCTGCTTCGGTCGCATCCTGCAGCCCTAGACACGCCTGCACAACCGGAACCCAACCCGCAGCCGCAGCAGCCCCAGGTTCCCGGTTCGACCCCCCGCATCGACATTGTTAACAGGAGCAACACCGCAGCCACCAACAGCACCTGCAGCAGCGAAGCCTCATCGCCCATCTGTATAACACCCAACTCGGAACGGCGCGCACACCTGGCGATGACCCACATGCCTCCCGACGTCCCCGCCGCATCCTCGCCCATCTTGGGTTCTTCCCCAGCCTCGACCCAACCTGCCTCCTCTTTCATTTCCACAGATCTGCATACCGCTGACGCTGCTGCGGGGCCCACCTCCTGCATAAGCTCCTCCCTGCAGCCGCCGCCGCCCAGCCTTTCTTCCAGCACCACCACCAGAAGTGAGTGGCCGCCCAGTCCTTCCCCCATCTGCGCCATGCAGCTGGATGACGGTACCTCAGAGGCAGGGGGCACTGAAACGACCCTTGGGTCACTCAGCGCCACCTCGCAATGGAGCCTCAGGAGCTCCAGACGCAGCAGCGGCTCGCGCGCGTATGCAGCAGGCGGGATGCTGGCGCGGAGTTTCGGGCTGGCGGGCAGGAATGCTGCAGGCAGCGCAGGAGGCGGAGGCGGTGCGGCAGGGGCTGGACCCAGCGCTGCCGCAACTGCTGTTGCGCCGCATGAGGCCGCAACGTTTTGGAATAACGCGTTGTTTGACGCGGTATTGTCCGGACCTCGGGGTAAGAAGCAGACGGGCGAGAGCAGCAGTGTGGGCGGTGGTATCAGCAACAGCAGCGGGATCACGAGCATAGCGGGAGATACGGTTGCGGGTGGGAGAAGCAGGGGCAGCAGCACCAGCGGTGTGCAGCAAGTGGTGGAGGTGGGCAGCAGCAGCAGCTGTAATGTAGAAGATGCGGCTTTGGGGGCTGCGGCGGGTAGCAGCGGGGCAATAGCAGCGGCTGCGGCAGCAGCAGCACTTCCAGCTTCAGGCAGGGTGAGATCGGCGGGGGGTGGTCACGAAAGGCCGGTGACGATGTTGCGCTTTCCCTTCAAGCGACGCTCGCCGCAACAAGAGCTGCAGCAGCCTTATGCTGCTCCTGTAATGACCCATGGGTCGGAAGTTCCCGTCCCGCCGCCACCACCCATGGCGTGTGCAGATACCACCTCCACGAACTCAGCAGCCGCAGCAGCAGCCCAACTCAGCGCAACTGCCGCCGCCGAGGCCGCCGTTATCCCCACCACCCTCCCCACCGCTGCCGCCGCCATTTCCACTACTGCCGAGGGTTCCCTTGCATGGCGTTCGGCAGTCGCTGTCGCTCCCCTGGCAGCTCACACGGCGGCCTTCCACTCAACCACAGCGGTGTCAACAGAATCCAGCCCAGCTTCTCCCAGACCCTTGGAACCAGCTGTGGATAGCGCGCCTTCCTCCTCCTCCCGCAGCCTGTTGTTACATCGAACCTGGTCTCTACGTGAGCAGCATCAACAGGCACTAGCCAGGACCTCAGCAACCTCCAGCAGGGCTCTGAGTGGCAGGACGCTGCAGCAGTCCCAGTCCATGCAGCAGGGAAGACCCAGTGCCCCTGGCTCCGCATCAGCAAGTGTGATGTCATGTCTTGCTGCTAGCAGCAGCAGTAGCACCGGTGGTGACAGTGCAACGGTCCACGCCGGGCCGACTGACCCATGGGTCGTTCTGCAGCAGCAGCTGCCCGGCGTGCAGCCCTTCCGAGCCAGCAGCAGCAGCGGGTTTGCGGAAACAATCACGAGGGCTTGGCATGCCGTGCAGCTGGATTTGGAGGCGGCTGTTGGGTCTGAGAGCGGGGGTGCGGAAGGAGTCGGGCTTGCCAGTGTGAGTCCGAGCGGGGTGTCTCTGGGCGTTGCACTCAGCGGTGGTTCTGGTGGCTTGCAGCCGGCAGCGTTTGGAGGTCGTTGCTCCTCAGCTCGGCCGAGAGTGGCGCCGGTCGCACCGCTTCTCGGGGACGGTTCTGAGGAAGAAGGGGAGGAGGGCAAGTAGGAGGTGGTGAGGGGCTGTGGGAGGGAGGCGGGCTGCGTGGCAGTGGCCGTGTCCGGATCGGAAGTGGCGACATACGAAGGTGTGGCGTCATGTGGAATGAGGTTGGTGGTGGGTTGTGGAAAGGGTCCGTTGGAAGAAGAGGTCCGTTGGTTCTTGGCCTGTTGTTTCCATGGAAGTTGTTTCCATGGGAAGACGGGATGGGATGGAGTTGGACAGAAGTGGTAGGGGGTTGTTTGTTTGCGCACGCAGAGGTTGCGTGTTTGTTCTTCACTGCCATCCACTGCTCCCATCGACTCGCCGCGAAGGGGATCTCTTACGTATGCGCACCGGGTGTTATCATCGCTGTGTGTTAAAAACGCGCGAGTTGTTATACTGCAATCAGAACTTGATGGCTTTCGTGACAAAGAAACCGAGCAAGACGGTGATTACAAGCCGATGGTAATTACCCGTTACACCGTAAGCAATGAATCCTGTTGCCAGCTAGCCGCAAGGTCCGCCTCCCAATTAGGCTTCCATAGCATGTGAGGTGTGCGGCTACTAAGTGCCCCGACGCTTTATTAATGCCGGTGCCGGAATTTGGTATCTGTACGTCTCCGCTTTGACACTTTGTCTTGACGCCGGTTGAAGGTTCCAATGCGAAAAGTTCTCTCGGACCACTCTCTTTCTTTCTATCTTTTGGCGGCGTTTGCCGCTGTTCACCGTGCAAGGCTGATATCACCGCATAGGTCGTGATGACTGGTTGGTTGATGGGTCACTTACTCGGTGTGTCGTTGACTGACGCCAATGGCGCTTGTGCACTTTGTATTTGGCTTGCGAGGCGTCGTGACCTGGGAGAAATAGTCTGGAGGTCACAGATCAATTAAACTCCGACAACTCACGTCCGCGTAGTTTGCGGTGTCTCGTAGCTGTTGCATGCCTATTCATGATTGCGCCGACTTGGACTGTCCGCTATTTTGCGCAGTATTGACACCGTGCGTGTTACATGACAGCGGGTTGGTTGAACGAATCGGGCATTTGACATTGCAGCTGGAGCTTAAGCTGCTTGCTGTCTTGATGGGCAGAAAACGACTTCCTGACACAGCGCAGGGGGATGCACATTTTCATAGTAAGGAGATCTAGGGCACATGCAGTGCCGTACTTTTTGTGGGTCTGCATAGAAGGTATGTTAGGAACGACAGCAGGGCTTTGGTCGGTTTTTGAAGTCGGGGTCTTTGCTGGGGTCAGCAAGGTTGCTCCATTGCTTATGGTTGTGGTGATGGCGATGTTGATGCTGTTGTTGTTTGCGGCACCCGGCGGGATGCAACCTACTTTGAAGAGATCATACAGGGGACATTTGCTTGCTTGGCGTGGATAAATGAGGTTTTTTTCATGCGTGGCGGCTCTGGTTGGGTGTTTCTCTCTTCCATGTTGTTGGTTGTTTCCATCTCCGCATGCGTGCGTAAGATACACACCATGCATGCATCAAGACAACACGATTGACAGCAACGACTGACCAAGCAACGAGAACGTGGATTCTCACGCTCTCTTCCTCCCCGTGCTTTTGACCGACCTAGCGAGACCCCCCCCAGCGGCTGATACATGCCGCTGTCTAGCTGATGTCTGCGTGCCGTGTCCTAGAACGCGCTTTTCTATTTGTTGAGGGGTTCCGAGAGGCGTGCGGAGCTCCGCGTTAAGTTCTGAGACAATATCTTTGTGACGGGGTTGCACGGACGGGGTTGGTTGCCTGGCTAGGGTACCGGCAATGGTTTCCTGCCGACGGCCCGAAATGGCCGACCAAGGGGTTTGCATGCATTTGTATGAGACTTCTTTGGTGCTGTGTGGATGGAGGTTATCGGCCGCGGCTGGTAGGTCGCATGGTAGGACGAGGTTTGAAGGAGGGGTTGACGAGCGCCTTGCAATATGTCCAGTTCCGCAGGGCAAGCCGGGCGGGGCGGGTGATGACGTGCGTCTTCAGGATGTGGAATCGAATGCTGATGATGAGAGACTCGCTTATGGGACGTTGCGGCTGGCTTGTTGGGACGATGAGAGGCCGCGTGTCCTTGCAATCCGTGATGGCTATGTGTGAGGTTCACACCTGTCGTATTTATGTGTGACGGTTTAGCTTCGACTTTGGGGTGACCCGCGGGTCGGGATTCTCAGTGCGCTTGAACCTGAGCTAGTCCCTCCGCGGGGTGTGTGCTGTGTGAAGCGAAAACGATTGTTGTCGTGCTGCCAGGCTCTTGCGCCGTTGCCAGCGCGCTTTGCTTGCGCTGAGGTGCCACGAGCTCAATGTGCGGATGCTACTTTCGTTCCGTGTACTCGGAGTAAGCGCTTGGTGATTGGCGACGGAGTATTCAACACATGCGTGCTTTTTGAAGCCATGTGTCGGACTTATTGACCGTTTTGACGTTTCATTCGCATTCTGCGGTATTGTGTAGCCGGCATGGCTCTGTTTTGAGCTGCGGTGCAAGTTGTTTTGGATTGGAGTAGTTGGACCGGATTGGAGTTGGATAATTGTTGGATAATTGTTGCCCTCTGTCATCAGTCGTCCATCCTAGCTAGCACCCTTCATGATGACTAACTGCTATAGCGGCATTTAGTGTGTTGCTGCGTCCTGTAGCTGACATGTGTTACGTTGTATAGCCTGCACCGTCACGTCTGTGACACATAAGTGCCAAGGCAGCTCCCGGTAACTAATTGCGTACGTTGCACAGTTAGAAATACGGTAACAGCGATGTACGTACATGGGGTGCAGTACTGCAGTACTGCAGTGTCAAGCGCTGAAAGATTCGACATACATTGTGTGAGAGCGGCTGGGCGACTGGTATGTCTTACAAGCCCAAAGGTAATGCACGTTTACGTATTTCAAGGCGGGTAAAGAGGATAATGACGAGCTGTATGATACAGGTTCACCACGGGGGGGCTTCCTCTGAAGACAGTTTTCGTAACGCCCGCGCGCTGAGTCAGCGAGCAGGCAGTGCGGCACCTCTGTAACTGTGCCAGCGTTAGCTACATGGTATGGTACGGTGTGCCGCACATGTGTCCCCCCCGCCCCGTGCGTTACTGTGTTGTTTCCAAAAAAGAGCAGTTCCTGCCTCGTTACAGCAGGATGGCCGCGCAAACACCTGACAGGCCATGCATGTTGCTGCCATTCAGACGAGAGGGCTTCCAAGCTGCTAGCTGCATGGCGCACCAAAAAGAAGAGGACCCACATACCAGAGGTGCACGTCTGCAGGGAGATGCCTGATTGCCCCTCTCAACTTCTGCACTCGTACATTGTTTTGCTGACAGCACCTCAACGCATCAGATCATTAAGAGCAACGCCCGCACGTAACTCCCTGCTGCTCACAACACACGGACGCGGCTTGCGGTTACCCTTTATCAGCAAGCCCGTCAGGCACCCACAGTTCATCAATTTAACGACAAAGCAGTAAACATAAATAAGCAGTAGGATAGACTCAACAACGCAGTAAAGCTGTCAGTTAAAGGTAGTTATTAGACAGTTGGGCCTATCTAATCCCAGCAGATCGTTGGAGTTCGCTCGGCCCACACATCACCAACAAACCCGACCAGGCAGTAACGTTAACAGGATAGGTCATCATCATCAGGCTTCGCAAGTAAAGCACAGTGTATAAACGCAAGGGAAGGGGAGTACGCATGTGTATGTAGCTACCCACGCCCCAGCTAGCTAGCACCGCACTACTCCCCTGCCTGCCGGCCTCCATCACAGTCACTTATTATGCATGGGTGCCTCATCAGGGGTCCACTTCGGCGGTGAAAGCCGGGGTGAACCCGCCCCCACTCCCAATAGTACTAGTGCAACCCAGTACAGTTCACAAGTTTGGTGACAGAGTGACACTATCTAGCCACTGCTGGGCTATGGTGTTGATACAGCCTCTGGGCTGCAGGCGACTCACGCGGTCATAAAATATATAGGGGACACCGAAGGATTACCCCTTCACGAGCCCAAGACCTGCTGCTATATAAAAGTGCAAGTGACTAAAACACCTGGATACAGTGCCGTATATGCAAGAAGACGCACAACAAACCAGCAACCGTTCATCTGCGGTAGCAACTGCACAATACGGCGTTCGCCTCACGACCGACACACATGCAAGGGGTCCAAACCAACAGGAGTCATCAGTAAATAGGATCGCAAATCGCTGCCGTTCCAACTGACCCATGGGTCATCTTCATCAGTGGCAATTAACCCCGCTATGGCGGGAAATTGTCACTAGCATTGAAAGCTAGCGTAGCAACAAAGCAGGGAAGTAATAGCACCACCCAAACCACACGCTTGGAATCCAAAGCAATACCGGTACTCTCCGTAATAACTACAACGCGGCTTCTACAACGCGTTCAAACGGACCATCACACGTTAGTTCAACTTTTTACTCTTCCAAGTGAGGGGATTGTTTTAGGTAAGGCGGTTCGAAAAGGCACCCTTGTCCAGAGGGGTCAATTTTCCGTACCAGTTCCGTGTAAGCTTGCCAATCCGATGCTGGTTGTGACAAACCTAACCAGCTCACAACCCAGCGCACAGGTAGAACTTCCTTTCAATGCTCTTCAACTCGTAGCGTCAAGCGTGCCTGTGTTCTCAAGGCACATGAAGCTTACCCTACTCCCAGCGGTCGGCAGGGTGCTATCCAGTCGCTGCATGCATGTGTCCTCGTCGCCGCACTGCCCTCACCCCCAACCCTGCCAAAGGAACGCTGCAAGGCCTGAGTATACAGCTCGCCGACATCCCCTTCTTCCACCATCAGTAACTGTCGTACAGACTGTAACGGTTAATGACATTTCAAATAACATACCAGTTAACACACGGGTAATATAAGCATCTCGCTCCGCCGGCAGTGCCTTTCGTTCTGTCTCCGCCTCATCTTCCCTTCATTCCAACGCCCCGACGGCAGCAGACTCCGAGTCGATGACCCATGGGTCGTCAAGCATCCAAAACCATGGAAGCAGCCTGCACCCCAATGCACTGCTGCCCAGCAGGCTCCCCGGCAGGCTCCGCCCGGACTACTGCGTTTGACGTGGGCTGCTGCTGCTGCGTTGGCGATGGCGCCATGGGGTATGTCAGCAAGAGGGGAGGAGTCGGGGGCTCCGGAACAATGCGCCCCCTTGAGCCCATTCGATTGAGTTTTAGGGACCCCAGCCGCCGAGGAACAAGCTGCAGCTGCGGCTGCAGCTGCGGCTGGATTTGCAGGAATAATGGCGGCAGCAGGTGGGGGTGTGATGATGGTGGGGGTTGTACGGGCGATGTTCCCGTTGGCGGTCCCCGGGTCCCCGCCCCGCTGGGGCTACTGAGCACACCCCAAGAGTCCACCCCGGGTATTGGTAGGGGTGCTGCCTCTGTCGCCGCCCCCGGACTGCTTGCTGGGGTGGGTCGGAGAGGTAGAGAATCCAGGAGTGACGAGGCCGCTGCGGCGGATGGCTCCTGCTCGAGGGTTAAGGGGAGCCGGGACAGGCCGGGAGGTTAGGTACCGGTGGTGGCTACTGTAAGACATGCATGGCGGCAGTGGTTCATAATGGGGTTCACGAAGGGGTTCATGATAATAAGCGGATTCGCTAGGTTGTTGGTGCCGGCGAGCCCTTCCTACGTATCTACGTACATGAGCACAGGTGGCGTCAATAAAACAGCAGTTTGCTTACCGCATAGGCGGGGCTGTGTTGTGTTTGCGATGAGCTGCGTGAGTCGTGCTGCTGCTGTTGCTGCTGCTGGTGATGTTGTCGCAGCTGGGCTGCAAGGGACTTGGAGGGCGGCCGGTCTGCCACTTCTGGCCTTCCTGCAAGTGCCTCCGTCGTTACAGGCGTTGTTGTCTGCACTGCTGCTGCCTCTGCCGCCGCTGCCGCTGACTGCAGTGGTGTAGAGCTGCAGGTCTCGATGCCACTGCCCTCGCCAGCCACCAGGCTCTCCTCTGCAGCATTCAACGCCGCGGAATTCGTTCGAGACCGCAGGTGGAGAGGAGCTTTTCGGGAGCCCGAGGAATCGCGATCTTCAAGAGGTGCCGTACTGGTGCGGAGGATAGCGCCTGGAGAGCCTGTTCCCACTGCTGGTTTCGAGGAGGCGCGGGCCCGCACACGCAGTGGAGCTTGCTGAAGGCCTTGCTGCTGCTGCTGCTGCTGCTGTTGCAAGGGCTCCTGTTGCCGTGATGTGGCCTGGGCCGAGGTTGACTGGAATCTTAGCGCTTTGCTAATTGCAATTGCCGCCGCTGCTGCTTCGTCTGCGCTCCGAACGTTTACGCTGCTGCCATGGCTTTGGGCGGTAGCCAGGATATAGCTTTGGGCACGGCGTGGTCTACCAATTTCAAAGCCTTCTACGGGGCTGGCCATGGTAACGGAGGCACGGCGCCAATGGCCCGCGGGGGCGGTATCCTCTCTCCGCACTCGCGACTCTTGCCGAAGCAAAATCTGACGTCGGGACATTATGCTCCGGTCACGAACACCGCGCACAGACCTATCCTCGACGCCGCCCGCCAGAGCCATGGCAAGTGCCAATTTGTCATTGAGGTTCAGCGCAGCAGCGCCGCTCTTGCTCCCAGCAAGGTACAAGGCTTTAGCTCGGAACGATGGATCAGTCTCCGCAGGCCGCGCTTCTTTTCTGCTTGGCGCGGTGGCTGCGACTGCCACAACATGTATTACCTCTGCAGGGACCTCCACCTTCGGTTTCTTGCTTCCAATACAGTTGCCCATTCCGCTGTACTGTTATGGGCGTCTAACAGCTGAATGCGGGCTGACCCGTCGTAATTGTTTTTACGGAATACGTTGCACACGTAAAGCCCGGTCCCCGCGCTCCTTTAAGGAAGACAATGTCAAATTGAAAAGAGCCTTTATGGACAAGTAACGTAGGAAACCGGGGCGAATAGGCGATGAAAGAACCGATAGGAGGAAAAAGGGTTTCCATAAGAGGCCCTATCTCACCAAGATATGGTACTGGATCAGTTGTAGTGCTTATGTTGCAAATGTAATGGGCATGCCGACGCGCTTTGGATGAGAGCGTCGTTTGCGGCAAATCTTAAACTGTACAACCTTGCGAAGACGACCTGTCTACTCGACTGCAAGCATTCACCGTGTCCAAATTTGCTACCTTACATGTAACGTCACGACCCCGGCAGCGTGTAATGGTCAGCCGCCCATTGTAATATTACTAAGGGTCACGCTGTATGCTTTGCAGGATACCCAGCGAAATAATTAAACAACATCGAGCCTGTAAGCAATACCTGTTATCTAAAAACCAGAAAACCATGGGGACCTAGTTACGGAGCAGCAATGCACCATCCACCCAGTGCCGGTATCAGTTTTTAATACCAAGCTTAGCGGCGGATGCCGAATAACGTATATGCACTTCACCCCTTTTGCGCCTCCGAAGGAAACTGAAGGCGAAACACGCGGCATATACCGGTGTCACTTGCTCAACCATTGTCACATACCGGTAGTCATGCGCTGGCCACGATTCCGAAGCGGCGCATACGAGGTCAAGGTAGTTCACAGGCGGCCCAGCGTTTCTGGACGCGGAGAGACGCAGAGGAGTCGCAAGATCACGCAAGAAACATACCCACACACGCTTAGTCCTGCACCCTTATGCCGCGCAATGATACAGTAAGGGTAGCAGTACCGAAACACCCCATGAGTAAACCAGGAAGGCGTGAGAAACTGGCGCATAGGCACGAATCCTGACAACGTGTCAGGGCGCCCGCAAGCCTGAAGGCCCAACGTTACCCTGTTCCCATTGTATCAGTCAGTCTCAATCATTACCATCTTTGGCTACGCTAATCCACGGAACGGTGCAAGAATCAATCCCGGTTCTATATTGAAACAATTGTTTACCATGCTGCGATTAGCTAAGTAAACCGCGCGCGCGTGTGGTGCTTCTAACTCCGCCCCAATTTACAGTGCAGGCACTTTGAAGACCTCGGCAAGCCCTCCTTACTCGCCGTCACGTTAACCAACCATCAACTCCGAACCAACGCCAACCGCCAACTGCAACAACGTCGCACCAGACGCCAACCCCCACCACCAACATCAACGCCCTCTCATGTCTCCCGCATCCACCGAAGCACCGTAGCATGCGACGCCAGCACATACACGTCATCCGAGCAACGGAGCAACGTCTCCGCCGCCGGCTTCGTATACACGTACGGCATCCCGGATCCAGATCCGTACGAAGCTACGGATTCCAGACCATCGCCCAACATCCCAGCAGCACCCAGCTTCGTACGGCTAGCGCCATCACTAGCTCCACCAAAGCCCACATCTTCACACCCTGGGCTTTTAACGCATGAAACTCCACCACTGCAAGGGGCCGTGTGGCATCGGCCAACAAACCACGCGCCCCATGCCACGCCACCACTGCATGTGCCGGGAGTGCATCGGCGATGAGGGCGCACGTGCGAGTCAACGCCCACATCTCTGCGGTACAATCCGATGGGAATCATGTCGTACTGTTGTACAAGAACCTCAAACAGGGCGCCAAAGGTTAGGCAGCCGCTGATGCTGCTATGGCAGCTGCTGCTACATTTTGACGGTTGTGTTTCTAGTTGTTGCTGTTGTCGCTGCTGTTGGCTCACTGAGTCATGCCCCGGCGTCGGGGGGGCACTGCCTTGGTGACTGACCCATGGGTCAGCTGCACGCAGCCTGGCCTCCAGGCCCTTCACTTGGCTAAGCAAGTCCATGATGTTGAAAGAAAAGACACGAGCGGACGTCGCCGCTCCAGGACCGGTAGCAGTGATAATGCCAGTGTTGCTGCCCACGCAAGCTGCTGCGGCTGCGGCTGCGGCTGCTGCGGCTGCGGCTGCTGCTGCCGGAGCCTCCGGCAGCTGCTGAAACGCGTCCGATGGGAGCTGCTGCTGCTGCTGCTGAGGCAGCGGTACGGCAAACTGCCGTAAGGGATGAGAAGAGACGGCTACCTCCTGTTCTCGCTGCTCTTGCTGCTCCTGCTGAGGTGACGGCGTCGGTGGCAACAGCTGCTGCATCTGCGGCAGCGCGGGTAAGGTTTGCTTCACCACCTCAGCTGCCCTGGGTTGGCGCTGCTGGCGCTGTTGCTCCCCTGCCTGCTGCTGTCCAGGAATCCTGGTGCCGGCATTGCAAGTGGCAGCAGCAGCAGCGGCACCAGGGATAGCAGCAGCAGCTGGAGCGGGGTGCTCCCGCACGTGCTCATGCAGCGCGGTCAGGGCCTCCTGGTCCCAGCAGAACAGCATTTTGAGCAGGATCTGAAGCACCATGGGGTTGAACAGCGCCTGCGTGCAGGGGAGGATGTCAAAGGGTCAGAGAGAAACCAAAGCGGACAAAACGTCCACAAGTGGAGAGGGGCGGAGTGTTGGGGCTCCGGTGGATGGGAGCATGAGGGGATGGGAATGCAGCGATAGCTGCGAAACCGGATGGGTAGGAGGGAGGGGGCAGTCAGGGACAGCAGTGGAGAGCCGTCTGACATCATGATAGCATGACAGCCGCTGCAGGAACTGCAACAGCACCGGACAGGTCCGAGAGCATTCAAACCGGCGTCCGGGCTATACACTTTGCAAGGAGCTAAAGAGATGAGCAATATACAGGCTCGGGGCTTAGTACCTGAGACGGGAAGTAGATATGGCCAGGACACAGCAAGACCAGGGAACTTCCCCGGTTGCCCAAAAACAAGCTTCCAAGCAAGACCTCCCCCCACCTCGTCATGATGACGCCATATGACACGGTCAGTTGGTTGTTTCCTCTTTACCCACCCCCACCCCCACCCCACCTGGCAGGTCAGGGCGTCCATGAAGCCAAGCATGAGGATGCGTCCGGGCGCCAGCGAGGGCGAGAGGTGCGGCATACGAGACAGCAGGAGGCGCACAAGGGCCTCCTGGCGAGCGAGGCTGGCTCGGGCCGGCCTGGGTGGGGGTATACGGCAGGGCGTCATAACAACCCCTCTCTCGGGGTCTGTGGCACTGTACGGAACACTGTCACCTGGGTATCAGGTACAACTTTTTGTAACACTGCTGTATACTCACCACCCGTGTGCTTGACGCTTCCGATTGCTGCATCGCATGCATGCATGCCAGACCAAGTGTCACGCGATCCATGAAACCGCATGCGGCATGTGGCTGGGTGCATCGTGCAAGCGGCCGCAGCGCCTGTTCGAGAGTGCGCGTGCATGGGCGAGAGGCGTGTTAGACAAGAGGTGCGAGATAGAGACGGGAGGTGTGTTGGTAGTACCTGGGCTTCTCATTTCCTTGGCTCCAGCCACCATCACCACCACCAGTAGCATCAAGAGTAGCATCACCTCCTTCCCCAGCAGGCTCCAGCAGCATCCTAGGTCGGGCGAGAAGCGCCGCCTCACGTGGCCCCTCAGCCGTCAGCCGCACCAGCTGACGGACCCACGGGTCGCTGCCGGCAGCGCCGCCGCCGCCACCGCCCGTGTAGGGCCCCTCAGGCAGGCACAGCGGCAGCAGGTAGCTGCAGGAGAGCTGCGACAGCACCTCCGCCACAATGTCCAGCCGACATCCCACCTGTTGGTTGGTTTGGGGTTGGGTACCAGTTGGTTTGGTACCGGTAGACACACACTAAAACCCTAAAACCTTAAGTTCTATCTTTGTTCCTTACCGACGTATATGTAACGTATATGTATTATATCATTTATATGTAACGTACACGTGTAGGACAGCGACACGGAGGACTGAGGCGAACATCGGCGATATGCTCCTGTGAAACGTTGCCTGCCTGCCTGCCTGCCTTCCTGCATGCATGCATGCATGCACTCACGCATGCATATGGGCATACATCCCCTTCCCCACCTTGTCGCAGTGCCGCCGCAGCGCCTGCGCCACCAGCAGCACCCGGCTGTCCCCCAGGGCGGGAGCTGCGCCCTCGGCCGCCTCGCCGGTGTAGGCGTCCGTGCTGGGCACAATGAGCGCGGTGACCTGAGGGGCGACCCGTGATGGTGTGGGAGGGTTGAGTTGATGCATTGATGACCCATGGGTCGGTGTGGGGAAAATGAAGCATCTCTCGTTTACGTACGCGGAAAGGATTCAGGCGGGTCAGGTACTCACACTGTTGGTAGCACTGTATTAACAGGATGGGTCAAGACTGCGACCTTCGCTCCCGGCATAGCGGCAACTCCTCTTCGTTCTCTTCCCCATCCCCTTCCCCCCTTATTACCTCCCCTCCGGGCTGCAGGTTGAGTCTCGCCAGGTCCTCCTCCTCCGCGGGGTCCCCCCGCACGACGAAGATGCGGTGGGGGCGGGCGCCCGGAACCTGGGACACGGCGGACAGCATGCCCTCACTCAGGGCAGCCTGCGGATGGGGGCAGAGAGGATGAGGAGCTGAAGACAGGGGTCAGGGTTGGGAGATAAGGAAGTAATTTAAACGATAGAAAGATGGAGGAGGGTGGAAGGAAGGAAGGTGGAAAAGCAGGTATCTGCCAAAGTACGGCACCTAGGCGCCCACGCTCGCGCAATGCAGATCACGAGATCAGGGCAGGCCGCGATGCTGATTGTGCGAAAGCAACCGAGCCGCTTGACAGTGCTGACCAATGCGGTCGTCCGGTGCGAGTGTTAAGAAAACTGGCCGCGAGTCGGAACGTAGTGCGTATTTCTCTGTCACCCCCCCCCGGGCTCGCACCTTGTAGGGGTTATGCGGGCTGCTCCTGCTGTCATCCAGGATTACTATGGAGCAGCTGTGGAGGTGTGCGGAGCGGCCTGGGGGTGGCAGGTGGGACGGTACACGAGACGTCTCAGCAGTGTTAGCGGTTGTGGCCGGGGATTGGGATTGGGAGGATGGTCATGGCAACAAGAATTCATAACGCATGGAAAAGGGGCGGGATGCGAGATTGGGCAACCCCCATACCAAAACGCATCCCAACATGAGGACGAGTGCGGTAGGGCAGCCGGGCACGGAGGAGGGGAGCGCATGTTACTGAGGGCGGGGAAGGGAGAAAGGCCGTCAGAAGGCACACAAGGGAGGCCTTGCAGACGTACCTACGGATGTACGACGTACCTACGGATGTACGACGTACCTACGGTTGTACGACGTACCTACGGTTGTACAACGCACCTCACCTACGGGTGCCGCACGGATGGCCGCTACCAGGCAGTCCAGCTGGCTGAAGCAGCTGCTGCCCACCAGCAGCACGGCGGGGGAGCCCAGCTGCCCCCCGCTGCTGCGCCCCACAAAGGTATCCACAACGCGGGGGCGGCTGCAGGGCACCTGGCCGCTAACAGCAGCAGCAGCAGGGCCGCCGCAGCCGCCTTGCTCCTGCTGCTGTGGCTGCGGACGCTGCTGATGCGGTTGAGGGAAGGAGGGCGATGAGGGGTAACGGTGGTTGTCGGAGATGGTGGCATCGCGAGCAGCCCCCCCTGTGCCTCCAGCTGCTGCCTCTTCGACTGCTGCTCCCGCTCCCGCTTCTGTTCTCGGTGCTGCTGCTGCTGCTGCTGCTCCTTCCCTAGCTGCTGCAGGGCTGGCAGAGCGAGCGAGTGAGGAGGCGGGTGAGGTGAGGCCACTCAAGGACGCGGCGTTCATCGCCGCCAGGGGGTGCAGATCCTCCGGACGTACGGCGGCACGCAAACGCTGCTGTCGTACAGTCGTCGTACGGCGGGGAGAGCGGGGAGACTGGGGAGAACCGCGTGTGAGGGTCCGTGTGAAGATGGGTACGGCACGCGTTCTGGGGGGCATGTCGCGTGACAAGCTCATGTGAGGGCAGCCACCTGGGGGGACTTCAATTTCAACTTTTTGGGTAATGTTGGGGCTGCTGTTGAAGCCGTCAAGGCCGATTGCTTGGTGGTTGGTTTCGGAGCTTGATGCAACAAGTACGGCAGTTCGGCGGTCACCGTCCGTGCTGGGGGTGATGACGTCAGGGGTAATGACAGCGGCGGCGGTGGCAGTGGCGGTGGCGGTAACAACGAGGGCCTCAGTTGCGGCTGAACCGCAGGATCGCGGGAAGGTGTCGGAGGAGGAGAGGTGCGGGGCAGCGGCGGCTGCTGCTGCGACGCCGGCGGCGGGGTTGCTGCTGCTGACCTCGTGTGTATGCCCAAGTGTAGGGCGGGAGGTGACATCGAGGGGGGTACCCGGCGGGGTGGGGCGCTGCGGGTTGCGGCGGTGGATCCGGGCTGTGCCAGGGGGGCCGGCTGGGGCGGTAGCAGGAGTGGCAGCAGCAGCAGCAGTACGGGAGCTGGGGAAGCAGCCGCCCTCCTTGCAAGGCGCGTTTGCCTGAACCCTGCATGCGTGGGCGAGGGGGTCTACGTGAGCCAGGGAGTTCACGTGAGCGAGGGGTTCAGCCAGGTTCAGGGCAGCTTCTAATCCGGCGGTCCTTCACCGACGGGACGATGTTGAGGACAGGAAGCCCCTTGCATGAAGCGCATCCGGTCACCCCGCACACAGTCGCTGCATACAGTCAACTCCCCCCCAAGACCCCAAGACCCCACCACTCAACACAGGACATGACAGCAGCAGCCCAGCACCAAGCGTTGTCTCTCCATACGTGCCCCGCTACACGTGTATCCCCACCATTCACTCCCCGAGGACCCCAACCGCCCCACCACTCACTGGATGCGAACCTCCCTTCTCGGCTCCAGCGCCGCTGACTCGCCCCAGCAGCTGCCACCACAAGCAGCACCGCCGCTGCCACAACGGCCGCCGCTGCCGCCATCCACACTGCTGTCACCACCACCACCACCACAAGCACCACCACCACTGCCGCCGCTGCCGGTACCCAGCACCAGGGCATCCTCACTCAGGATGTAGCCCAGCGTGTGCGGCTGGATGCGCACGTCCATGGCCACCTGCTCCGGTGGTGGCTGGCCGCCAGACGCAGCAGCAGCAGCATCAGGACCAGCTAGCTCGGCAAAGGGAGCCAGCTTGACGTCAAAGCTGCTCGTGGGAAAGCAAGGTGTTGGCATAGATAGTTAGTCATCAGTGGGCCGGCGGTACGTTTTTGGTGGCGTACACACTTGCATACCCGTAAACCGGTAATACTGCTGAAAAGGGGCGCTATTGATGACCTGGGGCCGACCTTTGCAGCCCGTGTGGGCGTAGGAGGGCAAGCGGTGAAGGGCAGCAGAGGCCCCCTTCCTTCCCACCTATTATAACTTCAGTGACATGTTTTCTGATGCGGTAGTAGTAGCAGAGCAGGACCACCACCACCACCACCACCATCAACCGCTTCCCATTCCACCCCAAAAAAACACTCCCGCCTTCACCCTCAGGGGTTATGACTATCCCGTGCACAACCAACCTAAGAGCATAACACACACACACACACACACAGTTTTCTTAACACACATTCACAGCGTGGTGCGGGCCCCTCTCTCTCAGCTTACCGCTCCTCCACCTCCTCCTCCCCTCCGGCCCCCTGCACCGCATGGGGGGAGCGCAGCCCAATCAGCACCACACGCTCCTCCCGCCACAGCTTCAGCGCTGCGGCCCTGAAGGAGCGCCCCCAGTAGGGCTGTGCAGGGGGGAGGGGGGAATACGTGAGAAGTGAAGCAACTGGAGTCCCAATCCCATATCCCGGCCGCGGGTGGCGGCGGCATGATGAGCAGCAGCTGTGTGTTTTGTTACCCCACGCTCACCCCCGGGAACGTGACCTCGTGTATGTGCGTGGCGGCTCCATGCAGGTACTCGGGCAGCCAGCCGCAGTCGGTCAGCTGGGGGGTGCGGAGGGGGGAGGGAGGGGGGAGGGAGGGGCAATTGATAGAGCCTGGAAATTCCACATATGAGGGATGGCGAAAGGAAGGGGAGGAAGAGGAGGCAGGCAGCGCAGAAGCGCAGGCGGGCGGGGCGGTGTTAAGAGCAAAGGAAGAAGGCCATATGCGTTCGTTCCTAAGCAACTCCCAGCCCCTCTCCTTGCCCCTACTCGCCCCTGCTTCCCCTCTTCCGCTTCGCTCCCTCTCCCGGCCCACCCCTCGCACCATGCTGAGGTCCTCCTGCCCGCCCCCCAGCCGCCCCCGCCGCATGCGCGCGCTGACGCACAGGTTGCCCAGCAGCGCCGCCAGCCCCGGGGTGTGCAGGCAGCCGCCCAGCAGGCCGGCGCGCAGGGAGCCCACGCAGCTGACGGAGGGGGGGGCGGGGCCGGGGATAGGAGGTGGAGGAGAGGGGTCAAAAGCCGGTACTGGGGGGGGGGAGGCGGAGTAGCAGTGGAGGAGGAGGTGGAGCTGCCAACCCACACGCTCCCCCCATCCTCGGTTACGCACGTCGGGCTCGAGCGTTTCTTCGGCGGGTGGGGTTGCCCCACGCCACCACATCACGGTCAGCTCCCCTCGGGTGTGTTGTGCGGAATGGGTCGGCTCCCATGTCTGCACCCCCCCCTGCCCCTCCCCTTCCCGTGGTGGAGCCCACATGTCATGCAGCTCCTCAGTCAGCCCCCGCATCACAGTCACCCCGCATCCCCCCACCCCACCCTCCCACCCGGCCGGCCGCTCACAAGGGGAAGGGCGGCGTCCTCAGCGGCAGCAGACCCAGCTCGGTCGGGTGGTGGTGCAGGTGGCGGAGGTTCAGGTGGTGGAGGTGGTGCAGCTGCAGGTGATGCTGCGGTGGCCCCATCAGCCCCACCGCACTGCCCGGGGAGGTGCGCAGCAGGAACTGGGCCACGATGCGCGGGGGGCGGCGGGGGGGCAGCTGCAGGGGGGAAAGGTAGGAGGAGGAAAACGTGAGGGGGGCAGACGACGAAGAAGAGCAGACAAAGGCCGGGGGTAAGGAGCCGGGGAGAGGGTTGAGGGGGCGGCTGGAAGGGCAGGATCGTGAATTCTGCTCTCCTTCACTAGTGGTTTCCTCTTGTTACCCTCCCCACCCCCCATCCCACCCCCTCACCAGGTTCCACCTCGTCCGCCAGTGCGTGCTTTGCCAGCCCTCCACTCGCGCCTCCTCGTCTTCCTCCTCCACCTCCTCATCTTGGCTCCCCTCATTTCCCTCCTCCGCCTCCGCATACCCCTCATCATCCCCCCGACCGCGGGGTCCCCTACGGCTTCGGCCCCAGCTGCCTTCCCCCCTGCTACCACCCGCACCGCTGCTAGGGCCGAACTGCCGTACAAACTGCGCTACAGCCAGTACGGCAGTCAGTGTACGGCAGTCCTCCGCTGCCGGGTCGCTGCCGTACTTGTCTGCCAGCACAAACACAGCCAGGGCGCGAGAGGCGGCGGCGCGAGCCAGGTCCTGAACGGGGTGCAAGTACGGCAGGAGGCGAGGAGGGCGAGGAGTGAGAGATTCAGGAGGCGCGGTGCTGGAATCATTACCGTACTTCACCATGATGCAATCCGCGGTGGAGCCATGCAGATGATGTGGTTCGGTCTTTCCTCTTTATCCCCCTACCCGCTGAACTCTCTCTCTCTCCCTCCCTGCCGCCTCTTTCCACCAATATTTTGCCCCAACTCGTAGCTTCCTATGGTTCGGTCTATATTTGCCCCCACCCATTCACCACCTATCCAATCCACCAGGAGCTTGTCAACACTAGTGTTGCCGCTATCACTCAACGCAACTTGGTGCTGTGTTTCCTTCCTTCCTTCAGCGCCCCCCCCCCACCTCTGCGCTGTACGGCGAGCCGTGAAGGTAGTGCAGCCGGCGCTCCCAGCGGCTGTGGTTCAGTGTGACCAGCAGCTCGGGGGGCGGGTCGGTGGGCAGCAGGAGAACCAGGTCTAGGTCCTGGGGGAGTGGCGAGTGGGGGAGTGGCGAGTGGGAGAGCCAATGTGGTAGTTAGGTGGGAGACGCCGGGGGCGGGGTTTCCGCCATCCTCCCTTCCTGATGCGCTCCCGCCTGCAGGCTATGCTCTTCACTGCTACATATGTTCGTTACTTCGTGGCTTTCCAACCATCCAACCAACCACTCGACCGCTCCCACCTGGTATCCCCTGTCCGGGTGGAAGAACTCCCGAATGAAGGTGCGCGCCGACCCAGGGGTCACGCAGCCGGTCAGGATGACGTGGCGCCCCAACCGGGGACTGCGGTACTTCTTGCGCACGAAGCGGCTGAAGTTCTGAAGGCGGAGGGGAGTGGGGTTGCGGGGGAGTAAGATTGAGGATTGGGGTCAGTAAGAAAAGGGAACCGTGCGGTAAAAAGGAAGACAGTGACGACGAGCTGTATGAGAGGGGGCTGCACCAAGCCGCCCCGAACCCCACCTGCATCACTTCCGACAGGTCCGATATCTTGCGCGGAAGCACCAGAATAATCACCACAATAACCAGCGGGAACAGCCTGCGTGTGGGGCGGTGGGGGATGGGGTGCAAGGTACGGGGACGGGGAAAAAAGACGTGCATTCCCTTCGGACATGCATGAGAGCATGACCCGTGGGTCACACGACATTCCCAGCCCAGCAGCCGACAAAACAAGACACTTTTCTTCACACGCAGTGTTGCTTTCACACATGCATGCCTGCCCCCGTCCCCCCTCACCACCACTAACCCCCCTCGCTCCAGTCGCCACCACTCACAGCTGCCCCGCCGCTGTCCGGGGTACGATGTCTCCGTATCCGATGGTGGCGATTGTGACACATGACCAGTAGAAGGCCTGGTGCAGCTGCAGGTCCCGCTGGTTGCCCTGGGGCGCCGCGGGGTGGGGTGGGGTAATGCTTACGCCTCATCCACTTAACAACTTGACATCTCTCACCTCCAATCTACTTCACATGCCTCACCCAAAATATTACAACAACCCTCCCTGTGGGCCCCCGGAATCCTCCCCCCCTTCGCTTGTACTTTTGGCACTTCTCTCTAACCCTGTCCCTTTCCCGGGTCCCTCCCCCCTTCACGCATTGGAAATCCTTCGTTCCCCTGTCCGTCTCCCTGCTGCCTCGCCCCCTCACCACTTCCAGTTCGTAGAACACGCACGCCGCCACGAACACCACCCCGCCCAGCGTGATGCCCAGCTCCGCGCCCCGCCGCAGCAGCTCCAGCTGCAACGGCTGCGAGGCGCGGCGGCGGCTGGCGCGCAGGGCCGTCAGGGTGACCGCCTTCAGCAGCCGGATGACCTGAGGGGGCGGGTGGAGGGTGAGCGAGGATGGAAGGCAGTACCGGTGGGTGTATGAGGAAGGGAGCATGTGGAGAGGTTGAGGTGGCGAAGGGGCGGGTGCAGGAGGGCTAAAGGGGATGGGGGTGATGGAGGGGGAAGGAGGGAGGGACCCATGTGTCAGGGACCCATGAAGGGTGCTGCCCACGTGCTTGCATCCTCATGGGTGATCGCACCCGTCATAAGAATCGGATGGGTACAAATTGAGGCAACTGAGCAGCTGTACGACATGTGGGCTTCACCATTGGGGGGTGCAAACATGGGAGCCGGCCCATCCCGCCGGATGGGATGGGGATGGGGGGGCAGGGCCATGCAACAGCTCAGCACAGGACCCCTGACTTCTGGTTACTACTATCACAGCTGTTTTGCAGCTTGGTACACGTCCCCGCTGCTTTCTCCGTTGTCTCGGTTGTTTCCTTCGTACCTGCATGACCCGCAGCAGCCGCAGGAAGCCGAGAGCCGTAGCCAGCGAGTCGTACTCATAATACGCAAATCCGTACACGATGGTCGCCGCGTCGATCACAGACCAGCTCCAAAACACGTAGCGCAGCTTGTCTCTGGCCGCCAGCAACTTTGCGATGTACTCGATGGAGAAAGTGATGGAGCAGGCAAAGTACATGACACGTGCCGTTTGCCGTACGGGCAGGTAGGTGTCGTACACGTAGATGAAGACGGAAGCCAGCGACATGAGACCGTTGAGGATCTGATGGTGATGATGAGGATGATGTTGATGATGATGATGATGATGATGACCAGAAGAGGTGGTTTGTGGCATGGTGGGAAATGGGAAAAAGAGAGGAGGTATGGAATGGGGTGTGAGAGGGGGAAAAGGAAGGCTGGAGGCTGTGCGTTGCTGTGGGCTACATGGTAGTAGCTAAGGAGGATAGGTTTCGTGGGACGACATGCTGACACTCTCGTGCGTGCGATACTCAGGTCATGGAACCCGGAAACCCCACGAATTCATGGACACACCTCCAACAGCTCTCGGGCCATGGACGTCTCGAACTTGCGATGGAAGAGCTCCTGTGAGGAAGGGCGAGGCAGATGGAAGCGGCAGGTCGTACCACCGATGCTGAAATGTTCCAGGCATGTGGATACGGATTGCGGTAACACTCATCACGGCAGGAACAGGTCACGCCGCAGCTAGCATCTACATGGAAAACGGGATGTAGCTGAGATGGATTAAACAGCCCGTCCCTGACCCTCCGCGCTGACAGCTACTGCGGACACACCAGCCGTGAGATGCGTAGGTCCGCAGAGCCTTCACGTGAAGGCTTCCACCACATGCTTCCCATACTGTCTCCTTCAGTGCTACACGGATGACTTTGAACGCCTACTGGCGGTCCCTAGCGACCAAACAGCCAAGGATGTAAAGTATGCTTGCAGCCTAGCGCCTTCACACACTCAAATTGCCCTGCGCCTAGGATGTCGCCTTCGCTGAGTATTATGAACACGGTCAAAATCCATCCTGTACTCGTGCGGATGCCGCAACATGTTCCTGGTCAACGTGGAAGCGAGCTTACGAACGAGCATCAAACAGCATGTGAAGTACTATTTTATCGGTGTAAACGATCTAGTGTGACCTTGTGTAAGAACTGCCAGCTTTTCGGTAACCTGAAACCGGTACGGCAACGTTACAAACGGAGCGGTGTCTGCTTGACGCCTTCTGAGGCAAGCCTTTACTTTAGTATAATCTTAGTCGTTTGTGGTTGTAAAAGGAAACGTGTACAGAGCACAACACTTCCTTACAGGAAAGGTGACGAAATGCTACAACGTGTCGCCACGCACTTTTTCCAGCATGGCCGGGTACTCGCTTTAGCTTCCTCTCGAGCAGCGTCAAGCTTGCGTGGCTTCGCTGCCGCGCCGCAGCCCGCGGAAGATGCGGATTCAGGTGTGTGTCGTGTAACGTCGCGAGGGTGCGCACGTACAAGACCCCGTAATTAGATCGGCACTCGCACATGCGAACTAGCCGCTCGGGGCTTCAGGGCTTCAGGATCGAAGCCTTATTAACGCACTTTGCCAATCTGGCTTTGGTGTGCTAGCGAATGCATTGCCCGTATACACTTCTAGCATCTTGCTCTTCCTACCGGTACCGCTTCAGCCTACCCTGCCACCTGCAGCTCGGTCGTACAGGGGTTTATGACCGACCGGGACTTCCAACCCGCTAGCGAATAGTAAAGCTACGGTTCCCATAGCCTAGCCGCATAATATCCTAGTTTTCTGGTTGTGAGCGGCCTGCGACAGCCTCCTATTCCCATCTTTGTGTTACCATTGGCTGCCCAGTCACTTCCCAGCTAAGCACCGTGCCCAGAAGGCCCCGTCTGCCTGCCACCCGACGATCAACTGTGTCCATAGTGTCACCATACCTGCTCCCCACCCATACCACCATGGCCCATCTATATTGGATTTACAGTGCTTCTTTCTCCTTACATATCGGTATATGTGACTTACTGCCTACCCCCTTTCTCCCCTCCCTGCTCCTCCCTTCCTGTTGTTGCACTTTTTTAATTTTCCCCTCCTCCCTCCTCCCTCCTCCCTCTCCCTCCCTCCCTCCTCTCCTCCCTGCAGCCGCCCCCGGCTCCCCCGCCCTGATCGAGAAGAAGGGCATCTCCCTGCGCGGCGTGCCCCTCTACCTGGACATGCAGGCCACCACCCCCATGGACCCACGGGTCATCGACGCCATGCTGCCGTACATGACCGAGCAGGCAAGCGGCCCGCCACTACTGCTGCTGCCATAGCTGTCCTAGCCCCCGTTCTGAGTACTGTTCTGCTATACTAGGGCCTTACTCGGGCCTTACTCGGGCCTTGCTCAGGCCTTGCTAAGTCGCGCACATCTGGGGCAAGCAGGGCGCCAGTGTATGTACGAGCACCAGCAGAGGGGCCCCTCCTAGCCTCACATCCTTTGCTCCCCTCTTCACCCCAATTCCGCCCTCTCCCTCCCCGCATATCCTACCTCCCGCCCCCTCCTCTCCCTTCTTCAACCACCCCCTCCCCTCTTCACCTCCCCCCCCAGTTCGGCAACCCGCACTCGCGGACGCACCTGTACGGCTGGGAGTCGGAGGAGGCGGTGGAGGAGGCGCGAGCCAAGGTAGGGGGGCGGGCGGGGTAAAGAGCGCGGGCGGGGCGGTGCTGAAGGGTCAGCAGCTGTAGGCAGAGGTATTGGGGGTTGCAGAGGGGAGGAGGAAGAGGGATTACCAGATGGCACCATGGCTCCCACCCGGGGGGTGGCTGGTGGGGGGGGGCTGAGGGGGGGCGGGCAGGGGGCGTCTTCCTAGCTCCTCAGTTCGAAACACGGTACCCCCACGCACGCATCACCTTCAACCCCCTAACCAACCCCCGCCGGTCGAACATCACCGCCTCCTTCCCCTCTCCCCCACCCCTCGCCCATTGCTGCACTCATCATCCACTCACCCCCCCCGCCCTCGCTTCCGCCTCACTCGCACGTCCCCCACCACCCCCATGTTTCCTTATTGTTCCCCCCGCCGCCCCCCGCTCCCGCTCCCCCCCAGATCGCCCGCCTGATCGGCGCCGACCCCAAGGAGATTCTGTTCACCAGCGGCGCCACGGAGTCCAACAACACGGCCATCAAGGGCGTGGCGGCCTACCTGCGAGACAAGAAGAAACACATCATCACAACGCAGGTGGGGGGGGGAGGGGGGAGGGAGATGGGCAGGAGGTGACTAGGCTTCGCAAAAAAGGGAATTTGGGAAGCGGAAAACAAAAAGGGCGATAAACCACAGGGAGCCGCGAAATAGGACAAAACAAGGAAGGGGGAGAGAACGACGAGGGTGGTGGTGGGTGGGAGTGGGCAAGCCCCTTCTCTTGTTCCATCTTTCCGCCGCCTGCCGCCTGCCCGGACGGCTGTCCACATCGCCGCCTGCCTGCCTGCCCCCCCCCACCCCCGTCCTATCCCCATTGCTTTGCTCCAACCTTTGACCCCCCGCCTTCTCCCCCCCCCCCCCCGTTGCCCCCATGCACGTCCAGACGGAGCACAAGTGCGTGCTGGACAGCTGCCGCTGGCTGCAGCAGCGGGGCTGGGACGTCACGTACCTGCCGGTGCGAGGGAGGGAGGAGGGGGTGAATGAGGAAACTGACATGGAAACTGACGAGGAAGCTGTGGGGGGATGGGGGCCGGGGGGCGGGTAGTCGGGCCCTGGGGAGCGAGCCGGGGCGAGGGAGGGGGTCCGGGACTGGGAGAGACGCCTCGGGCGCTGGCTGTGTGTACATGATACACCCTCCTGCTTGCTGCCTAACCCCAACCCACAACATCTCCTGTGCCTCTCCCAACCAGCCCGCAATCTGCCTTCACTTTCTAACCAACTGCAAAACCACCAAACAAATCACCAACCCCTTCCCTAACCACCTTTCTTAACCACTTCATAACTGACCACCAACGATGACAACCAGGTGCAACCCGACGGTTTGCTGGACCTGGCGGTGTTGGAGGCGGCCATTCGGCCCGACACGGCGCTCGTGAGCGTTATGGCGGTTAACAATGAGATCGGTGTCGTACAGCCGCTCACTCAGATCGGCGAGATGTGCCGAGCGAAGGGGGTGTATTTCCACACGGATGGGGCGCAGGTGGGGAGGAGGGGCGGGGATTGGGGGAGGGAGCTGGGAAGGAAAAGCGAGTGGGACAAGAAGGGGGGGATTGGGAGGAGGTAGGCGAGGAAGGCGACTGGGGGTTAAAAAGGAAACGGCGGTATACCCTCCGCACGGCCCTCTCCCTCACCCGTCCCTCCCTCTCGCCCCGCCCCCGGCCCTCCCCTCTTCAGGCGGTTGGCAAGATCCCGGTTGACGTGAACGCCTCCAAGATCGACCTGCTGTCGCTCAGCGGACATAAGATATACGGACCCAAGGGCGTGGGGGCGCTGTACGTCCGCAGGTGGGGTGAAAACAAGGAAAACTGGCGAACCGGTGGTGGGGTGGTGGCGGTGGCGCGCATACAGCTGACCCTCACAACAGCAGCAGCAGCTCAAGACATCGATAACCCCTCCCCCTAGTGTCTCCGTATGCGCTCACTGCATCAGTCGGGCTCTAGAAGCCGGAACTCCGTTGTTCCACTTTCCATCTATTATCCCCGCCTCCCCTCTCCCTCCCCCCTCCGCGGCTCAGTTTACCCTAATCTCCCACGGTCACACGGTCAGTTAGATGTTTCCTCTTTACCCCCCTCCCCGCCCCCCTCCTCTTCCCATCCCCCCCCACCCCTCGTTGTTTCACTTCTATAATTTTCCCCACCCCCCCAGGCGCCCCCGAGTCCGCCTGGAGCCCCTCATGAGCGGCGGCGGCCAGGAGCGCGGGCTGCGCTCCGGAACCGTACCCGCCCCGCTGGCAGTAGGGCTGGGGGCGGCGTGCGAGGTGGCGCAGCGGGAGATGGCGTCCGACCTGGCGCATGTACGGAAGCTGGAGGAGCGGTTGAGGACGGGGATCACCGCCAGACTGCAGGTGGGGGGTGGGGCGGTTGGTGCTTGCGTTTGCTCGCGTTTCTTTCGCTTTTGCCCCCCTCCGTTTGCCATCCTCCTCCTCCACCCTCCTCCTCCTCCCCTGCGTCAGAGGCTTTCATCAATCGGGTTGCCACGGTCGTGTCCGACTGAGCCTTGCCATCTTTGTTCCCCCATTGTGAAACCCTAAAACTCCAAAACCCTAATCCGCCCCCCCCTCAGGGTGTTGTGTTGAACGGCCCCTCCGACCAGTCCCGCCGCTATGCGGGCAACCTCAACCTCTCCTTCGCCTACGTGGAGGGCGAGTCGCTCATAATGGGGCTCAAGGTGCGGGGGGGGGGGAATTATATAAGAAATGCAGACAACTAGAGTCCCAATCCCATAGCCCGACTCATGCAGTGAGTGCATTCGGAGACACTAACCTAGAAACACGCAGATTAGCGTAACTTACGGCGGGGGGGAGGGGGGAAGGGAGGGGCCGGGAAGGGAGGGGCCGGGAAGGGAGGGGCCGGGAAGGGAGGGATCCAGCCCGGTTCTGTGGATTCCTACACATACAGCATTTCTTCCTCCTCCTTCATCCCTGCCGTACATCCTCCTCCATGCCTGCCCCTGCCGTACCCCCCCCCCAGGAGCTGGCTGTGAGCAGCGGCTCCGCCTGCACCTCCGCCTCCCTGGAGCCCAGCTACGTGCTCCGGGCGCTGGGGGTGGAGGAGGAGCTGGCGCACACCAGCATTCGATACGGGCTGGGGCGCTTCACAACGGAGCAGGTGGTGGCGGGGGGGGGGGGGAAGAAGAATACCCAATGTGTTGAATGGCGGGGTGGGGGTGGGAGGGGGGAACATTATAGATAAAGTGCAACAACGCAGTGGGGGTGGGAGGGGGGTTTGCTCGCAAGGGGCTGTGGGGGGCTGTAGGTGTAGCAGGTGGGGGTCTAAGTTCGGCCAAACCATAGGAAACCACGAATTAGGTCATAACATTGGGGATGGGGGTGGAGGTGGGACGTTGGCGCAAGCAGGCAAAAGCGCGATCGGCGAGAGGTAATGCCAGGGGGGTTGATGTTTGACGCGGTGTGCGTGTTTTGTCCTGGCCCCTGTGACCCATGGGTCGTTCTGGACCCCCCTTTCCACTCCCCTTCCCGTTGCCCCCGCTGCTGCTGCCGCAGGAGGTGGATCGCGCCATCGAGATGACTGTCGCTCACGTGAACAAGCTGCGCGAGATGAGCCCGCTGTGGGAGATGGTGCAGGAGGGGGTGGACATCAAGTCAATCCAGTGGGCGCAGCACTAGAGCAGGACCGCATACTGTACTGCTGGACGTGTCATGGTTCCTCCAGTCGCGGTGGCCTCCGGTCTTCCGCGGCGGCTTGGTGTTATCGGCGGAGTCGACGTTAGCTTACAGGAGTAAGATGCATTACCTTTACACTTGAAGGGGCGGAGGGCAGAAGGAAGGGGAGCGGGTTCGTAAGGGTGGTGGTAGTGATGGCGCGGGACCATGCCGGCTGGAGCAGCAACAGTTGGAAAGCGGCGGAGGAGTTGGGGTTAGCGACGGGAATTGGGAATTTGATTGCCCCCAGAAGGTACAAAAGTACAATGGACATGCATGTGTTGAGTTTTGCAGCGTCATTAGCACACAGGATAAGCAACAAGGGGTTCTCTAATACGCTGTACGCTGGGGGTTCCGGAGTGCGATGAGTCAGTTGAGAGCGGGGAAGCGGGAGGGGAAGAGCTCCCTCGCGCCATGTCGGGGCCGTGGGGCCGTGCGAGCAAGAACACCAACACTAAGCATGTTGGGTACAGCCTCCTTTCTTCCCATCAGCATGTGTTGAAGTTCCCCGGGTGGACGATTGAGGGGTTTACCGAGAGAGCCGACAAGTTGGGCATTTGTGTTGGTCTCATCCCGAGGAAGGGGACAACAGTGAACGAGAGGTGTGTGTACTTGAACTGCTGTGCTCTTAACGAACGAGAGGTTGTTGATGTGTTCCATGGGAGGAGCTGCGGTTTGATTCCTGGCTTCTACAGCGCTATGGTGCTTTACCGGTAAGAAGACGGGCCAAGGCAAGAGGTCGTGCAGGCGGTAACCAGCGTGTTGTGTGGAAAGGTTGTTACGCATTGGGACTCAGCTGACAGATTTGTCGATGGGTGCGGATGGACCATGACCCCATGCGAATCATGCGCATACAATTGTTACCAATTCCTCCTCATCTTCTTGTGGACTCCTGACCCATCCTCATCCTCGCGGGCTGCTGCACAAACGGTGTTGCTCTGCATCGACCTCAACAACAACGGTCAAATGGCCCTAATGGCCCCAATGGTGCAACACAACCATCCTCCACGACATACGGTACCACCGTCCCACCCGCGCATACTGAATTGTACTGCACACTCCTCATCAAGCCACACCATTCAAGCGGTAGGCATGGCGCATGCGCACAGCGCCCAACTGACCCATGGGTCATTAGATCCGTCCAATCTTGCCCATGGGCCGCGTACCATGCACCCTTCACGTTTCAGTTTGGATATCATTAGAGTCACATGCCACATCCTTCATAGGCGCCCAGCTTCTTTCGCCCTAACCAAGTAACCAACCGGTAAACCAACTCGGCTGAGGTGCTCCGTTTACCTCAAGAAGTACAGTCTCACACGCCTGCTCAACACTGGATTACGGTTTCGGGAAGGGGGCACTCTCGGCCAATACTGTGTTTCCTTCTAGAAAATTGTCAAGCAATCCGTCAAGAAATGCGGTAACCAAGCATTTGCAGACGTTGATCTGTCGTAACCAAGCCAATCCATAGCAAACAGCTACATCACTGGCAGTATACGGACTTAGGTGGAGTTTACATATTTGCAGACCTCTTGCAGAATGCAGCAGTAAAGCAATCCCTACTGGTGTACGATAGGCAGCCAGGAAGCCCGACGCAATTATGTAAACTCCACCTAAGTCCGTATACTGCCAGTGTTGCACATTACTGCATCACATCGCATACCCATTATGAAGCTAGACACCAAGCCACCTACCATCAATAAACGCCTGTGTGGGCATTGGGTATTTACACCATGGTGCCCATGAGAACCCGTCCATTAGAAACGGATACCTCGTCACTGGACGCCCACATCTTCATACCGTGACACTCCTCTCCCCTTGCAATGAAAATGAATGAGACGAATGTGGATGGTCAAAGCACGTTGGAGCAGAATTTGATGCACACTGGTTTGATAAGCTCGTTCATTTTCCACATGCTGTAGCACGGTAAAGTCATCCGTTATGGCTTCTAGGTCACCACACACATGCTCAGGACCTGTGGCTCAGGCGCTGTGATGCATGTACTTAGGGCTGCTGCACCGTGCGGTGCGGTGCAGCAGCCCTAAGTGCATGCATCACAGCGCCTGAGCCACAGGTCCAGCCAGGGTGCTAGGAGCCGACACCGCACAGCCCGGATGCACCTCTCCAAGCTCCTACCCACACCCCGCCCATTCCCTGCTCACTAAGGAAGGCATGCCGCGCAAGGCCCCACCCGCAGCGACTCCACGTGCAGCGGTGCCGTTGGTGAAGGGAGTAAGGCGCGGCAGCACCGGGTGCACCCCTGCAGCCAGCAGCTCCCCGACCACGTCCGACAGCAGCTGCTGCAATGCGGGAGGGGAGGTAAAGAGGAACCAACTAACGGACTGAGGGACGGATCGGGTGATACCGGTACCTAAGGTCCTGGAACATAACGACTGTACATGTGCTGTCACAAGGGTGGCCCTGAAGTAAGTCAGAGGCAAGGTAATAACAGTATGCATCAGTGCAGAGGCATTGCGGCCCATAAGAACCATAAAAATGACGAAGTATGTGCTAACGGCAAAAGGGAAAGGGAGGGCATGTAGTACATTTTGTCCAGGCCTGCCTCTCACCCTCTGCCCGCTCTCAGCCACATATAATGAAGCTGTCCTGCCCACCTTGCGTACAAAACCCGCACTATATACACGCTCATCCCTAAAAACGCCTCTCACCTTCAACTAATAGCGTCGTCAAATATGCGGTGAATAATCGGGGGGGGGGCAGGAAACGCGAGGACAGACCTCATGATTCAAAGTTAAAGAGCTTATTGAGAGCATTCCAAACCTGCTTTCAGAATTTTAATTGGAGTTGTACGGAAAAAGTTATCTGCGCCCAAAGGAGACTGTACGGCAGGGTGGGTGGGTGGGGTCTGGGGGTCCAGTGGGTTTTTTCCGAGGGCTTCCTAACTTTTTCCTGGCGTTGCCAAACTCACTATGAAGTATATTTATACGATAAACATACACTGTGAGCAGTCTATAAACGCATTTTTGTCTCTTCCTGATATGGTTTGGGCATGGCATGATGACATTACCACGCATGGGTGGTCAGAGAGATACCAAAACACGTATGGGTCGGTGGGGGGCAGGCAGGGTGCGGGTCCGGGTGCCTCCAGTTAGGGGGGAATCACCCGCAGGTGGTCTGCCCAGCCAAGCAGAAGGGGGCCGGGAAGTTAACCATGTGACACGGCTCCCCTATGTGCTGCATCTCTGGGGTGGGATTGAGGGGAGTAGAACGGGGCAGGTCTCTCGGCAGCAGCTGCGTCACCTGTGCCAGCCGCTGCACGTTGTCTGAGCCCTGCTAATCCTTGCTGGTAATTGCTGGTCTTGACGGAGTAGTGCGTGTGTATGAGGCTAGTGTACAACGGTGCACCCGTTGCTGTCTATAGGGTTGGATGGCGTGACCATGGCATGGCGTGACCATGGCATGGCGCGACCATGGCATGACTTAGTAGGTGCAAAAGCTCAAAAAGTTGTATACACAGAAAGAGGTTGCAGTGCATTCGCGTGAGCTCAAGACATCAGGGATACCCAGGACGACTTTAATTGGTACCAGGATCCAAAGTCGGACGAGCTCGTAGCCAGGGCGTTATCAACACCGGCTTGAATTAACGTTTTTGAACAGGAAATATGTTTGACTTTCCAAAAAACGTTGGGCTAAACAAATCTATTGCGACGGTCAGCTAAGCAGCCCTAGGGGCTACATCCTATCGCAATCCAATGCTTGATATGATGCAGTTATGTGCACAACAAGGAAAAGATCTTAAACTCCTTTGTGACCAGGATACCCAGTGCAGGGCCAGTTGAGGATCTGCCAGTTGGATGGCTCGGAGCTTTAGTTTTGTTTCTGGTAGTGGTATCTTCTTACGCTACTCCCTGCCCATACTTCCTTACGGCCGTCTCGAACCGCATGGCCGTTCATCGCGTCCTTTAACCCCCTACCTCAGTGCGGGAGGGGCGACGCATGGATTACCGGAAAGGGGGGGCGTATATTGGCGGCAACACATACAGCAACCGTGATTGGGCTTCGGCGGGAGGGCTTGGGGAAGGAATGGAGATCTACGTGGGATGAGGTGACGTTGGGGCGGCATGGGGAGGGAAGGAGAGGGTACAACATACAGCGTTTAAGTGACGGCAATGCACGTGGGGGACGTGGTAAGATGTGGGGTGCGAGGGAAGGGGTCAAGGGGACTCAACGAACCGGCGGAGTGGGGTAAGGGAACAAAAGATATACCAAAACCACAGGTTAGGGGATTGGGCTGTGCTCGGTTGGACATATAGCGTGTGGGTGATGGCATCACAAGGGGGAGCGTAGGAAGGTGCAGGGTGTGAAGGTGGGGGTCAAAGGGATTGTACGAAGCAGGTCGAGAGGTTGAAGAGACGGGATGGATGACCATACGGGTTGGGATGACGTTAGGGTCGCGTGTATGAACGAGTTGACTACAGCCTGCGTCTCCTTAATTTCCTTGTGGAGACGGCCATAGACGCAGACGCTTGCCCAAGCATCACCACGAGCCTTAGCCCCCCCTTCACCCGCTGAACTTCCATCCCTGACCGCTCCACGGGCGTCCCCTTGCCGATGTTAAAAGCTGACACGATAGCTGGCAATGTTCCATGGTGTGCCCTCCTGGTGCGCAGCAACAGCAGCCTAGTAGACAACCAAGCACCATGCGCCATGACGAGCGATTCTCAGGCGGGGCCGCAGCCATGGGTGTCCTGGCCGATGGCTTATCTTAGTAGTGTTCCTTGTTCCTACTGAGCTATCTATAGTTAGCCCCCAGGGCTGCTGGGCTAAGCATCGTTTTAAACAGGCGCAACACGTTTTCCTGAAAAAATGTCATAGGACAGCATTATGTAACATCCGAACACTTACATGGATCACAGGATTACATGACCCATCTTGCGTCATGAAACCGCCCCGGGTCCTGCCGCAGTCACTCGGGGCAACCACCCACCATTACCCCATGCGAACCATGCGCATGCATGTGTTACCAATTCCTCATCTTCTGCTGGACTCCTGACCCATCCTCATCCCACGGGTTGCTGCGCGAACACGGTGGTACTCTGCATCAGCTTCACTAAAAACACCCAAATGGCCCCAACGGTGCAACACAACCATCCTGCACGACATACCGCTGTCCCACCCGCGCATACCGAATTGTATTGCACACTCCTCGTCAAGCCACACCATTCAAGCGGTAGGCAAGGCGCATGCGCACACCGTCGCAGTACTCAACTGACCCATGGGTCGTAAGCTCCGTCCACCCGTGCCCATTGGCCACCATCATCAACGTCTTCGTCTTCCGTACCTTCCGTACCTTCCCTACCTCCCTGTGTCACCCCCAAACCCTCAGTCTCCCCCAACCGCCCCCCTTGCCTCCAATCCCCCCCCACGTACACCCCCTCACGTACGGAAGGTGTACGAATTGGAGGTGGTCACGTAGCGCACCCAGCGGAAGGGGTTGTAGTTCTTGTCCGCCTTCTTCAGAATCTGGAGGTACTTGAGCGCGATACGCGAGGCGCTGTGCATGGGGATGGTGAAGCGCAGGTTCACCGGCCCGATCTCGCTCCTCAACGAGCCGCTGTACGGCTTCTCCAGCGTCAACCGCGCCCGCAACGTGTACTCCGACCCGCCGGGACACTTCTTGAACTTCCAGCGCAGCAAGTGCGTCTTCTCGTTGTAATCCCACGCCTGCTGCTGCTGCTGCTGCCCGGCTCCTCCTGCACCACCCGCCCCACCCGCACCCCCTCCACCTCCACCACCAAATTTCCCTCCCAGCTTCCCTCCTCCTCCTGCGCCACCACCCGCCGAGCTGCTCTCCAGGTCGCAGTGCACTCGCTGCACGTAGCGCGGTGTGGGTACCTCCACCTCCAGCCCGCTGGCCGCCTTGTCGGACGGTACCTCGCACCACAGCCGCAGCGTCAGGTTGGCCTTCACATCGGAGTTTGGGTCGCGCTCAACGCTGGCTTGCAGGCGGAAGGGCGGCTTGAAGCCATGGCTGGTGCGGTAGTTCATGAGCGCAAACTCGCCGTCGGGCGGAACCAGGGAGATGGTGCGGTCCACGTCAAAGGAGTCCAGATTTGCGACTTCATGGAAGTTGCAGTCGTCCAGAACGACCATGTGACCGTTGGAGCTGCTGTCGGATACGCCGTACGGCGCATCTCGTTTACCGATGAGGAGGTCGTCGTTGAGCTTGATCTTGATGGGCGGGTTGCCGGCCAGGTAGCTCTTGATTTGTACGGCACCGTCCACTTGCGCGGAGGCGATGTAGCCGCTGGCGTTGAAGGTGCTGCGGCGGCGGGGGGGTGAGGAAGGGGGAAGGAGAGGCAGGGAGAGGGGGAAAGTAAACGAAACGGGAGGAGGGAGGAGGTGAGGGAGGAACGGAGGAAGGAGCTGGGGGCCGTGAGGGAGATTGGGAAGGAGGGGTTCCAGGCTTGATGAGCAACTCAGGTAGCGGGTAGCGGGTCGTGGCCGACTGCGCTCTATATGAAGTGTTTGACGTGAAGGGCTTTGATTTTCCTTCGGGGTGTGGTGGTTCAAGTGCATTCAGGTTGGGTTAGGTTGGACATCGACCTCCAGATGTCGTGTGGAGACATCCGCCCGTACACCACTGTTTGGACCTTCGTGCCGTGCTGCTGCCGCTCCCCCATACAGTTGCTCCGCTGCCCCGTCCGTTTGCATCCGTAGGCAAGGCAAGGAATAGCCCTGCCTTCGACGTTCCCATTCGACACCATCCTACTTACCATGTAATGCGCTCCACCACATCTACAAAGATTTCATCGCGGCGCTTCCCATCCGTGCGCGTTGTCTCCAGAACGCTTTTAAACACCCCGGTTGGACCCTTGCTAAGGCTGAACAGCGGCTTGGCCTGGTAGTATGCTGGGGCTACAACCGTCGGCTCGTTCACGACAAACTGCTTAAGCGCCTCGGTGGCTGTGTTTTGAGGGAAGCCGTAGTCCACCACCTCGTCTAACAGCTCGTACACCAGCACCACGTTCTTCCGGATTGCATCCTCGCTAAGGAAGCCGCAGTAGTCCTTGACGATCGTGCAGATGCGCCGAAGAAACTCCAGCACAAAGGAGGGGGAGAGGTTTGCCCGAGTTGTAGCTACAAGCTGCACGCCACCTTCCTTGATGTGCAGGTAGGTGACCCCGTCCACGTTGAATACTGGTGGAGCCTCGCCATCGCCTTCCTTCCAAAACTTCGCATTTCTAAAGAATGTCTCCGACGATGTGCGCGGCACGTCGCCAAGATAATCCTTCCTAATGATCACATCGCCGCGTGGTGACAGAATGTAAAATTGCGATATCATGGTTGGTCCCCCTCAGGGGCGCCTCGGCTCCTAGGCGCCCCCGTGCCTTGTAACAAGGGCTAACTAGTATCTAATAACAGATCTTATAGGTCCTTTTGGTTAGCGTACAGGTCGCGTTGCAATTTCCCAAGGAAAGTGTTGCCTGCTTGTCAGTCACGTCATCGATAGGTGTTCGGGCCCCATAACTTTCACTGCATTGAGTTGTGCAGCTCTATTTACTCCCATCCTTGTCTTGGCCGCGACGACGGATGGATTCCGGTTTGTACGAAGTACGACAGCTTCCACCTGTATAGCTTCCTCTGGGGCCCCCAGCTCCCTTGGAATCCTTGCATTTTTCCACTTGAGCCGAGACAAGTTGGTAGGAAACCGTTGGAGCTTATGAAAGAGTGCGTAATGCAAGTGTAGGGACTCCCGAGCTGGGAGGGAGCCGTGCTGTGAGGTAAGAGGGAGGTAGAACAGAACAACCCTCGCCCGCAACCTCGATGGCTCCGATGCCTCCAGAACATCAAACCTGTGCTTCTGCAGCTAACAACAAGCGCAAGGTCGTCGTGTTAAGTGGGTATTCGGTCGGCATGGTCTTCATGTACTGTACATTATGGGTACCCCTAGGCACGTAGACTTCCACACCTCATATCACGAGGCCCAATGCTGGTACACCCATGTGGAACACAGCACTCAGTGTGCTGATAAGCTGGGCTCCTGTGTTGCTCATGAGCGACTTCGCACCAGAAGCGTAGGAGAGTGGCACTCAACCCATGTCAATTAGTCTAACCATAAGCTAGCTAGGGCCAGAATACACGAACCGTATGAGGGTCTCCATTGTACAAGTTCATGGAGAGAAGGAACTGGTGGAATCGCGGGAGCGGTACCGTACGGCCCATGCCCAGTACGGCACCTTTGTCCAGATACCGTTGGCCGGGACATTGCAGATTGCGCCACCATGTCCTGCCCACAACTTGCACTCTTGTTCAACCCCTAGTCCCCTACCCACGTCATGAGGACTGTAACCAGCATCTGGCAAACGTACCAGACATGGACAAGGACATGGAATCTGACGCGGAACGAGGAGCTGTAGCTGTTCGCTTATGGGATGGGCAGGATGTTTGGAAGGCTTATGCGTTGTATGCCGTGATACCGTGCACATGGCACTTTAGGACAACACCGCCATTGTTTTGAGGGCATGCTGCGCGTGCGCATTCTGTCAAGTGGCCGCATTCACATTGCGCTGCTGTACTTGGGTGACCCGGCAGTCCTCAGCGAATTGTGACAGTTTGAGTCACAGTAGATCCCATGCCAACACTAAAGGCAGGAACTGCTGGAGCACATATGACGGCATCGTGGCAAACGTTGCTATCTGGTCGACCAGCCGTAAGTAACGGATAGTCTATCGGACAGAAATGAAGATTGCGGCCAGCATAAATCGCATATAATTTGTCTCTCTTGCACGCAGTGTCGGCTTCTCGCCTTCTTTTAATGCCGACGATGCCGTCGCGTACGGATTCGGCGTCCAAGAAGGCGTCATTCTGTTTCACCGAAATGGTTCATCAATGTTAACAACCTTATTGTTCACTCTGCAGTAGGTATACTGGCATCGCCAAGGGAAGTCTGCGCCAAACTAAGCCTTTGCTTTAAGCCCTGCTCGCAAACCGCGACATAGGAAGGAAACGCGCTGGAACTTACTCATCGCAGCAGCAATTGTAAGTTGATGTTAATGGTAGTCCTTGTATGAAGCTCGTAGTGCACTTTCGCGTTCCGCGCAATCGTGACGCTTAGTGCAGCCTGAGCTTGGAATTCGGTGCATGCGAAGGATATCCTAGCTGTGTGTACATTATCCATTTTGTTTCCTTTTTATCATTGTTGTGCGTCCGCCTATGCGCTTCGGTTACCAACGCGGTGCAGGGCAGGGACTTCGCTGGCTTTCCTACGACCAGATACAGTATCCCGCCGGGAAATATAATCTTCTGGTGGAGCTCTGCCCATGATATAGGGGGTTCGTGAGGGGGCACAGCCACGATGCCAGCCGTGGCCAAGCCTGTGCTCCCCACTATTAACCTCGCCAAGGTACGTAGTACTGGGCAATATGATAAACTTCATGTTAGAGTAATATTAGCTAGGTATGTCAGCGGTCGCAAAACACCCGGTTATGCCCGTCGTCGGGGTTTCAACCAGCCATTACTTCTAAACTTATTGCGGAAGCGCGAATGACGGTTCTTCCCGACGTTACAGGGACATAAGCACGTGTCAGGATTGCTGCGGCTGAATGGGACCCTCTATAGTCGTCACGACTCCCAAGCCCGGAGTAGCCCGTTTCCCAAATCCTTTTCTCAACCATACAGCGGCGCGCCATACACTTCCTCCTTCCATGTATCCCGTTACAATTTCAACCGGGAGGGCATTTCAGGCCCTCCCAGAACCTGGCATTCCTGGCCCTCTTGCTCCACGTCATCATGTAACTCCATGTCTTCCACCGCAACCCCCAACGCAGGTCAAACTCGCCCAAGAGGAACAGCTGCAGCCTCCCCAAGGCATCCCGCCGCCCCCCAGCGCCCTGCGGCCCTCCCGCAATGCTGCCAGCGGCGGCCTCTCATTCACGTCGGCGGCGCAGTTGGCGGCACCGGCGAACACCGGCAGCAGCGGCGCAGGCGCCGCCGCCGCCGCCGGGACGCCCCGTGGCGGCGGCGGAGCAGGCGCCACCTCGCTGAAGGGGGCCGCCAGCAGCGGCGGCAGCACCCTTAGCGGGGCCGCCGACGATGCCTATGGGGGCAACAGCGGCGGCGGCGGCGGCGCTTCGCGCGGTTCGTTCGACAATGGCAATAACAGCTACATCCACCATGCAACGGTGCCGACGGCGACGGCCTATGTACGACAGCCGCTTAACAGTAACCCCCAAACCGTGCGAACCGCCGGCGGCGCGACGGCAGGCATGGTTGCTTCGGCGGCGGCGGCGGTTGGGGGTGGTGGTGTGAAGCCGCTGCCGCCGCCGCTGCTGACGTCACGCATGCCTTCGTACGGCAGCAGCAAGCAGCCGCCGCCGCCGTCGTCGCAACAGGTATCGGGTGACGGGTGCTCGTTGGGTGGAGCCGGCGGCGGAGCAGCGGGCTCATGGTACAGCACCACGGAGGGAAGCGCTCCTCGTTCCCAGCAGCTGCTACAGCAGCAACAACAACAACAACAGCAACCAGCCCGCGGCCAGTCAGGCATGTACGGCAGCGGTAGCACAGTAGCAGTAGCAGCAGCCGGCGGCGGCGCAACGAGTACAACTAGCACCACCGCACCAGCAGCAGCAGCAGCCTCCCGTCCCCCTCAAACCCAAACCCTTCAACAGCAACAGCATCAACAACAGCAATCGCAACAGCAGCATCAACAGCAACCACCGCAACTCCAGCACCAGCAATCTCGCTCTTCTGCAGCAGCAGCAGCAGCAGCAGCCGTCACCACACCCTCCTCCCAGTCCGCCGCCGCCACCGACGCCGGCTCCTCCTCCTCGGGCTCCGGCTCCACCGGCGGCGGCAGCAGCGCCAGCAGTGGCGGGGGCTCGAGTCCCGCCAGCAGCAGCAGTGCAGCGGGGGCCGGCGGCGGCGGCGGGTCAGCTGTAACATGGGAGTCGGGTCACATCACCCCCGCGCAGGCGCTGGCCCGCTACTCGGAGTACATGACGCCGTACGAGCACAGCGAGGTGCTGGAGTACCCGCAGGTGGGGGGGCGGGGGCGGGGGTGGGGGTGGGGGTAGGGGTGGGGGGCCAGGTGGGGGGGGGGGGTAGGGGGGGCGGGCGGGGGGGCGGGTAAGGACGGACAAGTTAGAGCGAAGGCGGAGGGTGTATGTAGGGGGGCGGAGGGGTAACAATAAGGAAGCTGACCCCCCCGCTGCCGCCCCACCCCCCGCAGGTCTACTTCGTGGGTCGCTCCTCCGCCCAGAAGGTGCCCGGCAACCCGCACGCGGCGCGCAACAACTACGGGTACGACGACGACCGGGGCGACTACACTGTCGTACTGCACGACCACCTGTCGTACAGATACGAAGTGCTGTCCATCATGGGGCGAGGGAGCTTCGGACAGGTGGGGTGGGAGGTGGGGGGGCCGAGGGAGCTTCGGACAGGTGGGGTTGGGGGGGGGGAGGAGGTGGGGGGGGGGTGGAGGAAAGAAGGAGGACTTCCAGAGCGTTGATTGAGTACGCATTGGGAATGCAAACCAGATGGGGAGGAGGGGAGGAGGTGTAAACAGAACCCGAAGTGAAGCACTGGGTGGAGACAGGAAGAGGGGGGAAGCTCTGTTACCGTGCAGGCCCTCACGTGCTGCCCCCCCCGTTGTGCTTCCTCCCTGCCTCCCTGCCCGCCTTCCCCATTCCGCTCGCTTTCCCATCCCCTTCCCTTCCCCTTCCCTCCCCCCTGCCGCTTCCCCCCCAGAGGATATGGGATGGGGACTCGTTGTTTCACTTATACAATTCCCCCCCTCCCCTTCCCCCTCCCCCTCCCAGGTGGTGAAGGTCCACGACTTCAAGACCAACTGCCTGCGGGCCATTAAGGTGCGAGTGGGTGCGGCAGCAGCGGCAGCAGCAGCAGCAGCTGAGGCGCAGGAGGAGGAGGAGGAGGAGGAGGAGGAGGAGAGGGGCGACAGACACGCAGGAAGCGGGAGTTGCAGGGACTTGCGCAGGCCACGAACTTCCAGACCGTTTCCAAACCGTTTTACAAAACCAAACTGAACAGCCCTTTACTTACCATCATAATGGTCATCCCCCCTCCGACGGTCTCCTCCCCATCCTCAAGTTCGCCTGCCTGCCTGCTCCTCCACCTGCTCCCCCACTTCCCAGCCATTCTCCGGCTGCTGCAGGGAAAGCCGAGAGCCCCCGCCTCCGGCCCCCTCTGGCTGTGCTTCTCCCTTCTTAACCTCGCGCCTTCCCCCTCCCCCACCCCCGCCCTCCCACCCCATTATATATTTTTTTTTATCCCACCCCCACCCCCACCTTACAATACGGTTTGTTATTGATTGATGCTACTTACTATCTAACGACCACAATTTTTTGCTTACCCAGCTGCACAGCTTCATGCAGAATCTGCTCACCCCTATGATTCCCCTCCTCTCCTCCCCCCCTCCCTGCTTCAGGTCATCCGCAACAAGAAGCGCTTCCACCAGCAGGCTCTGGTGGAGCTGCGGGTGCTGCAACACATCCGGGGGGGCGACCCGGAGGACAGCAACAACTGCGTGCACATAGGGGTGAGGGGGAGGGGGGTGAGGGAGGTGAGGGAGGGGTGGGAGGGGGGTGAGGGGGGTGAGGGAGGGAGGTGAGCCCTTGAACCAGCACGTCCCCTTCCTCCTCCTCCTCTGCTCCGTGGCTTGCCCTTACATCTGGTCTGGTATTCTTCGTTGGCCCCCTCTCGCTCCTGCCCCCTGCTAACCACCTCCCCCTGCCCCCCTCCTCCCCCCCTGCCCCCTCCTCCCCCCCCTCCTCCCCCCCTGCCCCCTCCTCCCCCCCTCCTCCCCCCCCAGGAGCATTTCTACTTCCGTAACCACCTGTGCATCTCCTTCGAGCTGCTCTCCATCAACCTGTACGACTTCATCAAGCAAAACAACTTCATGGGGCTGTCGCTGGGGCTCATCCGCCGCTTCGCGCACCAGATACTCATCAGCCTGAGGTACCTCAAGGTAAGCGGGGGGGCGGGGGAAAAAAGAAATCCCAAAGTGTGGTGTGATAGTGATACAAGTTATCGGGGGGGCGGGGGAGGGGAGGGGGGTAGGGGGAGGGGGGGCATGACATGATATGACATGTGGGCTCCACCATGGGGGGGGGGTTTGCAGACATGGGAGCCGACCCATTCCGCCCTGCCCCAGGGGAGGGGAAGGGAGGGGGAGGGGTCAAAGGGCATGCCAGAAGAAACCGCAGGTTGGGGCTAAGCATTGGGGAGGGGAGGCGGCAGGGGGTAGGGTTAGCGGCATGGTGAGGGGGAGGAGGGGGTAAAAAGAAAGAAACACTGACAAACTGAAGGAGGGGGGGGTCTTTTAACCGGGCCTTTCTCCCTGCGTCACCCTTTCTTCTTCCCTCCGGCAGCAGCTACAGTACTACTACCCGTATCGGAACGCTGGCTTGTCGTGGCCTTTCGGGGCCGTTTGTGCTTACCTATACACCCGACCGCCCGTTGGCTGGCTGTACCCCCGCACGTGTTTCCTCCTCCTCCTGCTGCTGCTGCTCCTGTTCCCCCCCCCATTGCACTCCACCCCCCGATCCCCCCAGGGCTTGTCACCCAGTTTACCACTGCCACACATTTCACATTGAGTATCCTCCTCCCCCCCCCCCAAATTCATTATCACACCACACATTGGAATTTCGTTTTCCCCCCCCCCAATCCCCGCCCTCCCCCCAGCAACTTCGCCTCATCCACTGCGACCTGAAGCCCGAGAACATTCTGCTGCGGCAGCCCAACCGCTCCGCCATCAAGGTGATCGACTTCGGCTCCTCCTGCTACTTGGACGAGCGGGTCTACACGTACATACAGGTGCGGGGGTGGGGGAGGTGGGGGGTTCTGTGTCGGTTCCGTGTCTGTGCGTTAAGCTCGTGTGTCGTTGCGTGTGCTGTGGGGAGGGGGGCGCATCGTGCGGCTCCTCCCCGCCCCGCCCCGCCCTCGCTTGCTGCCCATTGCCGACCTGTCCCCCCTTCCCTCCCCCGTTGTTGCATTTATTTATAATTTTCCCCCTTCCCCCCCTCCCCCAGAGCCGCTTCTATCGCTCCCCCGAGGTCATCCTGGGCGCCAGCTACGGAGTGGAGATCGACATGTGGAGCCTGGGCTGCATTCTGGCGGAGCTGTACACCGGCTACCCGCTCTTCCCGGGTAGGGGGGGTGGGTGGGTGGGTGGGTGTTAAGGAAATTGGCCGCGAGGGGCGGAACGTACTGCAGGCAGGAACGGCAGGCTGGCAGGCTGGCAGGCAGGGGTGTTGTGCCAAGAAAGTTGGCTGGGATGTGTGTTAAGAAAACCGGCCTGTGTGTGTGTGTTAAGAAAACCGGCCGCGAGGAGGAACCGGCCTGTGAGTGTGTGTGTGTGCGTGTGTGTGTGTGGGGTGTTGAAGCGAGCCGCGACTGTGTGTTTTATCTGACCTCGCCTCGCGCCCAGCTGTATTCGCTGAGTACCCCCCGGCCTCTGAATACGCCCTGGTGCCCTGCTAGTCGTGAGCCATGCTGGTCGGTTGCTACTACCGTACCCCTGCTGTGCTTCCCCCGCCCGCCTGCCAACCCTCCCCCCCCCCCCCACACACACACCTACCTGTCACCCCACCCGGGGGCCCCTCCTAGAGCTTGTCGTCTGGCTTGCCGTCCTCATTCAACACAACATTGGGTATTCTTCTTCGTTCAACACATTGGGTATTCTTCTTTTCCCTGCCCCGATGATGCGTGTTATTAGTGTCTCCGAATGCGCTCACTGCATGAGTCGGGATATGGGATTGGGATTCGTTGTTTCACTTTTCTATAATTCTTTTGGTATCATTATCATACCACACTTTGGAATTTCTTTCCCTCCCCCCCCCCCTGCAGGCGAGGACGAGATGGAGCAGCTGGCGTGCATGATGGAGGCGGTGGGTCCGCCCCCCCGCGAGCTGCTGGAGACAGCCAGCCGGAGGAAGCTGTTCTTCGACTCGGGCGGCAACCCGAGGCTGCAACCCAACAGCCAGGGGCGCACGAGACTGCCGGGGACGAAGAGCCTGCAGGTGCGCGTGGGGAGGGGAGGGCGGCAGGGGGCAGGGGGGGAAATAGGGGCTGGAAAGGAAGGGAGGAGGAAGGGGACGAAAGGGGAGGTACCGTACGACATCCACCGAGGTACCGTACGACATCCCGCCCCCTGCCTACAAAACTTGCACTGCCCATAGTTTAGAGGTCCCCATAAACACTACCCTTCTCCTCCCCCCAACCACACCACCCCCAACACCACCCACCGAATATCTCACCAGACATTGGGTATTCTTCCTCCCCCCGACCGCCCCCCCCCCTCTCCCGCCCGCCCCCCCCTCTCCCGCCCGCCCCCCCCCCCTCCCGCCCGCCCCACCCCACAGGTGCTGGTCAAGTGCAGCGACCCCGCCTTCCTGGACCTGCTGGAGAAGTGCCTCCGTTGGGACCCCCGCACCCGCCTCACGCCCGAGCAGGCGCTGCAACACGTGTGGATCATGGACCAGAACCCCTCGCCCACCAGCTCGCGAGTGCAGCCGCTGCCGGGAGGGGGCGCGGGGGGGCTTGCGGCGGCGGCGGCGGCGGGTAAGGAGGGTAAGGAAGGAAAGGAGGAGAGGGAGCGGGAGAAGAAGTTGGCGGGAGGGGGAGCGAGTGGCGGATTGGTTGCAGCGGCGGCGGCGAAGCTTCAACAGCAGCAGCAATCGCAGCAACAGCAGAAGGGTGATAGCGGCGCCGTGACGGCGGTTGCTACCATCGTACAACCGGCAAAGTACGACCCGATTGGGGCGGCCGCCGCCGTCGCAGCGTCGTCGTCGTCGGCGGCGGCGGCTGGCGGTCGCGCCGCGCTTACTGACAGCGCCATGGGCCATCACTCGGGCGGCGCCGTCACCGCTGTACGACCCAGCAAGGCGGGTAGCGGCGGCGGAGCCGCCGCCGCCGCTGACGGTGGCGGCGGCGGCGGCGGCGGCCAAGTCCCCACTCGCTCTTCCGAGGTTCGCGTGGCGGGGTTGGGATCGACGGTGCTGACGTCAGCGCCGCCGCCGCCGCCGATCACGGTGCCGACGTTGGACCTGGCGGCGTTGCGTGCTGCCGCCGCCGCCGCCATAAGAGGCAGCGGAAGCGGTGCCGACGTGGAAGATGGCGGCGGTGGCGGCGGTCCGCCGCCACTGACGTCGCGTGCGCACTACCAGCCGCAAGTCGGCGGCGCCTTGTCGCTGCCGCCGCCAGCGCTGCACCTCAGGTCCGAGGGCGTGCCGCTGCAGCCCTCCATGCTGTCTCCCAGGAACAGCAATGCGCACACGCCGCGGGGTGCCGCTGGCGGCGGCGTCGGCGGCAGCGGGGGCCTTGCTGCCGGCGGCAGCGGCGGAGCCGCCGGCCGCTCCTCCGGAGCGCTGGCGCCGCCGGCCGCCGTCACCGCCGGTTCATGGTCCTTGAGCGGCGGCTTGGGCGCTGGTCCTCCGCCGTACAACCTGGCTGGATCTAAGAGCCTCGGGTACGGCAGCCCGCCCATTGCAGGCTCCGTTTCCGGGGGATTGGGCATGGGTACGGGCTCGGTGGGTTCAGCTGTTGCGCAGCGACTGTCGTCGCAGTCGGCGTCGCTGGCGGCGGCGACGGCGGCCGCCGCCGCCGCCAATGCTCAGGCGTTGGCGTCTGGTGGCGTTGGCGGCGGCGGCGGGGGCGGGGGTCTAGGAAGCGGCAGCCTCAGTGGCGGCCTTCCCACGCTAGGGACGCCTAGAAGATAAAGCGTCGCGAGGGAGGAGTGAGGAGGGGGGCCGCAGGGCGCCGTGCGGAAGCTCGAATGCGGGCGGTTGGGATGTGGAGTGTGTGCGGGTTGGTTGGCGTGCAGGTTGGAAGCATGGGGGCGATGCGGTTGGGTGGAGGGCAAGGAATGAGGGATCCATGCGGTTTGGGGTGGTCATGCGGTTAGGGGTGAGGCAGGCGTTGGGTCACACTCACTAGCGTTGGCTCCTTGTCATCGGTATGTCGGTTGTTGTCAACAGCAGGGTTTGGGTGTGCGAAGCAGGGACGTTGTTGGCACGGTGGGCTTTATGCGGGCTTCGTGCAGGGGAGGGAGGTCATTTGCAGGGTTGCTGTTCACGCGCGTAGAATGATGCTCAACGGTGCAGGTTGACGTTTCGGTTTGTACATGAGAACATTGGCATGAATTTCAATGGAGGACGGACCTGAGAGGCGGTGGAGGTTGATGAGAAGGGTAGGTTTGACGCGGGCAAAAGGCAGATGTACAGAATACAAAATAGCGCCGGTATTCTTACGAGGAATGCGGGACTCTTTCCTGCTGGAAACCTCCCTTCCTCCCGTACTGTTTACGTTTTTGCGGCGGATCGGATCTTCCTACGGATGGAGGTGGAAGAAGGAAGACCCGCAGGTGACCTGCCCCCGGTTACACCATGCGGCAGAGGGCTTTGGGCCGTTGTCCCATCGACCCCCTGCGCCGTGTCATAGCCTGACTTGTCTCGTTTGTTGTATATTTGCGTCTACACATCGGGGTTGGGTCATGAGGAGAATCTGGAGTTTAGATTACGTCTGCGGCTTACGGTAGTGGCGCAGAGGAGGAGTCAAGAGCACATGTCTCACCTTGACTTGCCCGCTCCTGCTTGCCCCAACACTCTTTTTGCGCTGCGCGTGCAGCCACACCCGGAAATGTGTCACGACGGGGTGGGGCCTGCCAGCGGCTGTGTTCATTGAGCGAGAGAGTTGGGTAGGGAAGAATAGGGAAGAAGAGGTATGCGGTTGAGAGATAAAGAGAGCAAAACTTCCCTTTTGGTTTCGGTTGGCCGGTTGGTCGGTCGGTTGGTTGGGTGGGTGGGTGTGCCTTGATTTGTGCCACAGGGGGACAGACAGTCATGTGTGGCGGAGGAGCAGAGGAGGTGCGAAGAAGTTGGGGAAGATGGTGGAGCTCTGCTTGGCTGGTTGAGGCATGGAGGCGGTCTTCTGCGCCTCTTTCGGCCACCAGGGGTTGCTCACGGGGGGCGACGACAAGCGGCGAACATGGTGAGGTGGGAAGGGCAGAGGCCTGTGGGATTGCGATAACGGACGTAGATGCCAGGATGCATGTACGAATGAACGAGAAGAGAGGTATGAATCCAGAAAATATGATTGGTTTGGTATCGATGGGTTTGCTTGTGCGGCAATTGTACGGCAGAGTAACTTCGGATGTACGGAGTTCGGCGTCACACAAAACGCGGCGTCCCGAATGATGTGTGCCTTCGGCGGCGCTGCAATAGTGCGCTGTCATGGCCCACAGAAGATGGACCCTTCGGCCATTATGCGAGGAAGTTGGGAAACATGTCTTGTTTGCAGGGGGGCGTGCTTGCGTGTGAAGAGTTGCACGGCAGACCGGCGTCTGTTGCTGTATGGGTTACGCCAGCAATTGCTTGTTTGTTTGAGGTCTTGAGACGTTTTGCCGCGCGGACGGATACCATCTATCGCCTTTACTAGCGACCCCTCACATCTTGCGTCCCCTCCTAACCTCATCACGCCTGGAACTGATGCGCTATGATGGATTGTGTGTTTGTTTGTACGGCATGTGCGCGTATGTTGACGGAATGTGCGCGTGTGTGTTGACAAACCTGGACGCGTGTGTCAACAGGAACGGTACGATGCGTCGACGGACCTTTCGAGTTTTGAAATTATGGGAACGACCCATGGGTCATATCTGACTGGACTGCAGACCACCGACTGGACCCGACCCCAGCGGGTCATTTCTCTGACTGACGGTTGATGACGGCAATGTAGTACGTGCTGGTGTACGGTAAATGTGTACGGCAACGTTTTGTGTAGTAGAGTTGATGATATCGTCGTGCATATTAAGTGCTGGGCGGTTCGGTACGGTACCTCTTTCCTGATGTTGGTCGGTTTTGCATGGGCGGTCTTTTGGGTACATTGCATGTTCTTGGAAGCCCAGGCTTGGGCTGCCGGCTTATCATCGGTGCATGGATTCAACAACGGGAAATCAATAACGCAGGCGCCCTGCTTCGTGCATGGGATATGCCGGGACCGGGCTGCCCTTAAATGTGGCTCCCATTCGTTATTAATAAGGCATGGGAACAGGAGTTGTGGATGGTGGCAAGGGCGGCGGCGATGGTTTCAGCAGCTGTAGCTAAATAAGGGGCGGTGTGAAGCTGATTGCATGCGCTGCTATCCTTCCAAGCGGTGGCCAAGAACACCGAGCGTTACACGCCTTGCGGGCTGCACATTTGGAAGGTGTCGCGCCGCCTTGCAGCTCCCGCCCCCGGCCCCCCCGCCGCGGCTGCTGCTGCCAGCCCACAGTCGCCACGGCCATTGGGCTCAACTTGCTGTGTCCTTACTTCATGGCCAATGTACTGTACTACTACTGCATGTGCCGGTCTGAAAAGATGGTGTGTACTGTGGGAGGGACAGCGTTGCTAAGGGACGCTGCGGGACACGCGTTTTGGACATAACCTAGCATAGTACGGCAGAAGCTGTTATTTTGGCGACAGTACGAAGTGCCAGTATGAAGGGATTTGTTTGGGTCGCGCGCTCTTCGTTATGGCGAATGGGATGGGAATGCTGTTGTTGGCCGGCCAACATTGGTCGGACTGGTTTCAGACTGGGTTATGGAGGTTGGGTTTTGCTGCATCAGGGGGGGTGTCGATTGCCGTGCTGCGGTGGTTATGTGCATTGTGGGTGCATGTGGCCGGACTGCTTCTTACGTTGGTCTCAGAACCGCTGCATTAGTGCCTTTTGTCGTTCTCTTGTGCCCCCGTCTTGCTGAGTTGCCCCTGTCCTGGACGTGCTCTCTTGCTCGTGGGGCGTGACTCCTGCAGCTTGTCGTTTCATTGGGGTGAAGAGGCGTGAAGAGCATCGGTTGCCATAACAAATGCGCCCATGAAGCCCAAGGGTGCTGAAGGGCTGTGGTTACACTGCTTAGTAGCCAGTGGCCCGACGAATGCGTTGAGCAGTTAGAAGTGAGGTTTTGATGCTTTTGACTTCAGGCTTGTGATAGGCTTGATGATTAGGTGGAGGACAATCTTGATAGGTATAGAGGACACTGACGTTGTAAAGGACCTGCGATGCCGATTGCGCACCAGCGCTGTCTTACGGGATCTATGCCCTCACTCGGACCTCTGCGTTTGCCTGCACCTCAACTGTCTGCTACATGCCGTACTGCGGAACAAATCGCTTCCCAGTCTTGACACCTCTCCACACCTTTCCACGCAATCGCACAACCCGGCCCCGTGCGGCCGCTCGCACATGCGCCACCACGGCCCTTGACACCAAGTTATTGACCTGGAAGTATTCCTGCATTACGCCACGCTGCCACAAGCTCCCAACGTTTGGACGTTCCCACGCCGTCCTTCCTGTTAACCCACTATGAAGTTGCAGAGGGACACTTAAGCGCGGCATGGCACAGACTCCACTCATGCAGCTGCGGCTACCCCCCCTACCCCCACTCATGCAGCTGCTGCTAGTAGTAGCAGATGGTGTAGGTAAGGCGGCGACCCGTCTCCTGCTGAAACTGCGCCACCACACCGTCCACCGAGTCCTCCCACTCGCCTCCTAGCTCCAGCTGGGTGGGTGGGATTGGGTGGGATAGGGGGTGCAAGGCATGCGGGCTCTGTTAGTACAGCACTCTAGCTCATCGTTTGACCCACGCCCGATGAGCCCATCCAACCAGCCAGCTAGGCAGCCAGCTGTGTCACACACGCACCATCTGGCAGAGCTTGAGGGTGGCGGCCGCCGCGCGTGCGGCCTCCTCGGGGTTGTCCTTCACGTCCTGCGGGGAAGGGCGGTGCGTGTGTGTGTGTGTTAGAAAACCCTGGCCGCGAGTTGGAACGTGCGTGGGCGACCCATGGGGCTGAGGGCTTAGGAAGGATTTGCGTTTCCCTGTACGTCCCCATGGCTCAGTAATTGCACCCCTTCCCCCCCTTCCCCCCAGGGCCGCCCAGGATGATACCGGTATCCACGTGCAACCATACCGCGCATGGAGAGATGCCCATCAGAAGGGTCTCATGACGTCCCCATACCCCCCCCCTTCAAGAGCAGCCCTCCTAGCTCACCATGTTGCATACCAGCACGGGTTGGAGGGTCACTTGGGCCCGCTGGTTCATGTCTGACAGGTGGCGGCGGGGCCGGTGGGGTGATCAAAGGGAAAGTGAGAAGAGGAGAGAAAAGGGGCTTTCCAAAGCCCCGCATGGGCTCCCTTTCCAACCCGCCCTCAGTCCCCTCACCTTCCAGCACCTGCTCCATCACGCGCTCCTCAAACGTGACGACCACATCAAAATGGTCCCTGCGTATTGCAAGGAAGGAACGCGGCATGGTAAATACCGCAACCGGGCCGCAGTCCTGTATCACTGTATACCAAAGCTAAGAGAAGCCATCGACCAGGGAGAGGTGTAATGCCGGCCGTGTTAACGTGAAGTGTGGAGCTGTGGAGACCCGCATGCGGGCTAACTGACAGCTGCGGGACCGCACGCATGCGCTGGAGGCTGTTGGTGGTTGCAGGTGCGGGAATGTACGGCATACCGGCAGGCGGGAAACAGTCGGACAGGGCATGGGGTGACGCTGCCGAGCCACACGTCACAAACCTGTTCTCCTGATACCGCTCTGGCGCCAGTTTGACGCCCATGTTCCTGCGCAGCATCTGCAGCAGGCCATTGCGCGTGTAGAGCTCCGGGTCCTTGGAGGAAAGGTCATCGTAGATTGTCTTGTACGGCGTGCCGAACTGCGTGGCCGAACCAGCAGTGGCGTGGGTAGTGAGCAGGGGCGGAGTGGGAGGGTCTCAGGGTTTGCATCTCTTCTGTAGTATTCCAGTATGGGATTCCTGTTCGAGGGCTGCTGTTGGAGGGCATTTTGTGTGCAGCGGTGCAGCGCGGTGCAGCGAGCACGAACGCAGAGGAGATTAGCTAGCTGTCAGCTACATAAGGACACAATTTGCTGAACGTGCGTGAAGTATGGAATGCATTCCTAAACATACTAACCTTATATACGTTAGGCTCCTTCTGACTGGGCCCGGGAAGCTTCACATGCGCACCGACGCCGAACGAACTGACCTACGCGCCAAGAAAGGACTGTATACTCCAGCACACACTTCATATGTACTCAGCTGTAATTGAGGCTGCGCGTATACTGCGCACCGCTCACGTTCATGCCATTCTTCTTCAACATCGCATGAGCCTCCATGGACCTGTTTTGGTTTGACGCGCAGACCATAGCAAACCGTAGCTGGCGCATTTTCGAGGGGCTGTGGTGCTGCTCGGACAAAAGCACCACAGCCCAGACGTTCCTAACCGGCGAGTCAGCTGCCAAGAAACGAACGCTGTGCGGCTGCAGAAATGTCAAGGCGGTGCGTCACCAATTGAGGAAGAAGTAGGATCCAGGACAAGTAACGCATCTTGCAGCAACAATAGGCAGTAGCTAATGCATCAACGGCAGTTCGTACGACAGCCACCGTAGCGTGCTAGCGCCAACGGGAGTTACTTGCCAACCACATGTTGACCATACTGCCCGACGACTATAGCAACACGAGCATTGCCCGACACCTACAGCCTTGTTTGGCAGGAAACAATTCCCAGCGTGGGCTGGTGAGAACTTCAACCCACGCTTGTCTGTGAGCCGCTATCAAGGCATCCGCAATCTTCCGGAACACCCCTTCCATCTCATCTGCGCGACGCTACATGCATGTATTCTGTGCAGCCATGTTCCTCTTGACCTTCATTCCGCCAAAAGAGCACCGGTGTCAACTCCGCAAGTCCAGGCTGCGTCTCGGCGCCCTGTCGTACAATGTGAAGCCTCTTTCCCAAACCGTTGGACTCTGGTCGGGTCAAACAACCTAGTTGAACTCTCCCAAACCCAACCCCCCAGAAACGCACTTTCGACTCCACTAACCATGCTATGGAATTTGAGCCCAACGACAAGGCAATCCTGCCAGTCAACAGCCCAACACCCCAACACTGACAAGACCTCGTCATCAAGAAACAGGATATCCAGTGCTTCATACCGTAGCTCTGCGAGTTTTATCCTTTAAAAGCTGTGAGCAACAAGGCAATCAACATCCATCCATGCCGCCCCCTTTCCCCTCTTCCCCATAGCCCCCTACCTCAGATCCGCCCACTCCTCAACCGCTGCCACCATCAACTCCCCAACCCCCACACATCTTTCTCACTTCCTCCCTTCTCCCCCCTCGGCAACTCCCCCCTTCTCGCTTCCAAACCATCACCGCCGCCACTGCCACGCCAGCAGTCCTGACGACAGTACCGGTACCGGCGGCGGCGGCAGCTGCCTCGCTACAGCCACCGTACGACGTTCCTCCTGCTGCCGTACCGTCCGAGAAAACTGCAGTCGCGCCCGCCAGCACCCCGCCGCCCCCACCACCAACCCCAGCGCCTTCGCAACCAGCAACCAAGCCGCCAGTCGCGCCAAGCCGCCGACACCGCCGCCACCGGCGATACTCGCAAAGCCGCATTCTAGCTCCCCGGCGGCCGCGCCATGTACGACAGAGCTAGCGGAGCACGGCGGGACGCTGCTAGCAGGCAGTGCCCGCCGCAATGCTGACGCCGCCGCCGCTGCTGTCGTACCGGCGGGTTGCTGACGCATGCAAGCCAGGATCGCCAGCTCCGGAACCATTTGCAACAGCGCCACGCAAGCAGCGTACGGCAGCCTTAGCTGCATCACAGCCGGCGGGAACAGCGCGCGATGCGCCAGAAAGGCGACCAGCGCAAACGGACGCAGCAGTACGGCAATAGGTAGCGGCCGGTGCCAGTAGCGCGCCGCCGCCTCCGTCAGCAACGCCGGCGACGCCGCCACCGCCGCGAGCTCGCGAAGGTGTACGACATACGCAACGCCGCCGCTGACTGCTGCCGCCGACGGGGTACGACGACGCTTGCCAGGGGCGGCGCCGGCGGCGGCGACGGCAGCAGGAGCAGCATTAGCATCAGGCGCCGCTGCGTACTCCGAGTCCTTATCCTTCCAAGGTGCTGCTGCTGAAGTCGACTCTCCATCTTCCGCTTCTCCGAACGCCCCTCCTCCTGCGTCATCTCCCTTTGCTCCCCGCCCTGCAACATCCGCACCCTTCTGGCGCCCCACGTCTCCCCGCGTGCCAGAGATGGCCTCGCCACTGCCGTCAGCTGCTGCCGCCGCCGTCACCGCCGCCGCCGCCGCGATCATCCACTGCCGTACACGCAACACCGCCATTCCAAGCTGCGTGACAATCATGGACGGCGCCATGTCAGCTGCCAGGAACAGCAGAAAGGATCGCATCTTGGACCCAAATTCCGCCTCTCCGCGCAGGGTGAGATGCGCAGCCATGGCCGCCGTGAGTACGGCAGTAGCGGCGAAGGCGGCGCGATCCGTCGCCACCAGACCCGCAGCCCGCCAGGCGAGGAAGCGCGATTCCAGATCTGGATCCTCGAACCCCAGCAAACAGGTGCGCAGCTGCTGCAGACTGACTGACGCCGCTGCTGCCGAGGCGTCGCCTTGCGGCGGCTGAGGAGCCCTGCCGCCATCATCTCCCTCAACAGCAGGTACTGGTACTACATCGGACACAGGTGATGTGGCGGGACCACTTTGCAGCGCGTGCAGTGGCGTTGGCGGCGGTGCTGACGGCGGCGGCGGCGGCGTTGGCGGCATTTCGCACCCCGCTACCTCAGGCGTCGGCACGCCTGAGGGTGCCTGTGCCTCTGCAGCGACCTCGTCGTTGGAGGGCGGCACAGCGACGTCGGCGGATTCACCCTCGGCCTCCTCCTCCTGCTGCTGCTGCTGCTGCTGCTGCTGCTGCTGCTGCAGGAGCAGCTGCACGCACTGCGGCATGCGCTGCTCAAGAAGAAAGGACAGCAGCGGGGATCGGACGCGTTGTAGCAGCTGCACCTCCCTTCTCCTCGTAGCCTCAGTTGCCGTTGCCGTTGCTGTAACGGTTGCCGTTGCAGCCCTCATCTTCTGAGCTGAAGAGCTGCACAGGGCCAGGTCGTGCAGCAGGGGTGCAAAGCTCTGCGTGTAAGCGCTAGACGCTGCGGCCGCCGCAGCCGCTGGGGCCGAGGCCGACACAAAAGGCGGCGGCAGTGCTGAGGTCTGCACCAGCGGGTCCTCTGCCTCCTCGGATGCCTCGGACGCCGCCGCCAGGGCCGCGGTCATGTCCTCCCCACCAACTCCAGGCATCCCAGGACCTGGTTGCGCCATAGCCCTAGCCCCAGCTAGATCCGATGCTGCCTCCGCCTCCGCCACCGCCGCCACCGCCGCCGCCTCCGCCACTGTTGCCGTTGCCTCCTGCTTTACGCGGCCCCAAAGGCTCAGCAGCTCCCTAGCACAGCCAAGCTCCAGCACAGGAACGCTCAAGGAAGCGAGAAGCACCTCCTCCTCTTCCTCCTCCGCTTCCCTACCGCTGGCGTCGCCTGGCGCCTCTTCGCCTTCCCTCTCCACCTCCCCTTCCCCCTTAATTACGCCGCCGCTCCCACCCTCGATGTCATCGACGCCCGCGGCGGAGGAGTCCGCCGACGCACGGACCCCCACAGCACTCCCCTTGACGCCAACACTGGCTCCGCTGCCGCCGCCACTCCGAGCGATGTAACCGAGCAGATGCAGCTCCAGCTGTCCCCAGCGTCCAACATTCGCAGCACTCGCCAGCCCTGCCTCAGCCCTCTCCCGAAGGAAATCAAGCGCTGCCGCTGTCGCTTCCGGGGCAACCAGCGGCGAATCCGCCACCTCAGCTGCCTCCGCCTCCGCCGCTGCGGGCAAGGAGGGCTTCCGCACCGCTACCGAAGCCTCCTGTACGGCAGTCTCCAAGACCGCCACCGGTATCTCCAACAGCAACCGGGAGCCCTCATCTTCTTCCACGCCCGGAGCCCTGTCAGCAGCACCCATGGCAGCGGCAGCAGCAGCAGCAGCAGCACCTGCTGGCTCAGGCGGGGTTAACGGCGGTGACATCAGCGGCAGCAGCTGCGCCAAGTCTCCCAGATCAACCTTGCGAAGGAACTTTCCGGCAGCCGACACAGCTACGGCCAGTCGCCCCACGCCGTCCGCTCGAGCCCGCGCCAGATGCGCGAACGGGACAGCAACGGCCAGCTGCGGACGCGACGGCGCCGCCACCGCTGCCGCTGCCGCTGGCGGCGGCTCCACTGACTCCAAGACGGGCGGCTCCGGGAATACCCCCTCCTGCCATGCAAACATCAGTCGCTGCCGCTGCCGTCGCCGGCCTCCTCTGCATGCGACACCTGGCGCGCTCCAAACGCAGCTCCCTCCTGACGTCTCCTCACCTCCACTGCCGCTGGCGTCGTCGCCCGCAGCACCGGTGGCGCTTGTCGTACAAGATGCCACGCCGGCGGCGTCAAACCCGCTGACGTCAACTTCGGCGACAGATCCAATCGGAGCAAGCGGATGCACGGCAGCGGCGGCGGCCCGAGAGCTGCTGCCGCCGGCGGCTTCCGCCGCCAACGCGGTCCTTCTGGCGGTTGCAGCCGTCCTGGGAAGCGGCAGGTGCGCCTTCGCTCCACTTCTGCCGCTGGCTCCCGCATAATCCTGGATTCTGAATCCGCAAGCGTTCAGCTCCTTGGACAGGTCCTCCTCCAACCTGCGTTGCCACGACATGTGGTCATCCCCGCCTCCACCGCCGCTGCTGCCCTCGCCGCCGCCAGTGCTGCCGCTCGCCCTGCCGCTGCCATAACGGTCGCCTCCCGCGGCGCCTCGGCTCGACCTACTTGTAGCTGCGGCGGCGGCGGCGGTGGAGGAGGCATCTCGGACCGCGCCCAGCCTGCGTATCGTAGGCGCTGCCGCTGCCGTACCTCCGCCTGCGTCCCCAGCTACCGCCACTTGTACGACAAGGCGCACGCAACCGGGGATGGCATTGAGCTGTGCGATGACAGCAGGCGAGCGGGGTCCGAACGCTGCGCTCTGAAGGACCGCCGGGGATGGACTCGCCAGCCGACTGCGCCGCCCTGCCGTACTTGCGCCGGGCGCCGCCGCCGCTGCCGCGGCCGCTGGCGGCGGTGACAGCGGCGGCGGCGGCTGTTGCGGCCGCAAGGAGCTCTTCCCCCCACTTGCTCCCGCCTCCGCTGACTTTCTGACGTTCACTGTAGCACCCTCCTCCGCGTTAGGCCCAAGCTCTTGCTCACCACGTCCTTGCCCGCTATGCCAACTGTTGAGCTTCCTATCGAGCAGCTGGAGCGCCGCCCGAGTAACGCGCTCCGCAACCGCCCGGAAATCCGCGTGATCGTGGTAAGGCTTCCCGACCTCGCGATCGGCGTCGTCGTACATCCCTTGCTTAGGCAATACAAAGGTTGGCTGTGGCGGCGACAGCTGCGGCTGTGGCCTGGCGTCCTGATCCTGCCTGGCTCCCTCCCTGCCTCCTTCTGCACCAGCAGCAGCAATAGGAGCGGCGGCTATAGCCGCACCAGCAGCAGCTGCGGCGGCAGCAGAATCCGTACGAGTCGTCTCGCTAGTCGTACTGTCGGCGGCCAATGCAGCGGTCGGTGGCGATTCCGCTGCAAGCACCTTAAGCGATACATGCACGCTGCGAAGGGGGCTGCAGTACAAGCAGCTGGGGCGGCTACCGACGGGGGTGCGTGGCGCAGCGGATGCGACCTTGGAGGCTGCTGCATCCCTGGGCACGGGTACGAGCGGTTTCGGAGGCGATGCAACTGTGTCCATTGCACCTGCTACGCGCTCCAGTTCCTTTTGGATAGACGAAGCGTGTCGTGTGGTGCGGGTCGGAGGCCGGTAAGCAGCTATTGCGGTGCCATCTGATAAAGGAGCAACCAGCAGGGCTTTCCTGCTGCTAGGAGGTGAAGTCTTGGCGGAAGCGGCTGCTGCTGCTGCCTCGGACTCCTGCTCTTCGGGCTTTGCAGGTTGTGGCGCGAGCGGTTCTCGAGGGCTACGGCTGAGGGCGGTTGCGAGCGTTGAGGAGGTCAGGCAAGCGGCTGTGACACAAAGTGCTACGGCGGATAGCGTAAGCACTACAAATCGCCAAGTGGGGCAAGCGGTTGCAATTCCGCCTATTGAAGCTATGACAGCGATCGCTGCTGCTATGGCTGAATTGACAAATTGTTTGGCAGCTGGCATCGTGGCGCTTGGAAGCCCTTGCTCTGCCTTCCTTTTATGCATTTGCTTACATAACCGGAAAAGTTATGTACCGGCGCAGTTATGTTCCCGTAAAGTGTAAAAACAAAAGGATGATGGCTGGATTACGCGTATCGGATCATATTGCTTCGTTATACGAAAATCTATCGCAAGCGCGATTCGCGCGGACTGATCGTGACCTCATCACGTGCAACGTGGTCGTATCGTACCGTTAGGCAACAATAGGTAGCCTGATGAGCCAACCCGCAAGAGTGGAAGCGTAAAGCCGCATGCAACACCATATCGGCAGCAAAAATAGCGCGCGTTTGGTCCCATAAAGGCGACCACACCACGCCGCCGACCCACGGTTCGCGTCCCGCTTCTGACTAATGGACAGCGGGATCCTGCACAGGCAACTTTGCACTGAGAAACTACTTCCAATCCCTGGTTACGGTACCTTCAAACGCTGCAGACTACTTCCAATCCCTGGTTACGGCACCTTCAAGCGCTGCACGCTTCCGCAGTATTTGCTTTAACTGGAGCCCTGAACTCACCCTGGCCGAGCCCTACCCAACCTCCACGTGTACCTTAACATGGTTTTGCGTGCTGGCGGCGATTGTGTCCCGCTTATTCCGTGCTGAAGCTATCACGACATAGCACGACCTAACCGTCGTGTGCTGGCGGCGATTGTGTCCCGCTTATTCCGTGCTGAAGCTATCACGACATAGCACGACCTAACCGTCGTGTGCTGGCGGCGATTGTGTCCCGCTTATTCCGTGCTGAAGCTATCACGACATAGCACGACCTAACCGTCGTGTGCTGGCGGCGATTGTGTCCCGCTTATTCCGTGCTGAAGCTATCACGACATAGCACGACCTAACCGTCGTGTGCTGGCGGCGATTGTGTCCCGCTTATTCCGTGCTGAAGCTATCACGACATAGCACGACCTAACCGTCGTGTGCTGGCGGCGATTGTGTCCCGCTTATTCCGTGCTGAAGCTATCACGACATAGCACGACCTAACCGTCGTGTGCTGGCGGCGATTGTGTCCCGCTTATTCCGTGCTGAAGCTATCACGACATAGCACGACCTAACCGTCGTGTGCTGGCGGCGATTGTGTCCCGCTTATTCCGTGCTGAAGCTATCACGACATAGCACGACCTAACCGTCGTGTGCTGGCGGCGATTGTGTCCCGCTTATTCCGTGCTGAAGCTATCACGACATAGCACGACCTAACCGTCGTGCAGAAGACGGTTAAGTCCGCTGCACACTGACCTCTTGGGACAAAGCCAACGCATGAAGGACCACAGTTACCTACGGGGCTCCTGGGTAGTGCTGCTCCAGGTAGTCAGCGCTGTAGAGCCGTTATAAAGATATAAACAATTGAATTTTTACAAGAAGCGTGCATGACACACAACAACAAGTACGGCAGACCCAAGCCGTAAAAACAACAACAAGCACGGCAGACCCAAGCCGTCACGATCTGCTGCTGCCAAGCGCAACAGGGCCAGCATGAATACCCCCCCATAACAATAGCGTTACGTGGTTCCGTTGCAACACCCCTTCAACGTCCTGCAAACCCTACATGTTCCGTGATACAGCATAGCCACATGGGCACGAGGTTTTACCTCTCGCAGGACGAGGCCCCCAGCAAGACTGTACATGCAGCGCTGTCTATCCAGCGCATTCTACAAACATACAATAAAGACGACCGTCAAAGACAGCGCAGAAGAGCTACATGGAGCTACACGTAAGATGAACAGAGCAATACAAACTATCGTACACGCCAAATCCACGTACGCCAAGCATACGGTACGGCAAACAAACATGACCAACCAAACTTACCATCACCTGTAATACGGACACAGCGGAAACCAAAGCCGCAAAAGGCCAGCCTGCCAGCAATTTGGCAATGAAATAGTGTCCAGGTAGTGAACGGTGCTGTTCCCAACAGCAAACGCTGCAAGGCTGCCAAATAAAAACTTAAAAGAGAAGCGCTGGATCGTCTTCTCACATGTAGACCTGCAGTACCTACTGCAAAATCCTAGTCCTAGTCTCCATCAAACAGCAAAGTACGACATAACAATCCAATAGCTGTTGCCTGCATGCAGCAGGGCTTCGGAGCCATTATGCCATGGCGGGCATACACCGCTGCCTGAGAGCCGCGACTTGGGGCGCTATAAGGCGAAACAAAACAGTCGCCGCGCGTACATGGTACAAACCCTGCCATACGCTGGTAAAGCCCAACCTGCGCATGCAGACAGAAGCATCCATAAGCTGAGCGAGCCAAAAGTTGGGCGAGGGTGAAGGTAAGATGGCATCTTAAGGCCTCCATGAAATCCCGCAGGGGCGCCGGACAGGGAACTTCTTAGTCGCTCTTGCGCCTGAAGCTTGTGCCCTCGCTTAGCCTGAGGGGGCAGGGGTGCAGTACACAGGTGGTGGTGGTTATCGCGTCTATCCCTGACTGATGCTTGCTGCCTAAGACCAGTTGATATTCGGTGGAGGTCGATCGCGGCGGCTGGGGCGGTAGTTATGATACCGGTGCAAACAGTGGGGGAACAGCGGTTGGCGGCATGTAACTCGACAGTAACTTTATGAGTCCCAAATGCCTTAAGATAACTATTCCCGGGTAAACCTTTGTCGAGACATGCAGCCTTTTGCGCGTGGCCTACAGGCCTTCCGCTCGATCCCGGAATTACCTGGCCTTGCCCCCCGTAGGCTGCGCCAGCACTGCGGCACAGCTGGAGCATGTCACGACCATTTGAGAATGCGAGAAGACGGTTGTAATGTTGAAGCAGCCCTGGCACTTGACGTCCATGAAGTACGAGTTCGGGCTCTGAATAAGCCTCTTCCGCTTATGACGCTGAGCCTCCAGCCGAGCTGGCGGGTTAAGCAGGTCGATATCGATTTGCAGCGGCATTCTGACGCTGTTACCAAAGGCGAGAGGGTGTGAGGACTGTCTTTTGAGAAAAAAATAAACACCGTGTCTCTGCAGAAAGCTACTCGTAACACTGCCGCACGCCTATAACCGCACAGCAACGTGAGAAATTTGGCTTCCAACGCTGTAATGCAAGGTGCAACGTGCGCTTGGTACGGCAGCATGTATAGAGACCCACCCGCAGGAAATTTCCGTCATAGTTCCGCAATCAAAATACTATAAACTTCGTGCCTTAGGAGTGACTATCTTGATACGCTTAAGGCAGCGACTTTCCTATCCTACCCTTGCGTCTTGTGTGCAACAGTGCTAGCAGGCCTTCGGGCCAAATCACATCAAAATGCAACACGATGAAGTAATTTGGCAGGTAGGCGTTCTGGCGCTGGCCCGAAGTTGGCGGCGGCGGCGGGTTGCAGCGATTTAGGAGGATTCACTGCAGGCGGCTCCTTCTCTCAGCTTTGGGGGTTAATCGGAGTCTTCTTTAACATCAATGGATTAAACTGCAATCTTCTGGGCCTCATGCTGCAGGTTATTGGCCACGTCAACTGCAGTTTTAGAGCCAAGACCCAGACGCAGAACTTTTGCCGCAACGAGTACAATGTGACTGGGCTATGCAACCGTAGCTCTTGCCCTCTAGCAAATAGCCGCTATGCCACAATCAGAGAGGAGAACGGGAGATGTTACCTTCTCTTGAAGACGATAGAGCGGGCCCACTCACCCAAGAATTTATGGCAGAAGATACGGCTTAAAAAGAACTACGCCGCGGCGCTTGAGCAGCTCGACCAACACTTGCAGTACTGGCCCAAATTCCTCGTACATAAGAACAAGCAGCGCTTCACCAAGATCACGCAATACCTCATCCGCATGCGCAAGCTGGAGGTCAAGGCGCGACCAAAGCTAGTGGGCATCAACCGCAAGTAAGTCCTCTGTCCGGGACCCGGGGGTCAGTTGAGTGGTACAGTTGGCATACTTGTGGGCAACTGGCATTCCATTAGCATGCAGCGTGTGCAGCCCCGCTAGACTTCCATTCATGGCTTTGCTGTTGCTGTTGCCCCTCCGTTTAGGCTTGAAAAGGTGGAGCGGAAACGCGAGGCCAAGGCAGAGACGGCGGCCCACCTGGAGAAGTCCATTGAATCGGAGCTGCTTAAGCGGTTACAGGTACGGAACAGGGGGCGTCAGGACTGGATTGGGGCGGGTTGGGGTTGGGAAGGTACCGGGCTGTCGACGTAGGGTTGGGTTTGGTTGCGTGGGTAGCTAAAGGTCTCTTAATAATACAGTTCGATGCTGCATTACAGGGTGTCGTTCACCCCTGCTGCGCTTCAACTAAAGGATTGGCCTTACACACGTCCTCCCTTGTCCTTCTCCACGCAGAGCGGGACGTACGGCGACATTTACAACTTCCCGCTCGCCCAGTACGAGAAGGTGCTCGATGGGCAGGAGATCAAAGAGGCGGAGGAGGAGGAGGAGCTGGGAGAGGAGTTTGTGGAGGGAGACGAGGAGGAGGAGGACGACGAGGAAGAGGAGGTGCGTGCGGATGGGGTGCAAAAGGGGGGGGGGGGTAAAGGGATGGGCGGGCTGCCATGGCAGGACTCTGTTGCACGTACCATGTTACGTTATGCAGCATCACCACGCAAGTTGTTCAAGGTGAAAGGCACAAAGCAAGCTAGCGGCTAATCCCATTCAGGTGTCGTTGCTACAACGCAGCTGCCTGGTTTCGCAGCCGCTCGCAAAGAGAATGAAAATGACGTGACAATCGTTGGTTGAGGTCTGGATTGTGGCCCATCCGACACACATCCGCCATACATGCACAGCCTACAAGCATGCCAATCATACGGCCTACGCAACACATGCCATTATAGGGGAGTATGCATGTTGACTTGCTGAGACATGTGCACACGTCACATGCGAGCATGGATGGAAGGCACGCGTAGCGGCGGGACGTCGATTCCCCTTGTGGGATGAAGCCCGGAGATTGTTTCCCGTGTGCCTCCGGGTGGAATGACGCCTCGCAACAGCGACCGAAGCATTGTGACAATCGTTGGCTGAGCCGCTTCCATGGCGCAACCAATACACATCCAATACACATCCAATACACATCCGATGTATAGCCTTGTTTCCCTTGCCACATTGCCAGATTTGCCACACACCATAATGCGACACCTTGCAAAGGTCCCACAGGCACACAACAGCGATACGCTGCTGTTGCTGCAAGTTAATAATTTTCTCCATGTGAGCATGGATCGAAGGCATGCGTAGCGGCGGGACGTCGATTCCCCTTGTGGGATGAAGCCCGGAGATTATTTCCCGTGTGCCTCCGGGTGGAAAGACACCTCGCCACAGCGACCGAAGCATTGTGACAATCGTTGGCTGAGCCGCTTCAATGGCGCAACCAATACACATCCGATGTACAGCTTTACTTCCCTTGCCACGCATACACCATATTGCGACACCTTGCTAACGTGCATGCCACCGTCCTGCCGGTTACCGTATTAACCCTTTTCTGCAAACACACGACAGCGATACGCCCTTGCTTCTGTCGTCTTGTAAGCTGCTCTCTGCTGTTATGCTGGTTCTGCTTTCCCCTTTACACCTGTTGCTACTTGTACCCGCTCACCTGCTGTTATCCGTGTCCTCATCCGCACTGCTGCTGCTGCGGCTGTCGTACTCTTGCAGATTGAGTACCTGGACGATGAGGATGTGGAGCTGGATGAGGAGGACATGGAGGACTGGGAGGAGGGTGAAGAGGGACAGGAAGGGAGCGAGGAGGGCGACGATGAGGAGGACGAGGACGACGTGGAGGGAGACAGCGAGGAGGTGGGGAGGGAGGGGTGGCGACATGGGCGAGAAACGCTTCGCTTGGGGGTGTTGGAAGACCGCGAGGGTCACGTACCCCGCTTGTACGTCTTGGGTTTGGTTGCCTCCCTTGGGTGGCATTTTGCTAAACAGCTAAACACTAACTGCCGGAACTATTTAGAATACTCCTCACCGGTACAAGCCCACTGGCTTATCATTCAATGTCCTCCCTGCGCAGCCGGGCGCCTCGGGTGACGATGAGGAGCAGGAGGAGGGCAGCAGCGGCGAGGGAGACGACGATGACCTGTCGGGCGGCTCCTCAGACCAGGAGCCCTCGCCCTCTCGCAAGCGCAAGGCGGAGCCGCCGCGGAGAGGGCCGCAGCGGGCAGCCGGCAAGGGGGCAGCGGCAGCAGCGGCGGCAGGCAGGGCAGGGAAAGGTAGCGGGAAACAGCCGGCCAAGCGGCGGCGGCAACAGCTGGAGATTGAGTACGAGGAGGAGCGGGAACAGACGCGGCAACTGCACTAGAGGGTGGTTAGTAAGGGCATGGAGGTGCTGTGCGCTGGGGTTTGGCTCGTGGTTGGGGTCGTTGTGGTTGCGCAGGACTTGAGGTGGGATGAGGAGTATGGACAGGGCCAGCTGCTTGGCTGTGGGGTACACAAAACACAATGGCTATTGCATGTTGTGGCGGTGTTGGGCATGTGTATCCCGGAAGCGCCTGCTTTCTCGTCTGGCAAGGGCTCTCCAATGGTGGCTGGGGGCTGAGCTCAGGTACCGGAATGCTCCGATATGTACTTCTCCTTGTACCACTCGTCGTACGATCAACTTGAGGCTTTATGCTGTACTGCAGTAGCTTTAAGAGTTTTGGACTTTTGAGGACGCTGGTGCAAGATTGGCGCTTTTGGATTGTCCAGCGTGGCATGTGGTGGCTGAGGTACCTCGCGATTGGTCTGGGAAGTGCTGCCGTCGGGACCACCTTGTAATGATCGTTGTGCAGGTATCACACCCCCCTTGCAACTTGCTTTTAACGGATATCCATACACGATGGGCAGCTCTAATGTGCTTACGTCCTCTGAAGTATCCCACATACGCCCTGGGAAGCACCCTGGGAATTGCGCCATGGCCGCCCCAAGGGTCATTGACAATACCGTCGACAGTACGAGTACTTGACATTCCACTCGTTTCCCAAGCGTCTTCGGGATTAACCTTGGATTCCCACATGGAATACCGAACCACTTCAACTCGAAACTTCACCGGTGGTGAACATGCTCGCAGTGCTTTCTCGATAGTTCCCAAAACGAGTCGCTAATTGAACACTTGCCGGTTTCGGGCACATGATTAAGCTGACAAGTTGGGTCCAACTGCTGCGCTCCAGGGGCTTTACCCGTGCGGACCTTTGCCTATGCTTACTGTAGTACGATTACTGATCGGCGCAACGTTTATCGTATTCGCTTGTCCGTTTTCAAGGTACTCCTTGCAACTATTCTCATTGTGATCATAGTTTACGTTGGGTCACTTCCATTACTGTATACATATTACCGCCATAGACGCTCTCATCGAATTTAGTATTGAACACAAGTAATGAGGTATTGTTAATTAATATGCATAACTTATGGTTAACACCCCGCGGCTTTTGGCTGGATTGCTCAAAACACATGTTCGCCAACCAATAGGCCGTTAAGCTTTCAAGGCAAGGGGAGACGTTGTACATGTTATGTAGGACTAGTGATACTAGCATCAGCCGTTGTGGACTTACCGACTGTTTTGGCATGCCATGCGACCCACTTCTCCTAGGGAGCTATGGAGCCGAGCGTCGCGGTGGTCGAAGCCACACCACCCGCGGAAGACGGAAAAGACGAGCTGGTAAGCTTTTTACAATGGGCTCCTTTTTCCATGAACAGCATCCTGGCGCCTGGTACTTCGCCATGGAATAGCCCCTTACGCTTATTTGATAGGGCACATGGATTTCTCAATCAGCTGTTCGCTGACCTACCCGACAAGGCAAAGTTCGTCTTTCATTCACATCCTAACAAGTGCCATACGTCCCTACAGCTCGGCAATACTGGCCTGCACGCCACCTTGGACTCAGCGCGCGGCAATGCAAGCAGCAACCGTGGAGAGGCAGCGGCGCCTGCCCCCAAGATTGGCGAGGGACCTGAGGCAGCCACACCCGCTGAGCCCGCAGCTGGGGCGTCTGTCGTACATGCAACAACAGCAGCTGGTCGTACGGCAAGCCAGGGAGTAGCTGGGCAGGCGGATGTGGAGGACAAAACTATTGGAGATGTGCTAACGGACCCGCCGGGGGTGTCTCCGAACTCGGAAGCAGCAGGAGCCTCTGATGACCGGAAGGCACTAGCTGCAGCAGCAGCTGTAACCGCACCCGTTGAGGCATCTTCTAAGGCTGCACCGGAAGCTGTGACACAACTTGAAGCAGCAGCAGGAGCAGCAGCATTGCCATCAGACACTGCGCCAGAGCAGACCTCAACCGAAACAGCGCCCCCGGCAGGAGCTGCAGAACCGCCCCTGTCCACCGTCGCGCAGCTGCCGCCGCCTCAGGCTGCGCCCAGCGAGAGCCCCGCTGATGGATCTGTGGGGGTACCCGTAGGCGCCCTGGGAACGGCAAGCAGCGGGGGTGCAGTGACGGGAGACGGCCCGCGGAACGAAGAGGCTCCAGCAGCATCTGAGGCCGCGGGTGAGGCTGAGGGTGAGGCTGAGGCGCCGCAGCTGCGCCCGGAAGCTCCCAGCGTGTCTGCAGGCGCTGCTGCTGATGCTGCTGTTGCGGATCCTGGTACGGAGGACGACAGCGGTGATGCGGGTGCGGACGGCGGCAGCGCGTCCTCTTCTGGGGCTCCTGTGACAGTGAAAGCAGCAGCCGATAAGGAGGCAGCAGCAGCAACAGCACCGGCGGCAGGGACAGCGGCAGCGGCGGCAGCAGAGGGAGAAGGGGAAGAAGGAGAGCGGCCGCAAGGGGTCTCCAACTCAGGCGATGACGCACCCGCACCCACGCCGCAGCAGCCAGGAGTGCCCCCGCTAGCAGGGCGTGCCGTTAAAGCGCCGGAAGCAACAGCAGCAGAAGCCGACAAGCCCGCAACGGCCTCGGAAGATGCAGCACCTGCAGCAGCTGCTGAAAAGGCGGAGCAGCTGCCGGCGGAAGTGGAAGGGATGGGAGCAAGCGGTTCTGCTGTTCTACCCAGCAGCTCAACTCGTAACGATGCTGTTACCACAGAAGAGGTGGTGGAGCAACGGTCTACAACGGTTGACAACTGTTGTCCTGTTCCGGAGCCGCCCGGTGACGGCGCCGACATGGTGGCTGTGGAGGCCTCGGACGGCTCGCCTGCACAAGGGGGATGCGGACTAGAAAAGGTGGCGCCGGGCGACCTGCAGGCGTCGGGAGGTGCGCTTGAAGGCGTCAGGAGCGCGGGTGCAGTCGCAGCAGCACCGGCAGAAGCAGGTGCACCAGCGGCCGTAGCGGACGTGACGGCGGACGTGAACCTTGGTTCAGGTGATGAGTCAGCAGCTCCCCGGACGGTTGTGGAGGACACGAGCGTGGCTGAGCCAGCGGTTCCCGCGGCATCTGCGGCTGAGGAGGCGGCACCGGCGGTAGCTGCGACGGCAGTTGCGACCGCGGCGGCAGCCGAGGCGATACCCGTGGCCTTGGAGTCAGCAGCAGCAGCACCAGAAGCAGCACCAGCACCAGAAGCAGCACCAGCACCAGAAGCAGCAGCAGCTGGGGCCGATGTGGGCGACTCAGGTGGGGCCACCGAGGCGGCGCTCCTTGAGGAGGAAGCTGCGGAGGTTGCTTCGGCCGAGGCGCCCCCCACGGCAACCACACCTTCGGGCGACGGCAAAGCTGCGGACAGGCATCCAGCCTCTCCCCAGGGTGTTCCTAAGCCGACAGCAGCAGCACCACCAGCAGCAGCTGTTAGCGCAGCAGCGGCAGCTGCAGCAGCAGCTGCGCCTTCTACTGTGGTGGCTGAGGGAGCATCAGGCACCTCCGCGGCTGCTGCTGCTGCTGCTGCCAGGTCTGGGGCTGGTAAAGCTGGGAGCGGCATCAGCAAGCCTGGTGTGGCCTCTGCCGCCGCCAAGTCCTCAGGAGCTGCCAAGCCTAAAGCGGCGAGGGCCGGGGTTGCGGAGTCGGGGTCTCCCGTCAAGGGCACGCCGGCCGGGCAACAGCCGGCAGGGGCTGCGAGTACGGAAGGCGCAGCTGGTGGCAGCAAGCAGCAGGCTGCGGGGTCCGAGGGAGCAGCTGCTAAGCAACGAAAGGGTACGTTGGAGAGAAACACTTGAATTGTTGGCCCCAGTCTGCCAAAGTGCGCTTTGCCCAAAAGTGACCCCCCACCCCACCCTGCTTCCTGCACCCCCTCCTGCAGTCCCACGTGCCAAGCCGCAACAGCCCAACGCCCACTCCCATTCGCACGAAGCCAAGTCCTACGCCGCGCTCTACTCAGCACATCACAGCGCAGAACAGCCGCCTCTGGATGGCGGCACCGCCCCGGGAAAAGAAGAAGGCACCCTTGATCCCAACTCGCCTCCAGCAGCTGCAGCTGCAGTTGCTTCCAGCACCGCAGCCTGCTCACCCTCTAGTAGCAGTCCCAGACCCGGCCCCGGCACTAATGGCAGTCCTAAAGCCGGGCTGCCTAGCGCGGGCGCCCGTCCAGACATCCAGCAGACGTCTCAGGATGGGCCTGGAGGTCGCGCGCTGCTGCTGGCAGCTGGCATGCCAAATGGCGACTTGGATTGGGACGCGTCCGCGTCTGGGGACTTGATGGCTCGTACGGAGGCGGAGGCCGCGCGGCTGGGGGTGTACGTTCGAGGCGGAGCAGCAGGCGGCGGTGCGGGGGGCGTAGTTGCTGCAGCGGGAGGAGGGGGGGAGGTGATGGATGGGGAGGAGGAGGAGGAGGAGTCCCTGTCGGCAATCATGGCGCTGGGGCGGAGACCTGAAGAGGACGTGGACATTGTGCTTGCGGAGTATCGCAACGCTGCTGCGGCGGCGGCAGCGGCGGCTGCGCTGGAGGCTGCTGCTGGGGGCTCCTGCTTGGAAGGTTGTTGCGGTGGAGACGGGAGCGACAGTGGTGGGGAGGGTAGCTTTGGCGGCGGCAGCAAAGGGTGCAAGGAGGCGAAGCGGCGGCGGAAGCAGGAGGAAAAGCAGCGGAAGAAGGAGCTGAAGCGGTTACAGAAGCGGCAGCAGCGGCAGCGGCAGCGAGCGCTGTTGGGCTTGGATCCCGGCGGGGACAGCGGTGGGGATAGTGATGGTGATGGTGATGGGGACATCGGGCATACCAGCGAAAGCTCGTCCTCCTCCTCGTCTTCCTCCTTTAGTAGCAGAAGCAGCAAAAGTAACACGGGCGGGGAACGCGACATCGAAGATGCAGGCGAGAGCGACGGCGGCGGTATCATAACCACCAACTACAATGCCGCTGCTGCCGCCGCCATCGTTTCCGCCGCAATTGTCAACGCCGGCGGTCCCATCGAGGGAGAGGAAACGTACGGCGATGGAGCGTACTACAACACCGGCGACGGCGACGGCGATGATGATGATGATGATAATGACAACGGGAATGGCGGCGGACGCATCCTAGTTTCCGCCGGCGCCGCAGCAGCCCTGGGTCTCGCATCCTTCGCCCCTGCGTCCTTTCCTGCAATCCAAGATCCGCCGTACTGGCCTGACGACAGCCTACCCATCCTCGCCGCAAGCACCGGCGGCGCCCCTAGGCAAGGCCATGACTACGCTGACGATGGCTCGCCTGCGCTCATGCCCAGCTACCTGCTGGCCTCGCCCAACCCGCACCCGCGCACCTCCGACAGCATGACCTGCTACCCCCCTCCCGGCCGGGACTACCCCGCGAGCATCGCACCCACCGCTTCCTCGGACGGCGCCTCTAGCCTGCACCTTGGCGGCCTGACGCCGCAGGATGCCTTGGGCGGCTTTGACCGGGGCGGCTTTGACCGCCGGGGGTTGCGGCCGGAAGGCAGCAGCTGCAGCGGTCGTGGCGGCAGCGGCGGCGGTGGCGGTGCGAGCAACGCCGCCTCGGGAGCCTGGGCATCATCCCAGGACGGCAGTAGCGCGGGGGAGCCGGAGGCGGAGGCGCCCTTGATGGGCAGCGGAGCTGCGCAGGGTGGGCATGCTCTGTGTTACGGCGAGGGCTCTTCGGAGGAGGTGGGGCAGTATGTTGCGGCGCGGGATGAGCGCAGCCGCAACATCGCTGCGCAGCTGGCGGCGCTACAAGAGGAGAGCAAGCAGCTGCAGCAGCAGAGCTTGCTGCTGCAGAAGCGCACGCGGGAGATCAGCCACTGCGTGGGCCTGGTGTCTCCGCCCGACCGCGCCTCGTCGCCGGCCGCCTCTTCTTCGTCGACTTCTCCCCCACGCGCGTCCGTGAGACAACCGCTGCCCCAGCAGCCTCAACAGCCCCAGCGGCTGCCGCCGGTCGCACGAACTTCTGCTGCGACGGCCGCAGTGCCTGCAGCAGCTGCTACGGTTCCTGCCATCCCCAGCCCTGCACGTGATTTTGCGGCTGGGAATTCAACCACTACGGTTGCTGCTGCTGCTGCTGCTGCTGCCGGTCCGGCCTCGCTTCTGGATACTGGCAGGTCGGGGAATGAGGAGCTGGTCAGTGCCTCCCTCCGCAGCAAAGCAACACCCATCAGCTGGGCCCTACCGGCCCGCAACCCGCCGGCGCCCGCTGTCAGTAACCCACCGGCTTCCTCGCAAATCACGCTACGAGCGCTGCCCTCCCCGCCCAAGGCAGCGGTGCGACTCGAGCACGCAGGCAGCAACTCTAGCTTTGAGCCCTTGCTACCCCGCTGGGCTGAGCAGATGGAGTCCTCGCCAACGCCGTCGCCTCCGCTGGCGGGGCGGGGACGCGAAGCGGGCCCCCTCCTGCCGCCCATTGGGACAGCTGCAGCCTCGCCGTCACCCTCGGCAATGGGGCTTGCCGCGCAAGCAGGCGCTGCACAGCAGCCTGGGCTCCAGGCCGAGCCGGGTCAGCGGAGAAGACGGCAGCAGCAACAGGAACCCTCGCAGCAGCAGCAGCAGCAGCAGCAATCTAAACAGCAAGTGGCAGCAAAGGTTGCTTCACCAGCTGTTGGCAAGGGCGGCGTTGCTGCCAAGGGGGCAGCTACGGGTTCCAGCCGTCTGCAGGTACCTGCCAAGAGCAGGCTGGGCGGGCTTGTTGCCGGTTTGCAAGAGCAACGCCAGCAGCAACACCGACAACAACAGCAGCAACAACAACAGCCGCAGCAGCAACTACAAGGGGAGCAGCAGCAGCAGCAACTGCTGCTGCAACAACTGCAGCAGCAGGCTCAGTGGCAAGGGCCTTTTGCGCCCCTGCAGCCGCCTTACGCAGGGACGGGTCCGGGTGGGGGCCCCCTGCTGCCCCCTGTGATCCCGCCCGCCGGCCCTGGATCCGACCAACCGCCCGGAATGGGCCCGCAGCCCCTGGGGCCCCATCCCTTTGCACCACAGCAGCTCCAGCCAATGATGTCTCTGGCGCTGCTGACGGCCATGCCTGTGGGATGGATGGGCGGGCCGCCGGCTGCACTGCTGCCCAGCTCTCAGGGCGGGCCACCGCCTGATGCCGCCGGGCCCAACATGCACGCAAGATCCAGCGGGGTGGGGGGTGCAGGGGCAGCAGGCGCTGCAGCCCAGGGGCAAGGCGTGGCCGCTGCCAAGCGGTTAAGTGGTGCTAAGGCGGCTCCGTCGGGGATACCCAAGCCGAAGACGTCTGCTGCTGCTGCTGCGGCCGGTAAGCCGGCATCATACGCATCGGGTGCTGGCTCGGAAGGCTTGCAGGCGCCGTGGGCTCCGGGGTCGGGACCGGCGATGCAAGTGGCAGGTCCAGCGGGCATGATGCCAATGATGCTCCCGCCTTATGGTGAGTTGGGGGGAACAGAGTGCTCTGATGACGGAACTTTCACGGTCAGCTCATGAAGCGTCCTAGTACGGCACGCATACGGGTTAGAATGCTTGGCAATGTGAACTGTTGACCAAGAACTGGCTCTCCTGTACCAGGTTCAAGGGTACGAATGACAGGCAATGAATCCCTGTGTTCTCGTTCTTGCTTTCACAGGGGGAATGGTCCCGCCTGTCGGCCCATGGATGGTGCCCCCCGGGTTGCCCCAACCCGCTGGGGCTGCACTCCAACCCTCCGGAGCGGGCAACGGCGTTGCCAGCAGTGGCCCGGCACGTAAAGCCAGCCCAGGGCGAGGACCCAATCCATCGAGCCGACCCAACGGTGGAGGAGCGGCGGTGGCGCCATCACCAGCGGCCGACAACTTCTTCCCAGGGTTCTTGCCCTTCAGTGTCCCAGGGCAGGGGTTCGGCTTCATGCCACCAGGTCCGCCGGGTTTCATGCCCGGCTTTCCAGGGGCCCCCGCCGGCTCAGTCATGGGCATGATGCCAAATGGCGGCCAATTTGTGCCCTACATGGGAAATGCTGGCCTGCAACCCTCTGCACAAATGACTCAGCAACAAGGGCAGCCCGGGCCGTCACCATCCACGCAGCTGCCGCCCGTGCAAGTGCAGCGGGGCAAGGGAAAGATGAGCCGTAGTGCACCACCTGGGACACACGCAAGAGGCACGGAAAGCAACTGGCCGCCAGATGCCAAAGTGTTTGGAGCTGGCCAGGGAGCGCCCTCGCTTCTGGACGGTTTTGGAGGACCTGCTTTCAACTACTACGGCTTAATAGGGATGGGCGGTGCGGGTCAAGGGGTCGCAGTGGTGAATGGCGGATGGTCAGGGGCTGCTATGGGCGGCAGTGGGGTGCAAGGACCTGGTACAAATGCGTATGGCATGGTAGCCGGTAAAGCAGCAGACACGGGATTAGGGGAGGGCGCGATCGGGCAACGCGCTGATAGCGTGCAGCAGCAGCAGTTGGAGCGCTATCGCGATCTGGAATCCAACCTGTTGGGTAGGTTAGATCGGCAGCAAGCGGCGGCAGGTGCAAAGGGAAGACGGAATTCCCATGACGGAAGGCCCGTGTTCCGTGTTTTCTAAGCACATGAGGGTCCATGTAAACAGTGAAGTGCTAGAAAAGGGACGACGTCCGAAGGTGGTGGTGTTGAAAAACACCGATTTGTAAATGGCACCAACGTGCCGGAAACAAGGGCTCGTTAGCCCACAAGATTAAGAGGCTGAGGATGAAAACATTTACTTCTTGCCCTTCTTGGCGCTGTCCTTAGCGGCAGCCTTCTTGGGAGTGGCCTTCTTGGTCGGGGTAGCCTTCTTGGCCTTGGCGTCAGCCTTCTTCGGCTTGCTCTCTGCCTTCTTGGGCTTGGCGTCGGCCTTCTTCGGCTTGGGAGCGGCCTTCTTGGGCTTAGCGTCGGCCTTCTTGGGCTTGGGGGCAGCCTTCTTCTCAGCAGACTTGGGCGTGGCGGGCTTCTTCTTGGGCTTCTCAGCGGAGGCAGCCTTCTTCTTGGGCTTCTCGGCCGCGGCCTTCTTCTTCGGCTTCTCAGCAGCGGCCTTCTTGGGCTTTTCAGCGGCGGCCTTCTTAGGCTTCTCGCCCTCCTTCTTCGGGGCCTGCACGATAAGGGGACAAAAGGTGGTCACGAAATGGAGTTCTGGTAACATACGGAACAGGTCAACGATACACGGTCGCTAAAGAAATGAGAGTACACACCTTGGTCTTCTTGGCGCCCTCCGCCTTCTTAGGAGCCGCGGCCTTCTTGGGCGTCGACTTCTTAGCCTTCAGAGCCTGTATTTATATAAGGGTCAACGCAGGTTAGTCACCAGTCATCGTGACGATGATTTTGCTCCTACGACATTTAGACGAACATTACTTACGTCGCTCAGCTTGAAGGAGTTCTTGACCTTGACAAGCTTGCCGCTCTTAACGAACGTCTTAATGACCTGGGTCAGGGTCTTCGCAAAGTTCTTGTCGTGGATGTCCTTGCCATACTTGGTGTCAATGAACTTCTTGATGGCCGGAATGGAGGAGCCCGTCCGCTCCTTCAGGGTGGTGATAGCATCCTTGACCATCTGTTGGACCGGGAACAGGCAACACACGATGCGTCAATATTCTTCATATTCATGTATTAAAATAATAATTTTCTTGAGAACAGCAGTAGGAAAACTATGTTGGTAGTCTAGGGTTGACTGTGTACCTCGATGTAGGGAGGGTGGGACGGAGCGGCCTTGGGCTTCTTCTCCTTCGGCGCCTTGGGCTCCTTAGGTGCCTTGGGGGCCTTGGGGGCCTTAGCCTTGGGGGCCTTGGCCTTTGGGGCCTCGGCGACAGGAGCCTCCTCGGCAACAGGGGCGACGACAGGGGCAGCCTCGGTGTCGGCCATGGTAGTTATGTGTCAGAAAGTTCGAAGCAAAAAGTTGATATAAATAGAAGGATAGATAGCTACAATCACATATGCTTTTGTCAGGTATTTTGGTCTTTAAGTACAACGCGGAGACCAAACGCGCTGACCAGCTCGTCCAGGACCTCCGTACATGGACGAGACCGGAAGGCCTCGGTGATCCGTGCTGGACCAGCGGCCTGGAACACCAATTCTATGACCACAGTGTGGCTTAATTCTCTATCTATGGTGTTGTTATTCCGAGCACGTTGCATTAACGCACTCCGCGCAAGCAACCGCAGCATAATGCACATCGGCAATACCAGCAAGCATATTATCATGCAAGATTAGAGAAATCGCCTTGAATAAGCTTTTTAAGTTTTTTAACTGGGAGGACATTTCAGCGGAAGCGTAATTGAAGCCCTCGCCAACCATTGCATTGAATGGCATCTTGACATGTCGGGTAATAGTTCGTTCCAGAACACCAAATGCGTGAAGTCGTATGCTGCAAGAGATGGCTCAACCAATCCTTTCATCCATTTCCTAGCCTTAGATCTTATAAGCTATATAGCTCGGGGTGAGCTAGGGGTGAACCTTGCTTAAATGCATATCGGATCACCCCCATGAAAAGGTGTAAATACCATCAAGGGTGCCTCCTAGGCGTGTATATCGTTGCTGATGACAGCAAAATGCTGCGGCAAGTGGGTCGCTGTATTTGTCCGCTGTCCCAACCCCCCTACCCCTACTTTACATTTCTTTTCTCCCCTACCCCCCACAACCACGCACCACACACGCAAAGGAAAGCTATTTCCCCCCTCTCGCTCATCTACATAATGCGCCACAAGTTGCTTGTGCTATGTACATATGTGTGCATCTTAGTCTTCCTACTATATATAATATATTACCGCCCAGCAGATATGAGTAAGTTTGCCATGCCACGGCCAGCCAAACCCTGGCTATCGCAAGCCATTACGAAGGCTGCCAGCAGCGTGCAACTGATTCAGCGGCACACAGCGGTGTGCCCTGTTGTTGACGGGCTGAAGGCATGCATCGATGCATGACTGGGGAGGCGTGAGCACCCGTCAGTCCCCGGGGCGCATCCAGCACATGTAGTACAGCCAGGTTGGGCCAAACGCTTGGCGCCCAAGCACTACCGTACTCCCAGCCATCCTGCATGGGTTGAGTTGGCAAGGAGCCGCAAGGTGCAGTTAATCGGGCGGTCTTGCCGTGGCGTGGGTTGGATGTTTGGGTGGATGCTTGCGACCTGTGGTAGCGCGTCGCAAAGGCGTGCAAGATCATAAGGCAGGACTGTGAAGGCATGAGAATGTCAGAGGCATACACTCGTCGTATAAACGAGCTTGCGCAACCTGCACCAGTAGAGGCATGGCACGTATGGATCGTACGTTGTAGGTGTCGGTTGGAGCAAGGTTACTGCTCCGAAACCCTAGCAAGCAATCGTCGCAATGAACCATGAGCACTCGACCGCAGAAGAAGCATATAGCCAGGCTCATCATTCAGCTGTTAATAAGGATTGTCCTGTATCAATCATGAGAGGAGATCGCGCTGCTTGCCTCGCCTGGGCTTTGCTTATGCTAGCCCTTCTTGCGCCTTCCTGCCTTGCCAGCCGTAATCGATCTCGAAGACGCCCAACTGCACTTCATAATGACGCGGTCTGGAGCAGTGGCTGCCTCAAAGTGAGGCATCCGCCACTTCGCCTTTCCGACCTACCTAGGAGGTTGCACTAGCTACGTCGCAGAGCTTACTAGACAAATCATCTGCCGCCTTACGCGCTATTTTCGCTTGAAACTGCACATTAATGTTAATTATAGGACGACAAGAGGGTGTTGCGGGCGCCTTCATCGGCTTAGCCCCCAACTTGTCAGGACTTGCTTCTCCTGCACGCGATGCGATGCACGCAGGAGAGCTGGTATACGCAGCGATTGGACCATTTCCGACAACACCCGGGCGGCAAAGAGCAGCCAACCTTCCAGCAGCGCTACTTCATCTGTGACAGATACTGGTCGCAAAGCCCCGGGGGCGCACGTGGCCCGATATTCTTTTACGGTACGGCACGACAAGATGGGTACGGCATTGCGGCCTGCATGCATCCCAGCAGCACGTATCGTACAGGACACGGATCGTGGCTACTGCTTGCCGCGTTTCCGCTTCCCCGGCCTCCGTCGCTTCCCTGTCGGCTCTGCCTCCGCCGTTGCTCCTATGCTCGTATCTTGATGTGGAGTGTTACAGAGATGGGGCGGGAGGACAAAAACCAGCGGGACGTTAAATCCCTAGAAACCCTGGCAGCAAACCGCCTAGTAAACCCCGCTTGTTCCTCCCCTGCATGCTTTGGTCCAGCCGGCAACGAAGCGGACGTGACTCTCTACGTGAATGCGACGGGACTGATCTGGGAGAATGCAGAACGCTTCGGCGCGCTCATCCTGTTCGCTGAGGTCCGTGCCCCGCACACCTGCGTTGCGTTGCGTTGGGTTGTGTTGTGTTGGGTTGGGTTGGGTTGAGCTGGAGGGCGTTGGGCTGGAGGTGCTTTGCCTGGCTGGAGGGGCGTTCTGGGGCCCCTGCTATACCAGCATGTGGAGTCGGTATGGCTCTGGGGTTTGGTGTGAGAGAGTGTTTTGTAAGCGTCCCACGGGTCAACTTGGTTTGGTTCCCGCTCTGGGGCGCTCTGCATGTGCATACCTGTAATGAGTTGCGGGTATTCATTTCCTTGACAGTGACCCGTGGACTCCATCCGACGCCGTTTGCCCTACCTGCTTGCAGCACCGGTACTACGGCGAGACTCAGCCCTTCGGCAAGTTCAGGTTTAAATGATTGTTACACTTTACAAGTGATGTTCCATGTTGCATGTTCCTTCACTCTCTGCTCCACTACTTTTCCACCTGTGTTTAGCACGGCACGGCACCAACCACCCATGAAACGACCAACGGCCGAATGTACTGCACACCATCAACTGCTCCCAACTGCTTGCTCTTGTTCTACTCAACTACACCATCAACCCCAGGTCCCGACAGTTGGTCGGTTGATCCGTCGTACCTGAGTGTCGAACAAGCGCTCGCGGACTACGCGCGGCTGCTGTGGCACCTCAAGCGGCAGCTCGCAGCGGAGAGCAGGTGGGCCCGATGGGTTTTGGAAGCCTCTTGGAAGCTCCTTATGAAAGCTCCTTATGAACGGGCTGCGTCTCTTCCGTTGCCATCGTCGTTGTGACCCTTCGGTGTTAGGGCTAGCACGCTGGTAAATAGGGCTGGCTGCTGACGGTTGCTCTTCCCTCCGACGCTGCCTCCCTCTCTTGCTCCCCCCCGGCAGCGCCGTCATCGCCTTCGGCGGCTCCTACGGCGGCATGTTAGCTGCCTGGCTGCGAACCAAGTACCCGCACCTGGTGGCAGGGGCGGTGGCGGCCTCGGCGCCCGTGGGGGCATTCCCGGGGGTGCCCGGCTGGGAGCCCTCGCGCTTCTGGCAGGTACGGAATGGTACGGTACGGTACGACAGATGATGAGGCTCCGTACGACTATACGACAACGACACACCTGCTTCCTGCTGCTGACACCTGCTCCCTAAGCCTTAAGATCCTCAACAAACACCAGTGGGCAAATACGGCATCGCATTTTGGTCTTGTCCGTCTGATGTTGACTCGGTTGGTCGGTGAACGCCCACGTGCTTCCGTTCCCTTCGCTACCATTCCCGCCTGATGGCCTAACCGCCTAACCGCCGGCTAGGTCGTCACCTACGACGCAACCGCCTCAGCAGGCGCCGCGTCCGACTGCGCGAGCAACGTACGCCTGGGCTTCCAGAGTGTGTTGAACCTTGGTCGTACGGCAGCCGGTCGTGCGATGCTGTCCCGGCTGCTGCGGCTGTGCGGTGAACTGCCGGACGAGGAGGCGGTGCTTGACGTGGCTTACTGGCTGCAGGTGTGGGTGCGGGGGGGGTGCGGGGGCCGGGTGCTGGGTAGCTTGTGCGGGGGGCGGGTGCAGGGTATCGTTATAACACACATGTAGACCTTCACACTACCGCGATGTATCCTTTTCCATGCCCTGCCTTTCCGTACTGCGGAACCTTTGCAGGCCTTACCTCCATTCCGTCTCCTAATGCTGCCTCTGATGTTGCCTCTCGTAAGAATATTATTAGCAAAATATCCTGCCTCCGCTACCTTCCTTCCTTTTCTGCTGCGTGTGCCAGGGCGCCTTTGATGCCTTCGCCATGGGTAACTACCCCTACCCCTCCGCCTACATCAGCGATGACCCCGCCCACCCGCTGCCCGCCTGGCCCATGAGGGCGGCCTGCATGCACATGTCGTCCATCCTTCCGGCGCCAAACACCACGACGTCCGCCTCTTCCTCCGCCTCTGGGTTCTCTTCCTCCTCCTCTTCCGCCTCGCCTTCCTCTTCCACGTCTTCTTCCTCCTCCGAAACCTCTACGCCTGCCACCGCCGCTTCGTCAGCCGCTGCTAGCCATGCTGCCAGCAACGACACCCCGCAGCTCGCATCCAGCAAGTTTGTGGAGGTAGGGTGTATGTGCATGCACAGCCTGCGTACCGCCGCTGCTGCACTGCCACTGCCACTGCCGGTACCTTGCTCGACACTGCTTTCCCCCTCACCTCGATCGCTGCTGCTGCTGCTGTTACTGTTGCTGCTGTCGCCGCTGTCGCCGCTGCTGCTGCTGCTGCTGCTGCCAGGCGCTCCGAGACGCCGCTGGAGTGCTGTATAACGTGACCGGCGACGTGAGCTGCTACGAGGTGCAAACCTCGGGACCGGCTGCCGGCAACCAAGGTGGGTTTGGGCCTCTGTGGCTGCCAGCGGGCGGGATGCTGGCACCATGCATGCCGTAAAGTGACAAGTGTTCGCTTGCCATGGTCTGCTTCCCCTGGCAGTGGTTGGGTAATCGTTACAGTGGTTTCCAAAAATAGGAACACGGGTTAGTATAACCCAACCCTACGCCCGACCTTACCCTACCCTGTTGCGCTGTTCCAGGTCCCTGGGATTACCAATGGTGCACCGAACTTATGGGGCAGGCGAGTAAAACCAGAGGGGGAAGCCAGTGCATTCGTTAAACACTCGATGGTGGTTTAGCCGCCTGGATCCTGATAGATAATCGACCTTCGTTAATAACTGCCGGCAACGCATATGGGTCATTCTCGTATTAACGACCCATGGGTCACCTGCGCAGGAGCTGCCCTACTACCCAGCCACCGGCGTCAGTGACATGTTCTGGAATCAGGTGCGTCATGCGTGGCAATCACATAGTCAGGACACACGCACAGTGTGAGCGTCTACACGTTCCGCTATGTGCCGTATTGTAAGCGGCCCCTTGCGTACCTCCTCCCCCTGACTCAACCTTGTGTAACTCTCGGCTCTTACCCGCGTCGCGACAGGGCGGTTTCAACTGGGATGCCTTGGACGAGCACTGCCGGCAGTCCTGGGGTGTGACTCCGCGGGCTGACTGGTCGGCCTTCACGTACGGCGGACTGAACTACCGCTACGCGAGCAACATCGCATTCTCCAACGGTGAGAGGGAGCCGGGGCGAGGAGGCCTGTTGGGATGGGGCCGTACAAGTGCCGGGATGTACGTCAGCCGGTATCGGTACATGTGGGCTGTACACCCGGGAATCAGGAATCCGGTTGAGACACCGTGTTTGGCGTTTGGGTAAGCTCGGTAGGGAAGAGTTCTTTGGCCCGATGTGCTTACCGGTATAATGTTCTTGCTGTGGCCCTGTGCCCCGCCTCTGCTGGTTCATTCGCGCGTATCTGAAGGTCTGTACGACCCCTGGAGCTCGTTTGGGCTGCTGACTAACGCAAGCGACACAGTGGTGGCGATTATCATTCCAGAGGTGGGTGCCGTACGGCATATGGATCCCGGCATGGATCCCAAGGACGCAGACATGGATCCCACAGCCCGCAGTGACGTGGGGAAGCCGGCATCTTGCACCTAGACAACCCACTTTGCTGCTTATGCTGTTGCAAAGGATATCTGACTCTAATTACCTAGCGGCCTTCCACGGGGGACACCAGCATAGCAGTCGCGTGCTGGCAATGCATGCCGTACCTTGGCACATACAGTAATTTAACCTACCGTATGCATATGCATGTGTGCTGCCGCTGCCTGCTGCCGCTGCCTGCTGCTGCTGGCCGCCTGCTGCAACTGCCTGCCGCTGCCCTCCCGCCGTACCCGCCTGCAGGGCGCCCACCATCTGGACCTGATGTACTCACACCCGGCTGACCCGCCGTCCGTAACGGCTGCACGCCTGACCGAGATGCAGCTGGTGCGCAGCTGGATTGAGCAGCACGACGCGCGCAGGAGGGAGGATGCCACCACGAACCAAAGCAGCTCCCGCACGGATGGTGGTGCTGCTGCTGCTGCTTCAGCTGCAGGAAGTACCGGTAAGCGAGGCGGACTTGGTAGCGGAGGTGGGAAGAGCCGCCGCAGCAGCAGCAGTAGCAGCAGTAGCAGCGGGGTTGGCGGTCGTGCTGGGTTGGATACGGGAATTGCCAGCAGCAGCTGATGATGAATGGCGGTGGTGGGCGGAGAGGGCGACAAGGGACATGGGGCGACGGGCGCTGGGGGAGAGGTTGTCAGGGGTGTTGCGGGGCGGTTGCTGAGTGAAGCAGGAGGAAGCATGCTGGAGCCGATGGCATGGCGGGATGCAGCGTGCCGTATGGCATCGAGTTGAGTTGCAGGTTGGAAAAGGGGCAGCCGAGATGTGGCCCGTTGTAAGTGTTCAGTTTAAGCTTGCTAGAGGGAGGTGGTGAGGTTATTGAGGTTACAACCAGTTACAACTACACAACTATGTACAGCGTGTTTGCTTGGCTTAGCAGCCGTGCTTCAGCTGGCAGCAAGCAGTCCAACTGCCTTGTAACAGAATTGCGCAAAACATCAGGGACTATTATTGTACAACATACCGTTCAGAAACTGCATGTGAAGTAGCCCGAGGAAGGCCTCCGAATTTACAACTAGTCCGTCTGCAACACCCATGCGCTACAATAGCTCCTTTCTCCAAATCAGGCGGTTCCCCTGTCGTTGCAGGGAGCACGACTACCGGTACCACATACAGTAAACGACGTGTGTGCGCACATACATCATGCATGCAAACCCCGCGTCATGTACGGCATACGAAAGCATTTGCCCGTTTAATCGTCAGGCCAGGAACACACTAGCCCAACCCCCTTCCAGGGTTAGGAATGAAGTACCTTACGGCGCAGTATCCGGTCAGCCGAGGGAACCCTTTTCCAAGCCTCGGCTGCTCAATGCAAGCTATCGTTATCCCTCGGCAGCTGAATGCCAGCTCCCAGAATACCTCCAGGGGCCGCCAGGGGAAGACAGCACGTTCTTAACGCCAGACCCGCCTGTTACGAAGCTCAACACATCAAAAGTACATACCGCCAAACGAAATCTAAGAATCCAGCTCAGTCCGACCCTATCCAAGCCATGAATCAGTGCTAGCCACCCGCAACGTGCACGACCACACTACGGTGCGCGCGATTAAACATTAAAGCGCGCTGTTATAAGGAAGAACCTTACGAGCTGTTCTATGCCCTAACTTTCCTTACGATCTGCTAGAGGCCATAATACCTAGTCTGCCTGGTCCAAGTGCCCCCCAAACCCCCACTGTTCGCCATGCGTTTGCGTACATCCTTCCGTGTAGCTTTACTTGGGCCATAAAAGTGCTATTCATTAGTGCTGGTGGGATCGTCTGAGTAGGCGTCTCACAGCAGATTCCCTGAGATGAGCACGCAGCAGCAGCCGATGCGGAATGCCCGCATCTTCAGAATCATGGTAACAACTTGCCGCGCGTGTAGCGTATTCCCCCCAAGGGAACCGGTCTCTGTCTTCATAAACCGCTTCATAAACCCCATACCACTAACGCCTTCCATTAAACACATACGCGCAGTAAACCGTCAAGAGCCCTCCGAAGACTCCGGCAGCAGCTGTGGCTAACCGCAATCGTCGGGCGGGATACCCGCCCCTATCCCGCCACTCCCACATGCGGACCGGACTGCCGGCGCAGCACCCGCATCACCAGACCGCAGCGCACCTCGTGATACACACCCTGGTATCGCGTACCGTCCGCCTGCTGCTGCTCCCGTCCGTGCTGCAGCTGCCCCTCATGCAGCCGCTTGCAAGGCGCCTCAGATGACTCCCCCGTGCCGCCACCGCCGCTACTGCTCCTGTTGTCGCCAAAAGCCCCAGCACGGGGCCCGTCGCCGCTGTCAGCGTCAGCAGGTGATGTCGATGCTGTGGTTGCTGCTGCCGCAGCAATTGCCTCCGCAGCGGTAGCAGCAGCAGCAGCAGCGGTGTCAGCCGAGGTCCTCGCTCGTTTGTCGTGCGGCAGGTCCAGCCAACCCGCGCTGGCGAAGGCGGAGGCCTCAAGCACAGCTGTGGCGTTAAGGGGCACTGGCTGCAGGTCCTGTAGAGGTAGTGCGGGAACCGGGTGGGCGGTGGTGAGGATGGAAAGAGCTTGGGACGTTACCGGAGGGACCGGAGGGACTGCTGTACTGCCCAGAAGGTGGAGGAAACCCAGGGGACAGGTCCATGCGTCGATGCCCCAACGCACGGCAAGGTACCATTACAGCTTGCGGAGCAGTGCGCGCAAGATGCAGTGACGGACCCGCAGCTGCCCGTCCCCTCCCTTCCACAACCCGCACAACCCGCACGTCCAATCTAACATACCCCCGGTCACGCCCAGGCCGCGCCGCACCTTCACCAGCAGCACGCAGGTCACCTCCCGGTAACCCAGAGCCGCTGCGGCCGCTGCCGCGACACCTGAGGGCAGTGGCAGCGCCAAACTAGGAAACGGCGGCGCCGCCGCGACTAAAGCCCCAGACGATGGCGCCGCTGGCTGCCCTGCTAGCACCTCCACGGCACCCCGTTGCTCTGCCGCTGGCGGCAGCACAGGGCTGCGATTCCGCCCAACGTCGCCACCTGCGCTTTGGGCGTAGCGTCCCCCTGTCCGTGTCGACATCTCCCGCATCAGCAGCCCGCATTGCACCTCACGATAGCCCAAACGCATCAACCCATCGAACCTATCACCATCGCCGCGGCTGCTGCTGCTGCCGCCGCCTCGACCGCTGCTGGCGATAGTGGCGCCGTTACGAGTGCTGTTGCTGCTGCTGCTGTTGCTGCCTGCAGCTCCTCCGCCACCTGCGACCGTGCGCGCATGGCGCTTCCAACCGCTCCTCTTACGCCCGCCTGTCGTGGGCCGTATGTCAGCAGTAGCGGAGGAAAAGGAGACGCTGCGGCTTACGCGCCTGCCGCTGCTGAAGCTGCTGGTGGTGCTGTTACGCCGGGTGCCTCGGTCACAGCCCTCCGCTCCGGCGCCCCAGCTGATCCTCGGGTGGCCGTCCTCGCATGGGACGGCAAAGGCAGCACTTGCTGGCATGCTTGCCGCTGGTTCCAGGATGCTTGAGGGCTGTGGCCGCGAAAACAGGTAGCGGGGAGGTAGGGGTAGGTGAGAACAAAGGTGCAGGATTACGAGGGAAGACGAGGGAACGATCCATGCCAAAGCCTCGGATCGTTCCCATCCGTACCATTCCGATTACGAGGAAACGATCCATGCCAAAGCCGAGTAGTCATGCGCTAACTACGGAAACGATCCATGCCAAAGCCGAGTAGTCATGCGCTAACTACGGTAGCTAAGGTATACAGATGCCTTGTGTGGGGAGCAGGGGCGCAGCAGGAGCGGCACGGGGCCCATTTTACTACTGGCATGCAACAGAGAACAGGCAGTGGCGACAGTGGCGGTTTTGGTTTGCTAAAGAGCTGCAACGCCGACCAACAACGTTGCATAGGAACGCCACGGCAGGATTGCCTTTTCAATTGTTTAGGTGCACAGCAGTGACGCGGACCGCCAGCGGCTTTCCGCCGACAGGTGCTTAACAGCATCATAGAAACAAGGGAACGAGCTTCTTGCCAGCATCATAGAAACAAGGGAACGAGCTTCTTGCCAGCCAACCTAACCACACCAGCACCGACCCTGCCGTACCTGCTTAACCCACAAGTCCCGAGCCAATAGGCAGCAGCGCAGAACCTGCGGAGGCGCATTTGCGGAATACGTCTGCTTACAAGGCTTAACAGGCTAAACGGCTCAAGCAAAATGCGATACTGCCTCCTTTCACAAAGCAAGGCATGGGAGAGGCAGTATGCCAAAAGACGACCCCACCAACTGCTACAATCCAGCATGCTTACCTGAAAACCCTGCTCCCGGCTTCGGCGCTTTCCGGCTGCAGCCCCGGTGTTGCCGCCACCATCAACCCCGACGGCGCTTCCGCCCGAGTCCACCTTGCCATCCTTCGAAACCGCCGCAGCCGCGCCTGCTGACGTGGACGCCCTGGCTTCGCCGTCGTCGGCTGGCCTGCCCGGCTCCTCCTTCCCAGCCTCCAAGACGTTACCTTCCGTACCCTCAGAACCACCACCCTTAGCTGCGTGGCAGCCAAACGGCCGCACGTCCCGTACCAGCAGCTCGCACTCCACCTCCTCGTAGCCCTCCGGAACAAACCACGCTGCATCGCCGTGCAGGCCCGGCAAGCACGGCAGCCTCTCCGATGCGGTGCGAGACAGCGGCCCCGCGGGCTCTGCAGCGACCTGCATGCCGCCGCCGTAGCCAGTCAGGCTCCGTCGCTGCGACTGCGACGGGTGCTGCTGTTGGGGCGCCTGCACTGGGGTGCCATTACCAGGACCAGTAGCCTCTCCTGCGCCAGCCGGCCTGGTCGCTACACCGCCCCGACTGTCGCCGGCGCCTGGAATCCTGTTCATCATTGTAGTGACCGCGGACTCGCAGGCAGCCGTGCCCGCATCCGGGTAGCGCCCGTCCAGGCTGCGCCGTCCGGCGACGTCCGACCCTGCTGCGGTGCTCGTCCCGCCCGACAGCAGGCACTGCGCGGTCATGCAGAGCGGGTCAGTGATGGTGGTCCCGGTGTTCGTGATGCTGCTGCTGCCATGTCGGCCGCAGCCGCCCGCTGCGTCCGTGTCGGAGGAACGCTCAGAAGTCGAAGCGCCGCCACCGCTGCTCACGGCGGCGAAGGAAGGCGGGGCGCTGAGCACGTCAGATGCTTGATGCGACGGCGGCGATGGCGGCGGCTCTGGGGAGTCTGTAGTACGACCGCGTGTCGTACGACGGAAGGCTAGTGGCACCGCCGCCGGGGTTTCGGAGCCCCACTGGCGTCCTACGTCGGCGGCGCCGTCGCCGCTGCTGCCGGTACTGCCATCCTGCAGCTCGTCATCGGCAGGAGGGGTGTACGGCGGACAGGGTCTGATAGAGGCAGCGCGCATGAGGAGCGTGCAGGTGCGAGGACAGTAGCCGCGGAGCCGGAAGCCGCTGCCGCCGTCAAAGACGCTGTGTGTGCTGAAGGGGCTCCCCTCTGTGGCCGAGTCGTCACTCGAGATGACGTCGTCGATTACCAGCACTGCCGCCGCATCCGCCGCCGTTCCTTTCGTCTCTTCCTTCGCTCGCTTCTTGTCGTTGCCAGTGACGTCATTGCCACCGCCGTCGGCAGTGCGCCCGAGCCCCTCCATAATCGGCTTCGCAAACTCAAACGAAACCGACCCGGCGGGTCGCTGCTTGGCGTCGGTACCTTCGGAAAACATGTCATTGCCGCCGCGCAGCCGCCGCATTGAGCGTGCCTCGGCTTCGTCGGCATGGCTGGCAGTAATTGGGGAACCGCCCCCGACGTCGTTGCCACTGACGGCGGCCACAAGCCCCGCCTCCGCCAGGTGCTCATTAACGTCGCCACTGTTGCCGCCACCGCCGCTGCTTTGCGCGCCCACCGCAACGGCGGCCTCCATGACCCTGGCCACGTTCGCAACAGCTCCCCGGATCACCTCCGCACATGCCGGCAGTCCTGCCGCCTCACAATGCGCCAGCACATCGAGTGCCACATCCGCCCATGCCGCCGCCAGCGTCGCATCGCCATAAGCCGCATTCACGGTGCCGCCGGGGTAGCGTGTCGTACCACTAACCGAGATCCCCGGTGCGGCGGCGGCAGCGGCAGCGGCCTCCATTCCCGAGTCGTACGCCTCGTACACATCCCGCGCTGACGTCAGCACGTATCCAAAGTCGTACAGCAGCGGCTGCAGGTGCTGCGTCCACACTTGGCTACGAGCCGCTGCGCCGCGACCGTCCCATGGGTCCCTCGTCGACGAGTCGGATGACGTCAACGGCGGCTGCGGCGAGGTTGCCGTCGCATCTGCCCCGGCCTTGCTGAGGACCGTGGCTACATGTAGGCTAAGCTCCTTGGCCGCTGGCGGTGGCAGGAGCAGCATGGTGGCATCCCCCACGAGGACTGACGGCGCCAGGTCGGATGGTGCGGAGGGGTCGGGGTCGGTAGCGGCGGTTGAGAGCAGCCAGACGTGAAGTGGGCCGGTGGGGAGGTTGGCGACGGCGGTTGGGGCGAGTGGGAGGCTGCGAGGAGAGCAGCGGGCGGGAAGCGAAGGGACATGACACATGAGCGTTGAGCGCTGGGTTGAGGGGCTTGAGAAAGCAGCGAAGCACTGAAGGAGGCGGACACATTAAGATACATGCGCAAGGGCGAAAGGCATGCGCTGAGAAAAGCAGCCTAAAATTACCCTACAATGACAGCGGAAGCCGCCGCCCGTATACATGCAAAGGTACGCGCCAGGAAAGGTTCACGACTCGCGCACACGCCTCTGCTCGCGGTGAGGAAGACACTTTGACAATCGTGGCGACACAGCGCTGCTGCCCACCTTATGTACGGCAGGCGCTCTCTGGATGTGTCGTACACCTCGTCCACAAGCACATGCTCCCCCGCCGCCATCACCACCCGGAGCCGCGGAGCCGCAACCTCCGCTACCATGCCCCCTTGGGCCTTATCAGCGGCTGAGTCACCGTCGCTGGCGGAGCCCGAAGTGCTCGCTTGCTGGAAAGCTCCGTAGCCGTTTCCATTGAAGCCGTACAGCAGCTCAAGTGTAACCTTCTCCTCCGAGGCTGAAGATGATGAGGCGCCACCGCTGACGTGGTTTACCTCCGTAGAATCAGCCATCGAGAGTACCGAAGGCGCCGGAATGACGACCAGGTAGGGATTGCCACCAGGTGGTGCCATGTCAGGTCCAGATGTGCTCCAGGACGGAAGCTCCCGCCAACCGTGTGGCAGTGCCTCGTCGCTGCCGATGACTCCGGGGCTTTGGAAGGGGTCGAGAGCATCGCTGGTGGCTTGTTCGCGCGGAGGCCATGCTTGGAACGCGGGGGAGGCTCTCGCTGGGGCTGTTGCTGGCGAAGTAGAAATGGTGCCCAGGGCGACTTCGGCACCAGAAGTGCCAGAGTGTTGCGCTGGTTGACCACGAACAGGGCTGGTGGGCAGCATGGAAGGCGCTGTGGTGAAAGCGCGTCGCCATGTCTCGTCTGCAGAGGATGGTCAAGGGTAGCGCATAGAGTAAGCCAGGAGCTGGATAGAATGATATTCTGTGGACAACAAGATGTGAAGTAATTGCGACGTCGCTATATGGAAGTCGGTAAAGGCGCACAATTGACTGGGCAACGGCCAACGCCTCCGATTACTGTGTCCCTGCTACGATGAGTAGGATTGACTGGCGTGGAATATGAAAATTCCTAACAAAGTTTAGCGGGGCTGAAATACGCGTGTCTCCAAAGGAACAGCAAATTGATGTTTCAATTGGTGCAGCTTTTCTTTTAGCAGCAACACAGTCGCTGAGTAACACGCGCAGCACACTCGGCAAAAAACATTCTAAACAATTTGAAGTTGGCATGTTCCCCCTGTCATCCTTGATCCTTCATAGCCCGGGGCTACGGCAACCGGAAAACGGTCAAGCCAAAGCACGAGAGGCAACTTAACCCTATCTTCCCTATCAGCTCCTTCCAAGCCCCAACTCACCTCCTCCTTTCAGCGCCAAGCACATTGTAACACAGCCCTCCGCGGTCGCCTCCTCTCCATCTCCATCACCCTCGCCCTGTCCATTATCCTCCCTCCCTCCTCCCTCCTGTCCCGCCGCCGGCAACCGCCGTAAATCCTCTCCCGTCGACACCAGCCGTCCCAATTCCGTCATCAGCGCAGCTGCCACATCCGTGCCCTCCATTGCTGCGGCCGCAGCTGAAGGCATCGCGGCGCCCGTAACAGTGGATCGCAGCCGTTGCTGCTGCTGCTGCTGCAGCGGCGGCCCCATGTGCACGTGCAGCAGCAGCTGCACGCAGCCGCGCACCGCCAGCGCACTCACCCGCACCAGGCGGCCCTGCGGCACGTGGCGCATGAGCGTGGAGGCCACGCGGTGGCTCACGGCTCCCGCTCCGACCGCACTCGTGAGTGGTGAGCCGCCGCCCACCGCCGCTTGCGCCGAGGCCCCCTCCAGCTGCAGGGAACAGGGATGGGTGGAGGGGAGCACAACTGGGTACAGACATACCGTAAAGTTTACCAGAAAAGGGAAGGCGCCATGGATAAGGGGGTGGTTGATGGAAGGTTGGACAGCTGCTGTAGACCGCTGCCGGTCAAGTAGCCCCATCAGAACGGGACCACCCCGCCCTTTCCACCCACCTTCACGGACAGAAGCCGGCTGGTACACCGCGACGTGTAAAGTACCGATCCCCTGCCGCCGCCGCCTCCAGCACCTCTGCCGCCGCCAGCAGTTGTAGGCGCCACTGCTGCCGCCGCCGCCCTAGTCGCCGCCGCGGCCCTGGCAGTAGCGGCTCCAGGTGCGGCAGGCGCGGCGGCGGGAGACGCGGCGGTGGAGTGCAGTACATCCCCCAGGTTGATGCTGGGTGGGTGTCGGGAGGCCCACGACGACGACCCAGCCGCCAGCGTCCCGGCTGAGGACCCAGTCGGAGCTGCCGCGACGGCGCCAGAGGGTGGTCGGAGGAGCAGACCGCCGGCTCGGGCTTGCTGGGGCCGCGGGGGGTTGTAGTTCGGCGTGAGGAAGGGGGAAGCGGAGGCGTCGCGGCTTAATGCGTTTAAGTGCAACCGAGAAGGATTCGCGGCGTTTACACTTTCCAGGCTGCTATCCGCCCCTAGCATGCTGACCGAGCTGCTGCCGCTGTCTGCTAGCGTGTCGGAATACCCTTGCTGCTGTTCATCTTCAGCCGCGTCGTTGTCGCGCACCCAGCAGGAGTCAATTCGCGACCCAAGGGACAACACTGACCCATGGGACGCAGCGACACTGTCGCCGGCGGGGGTGCCTGCAGTGTCCGGGCTATCTGCGGCAGAAGCCGCCGCCGCCGCGAAACCATCTGGACGAGACCCGTCACTGAGCGGCAGGCTGGCCCCGTTGGCTCGTCCTGCAAAGCCGCCCAGTGCGGTCATGCACCCTTCACCAGGAGTTGGAGCGGAGCTGTGTTCACATGTCGGCAGGAGCACGGAGTCTCCCGGCTGCCTTGGCTCCCCCTGCACCTCCTGTTGGAGCCGCTTGAAGGCCTCATGCTGCTGCTGCTCGTGCTGGATGGCCTGGGCCGCCGCTGCTAGTCCCGTTGTAGGCACTTCCCTGGCGGCGTCGTCGTCTCCTGCCTTGGCAGCAGCTGCAGTAGCGGCATCAGCGGGTGCGGCTGCAGCGGCAGCAGCTGCATTGGCGGCCGGAGGCGAAGAGCGCGCATATTGGGCCATAGCGGCGCGGCGAGGGCGAGACGTGCGCATGAGGTTTGGTGGCGGCGCCGGCGACTGAGCGACGTGGGTAGCAGGGGGCACACCAGCAGGTGCGCGAGCTGAGTTGTCGGACGGCGACTGGCGGCTGGGAGCCGCTGTGCCGACGGGAGCACAGGGTCCCGTAAGGCCCAGCTGGCAGTGGTACGACAGGAGCGAGGGGTGACGCTGCTGGGGCTGTCCCGCTCCAGCCGCCGGCGGCAGCGGCGGAAGTGCCGGTGGCTCCTTATGTAGCGGAGACGGCTGCGGAGCTGACGTGCGCAGCGGCGGCGGCGGATCATGGTCGACTTTGCCCCGGGATGACGCCACTGACGCCACTGACGCCACTGAAGGCTCGTGTGCTGCGGTGCCGGCGCCGTCGGCCGTGTCAGCCGCGGCTGCCAAATGCACACCCTTGACAGCTGTTGCTGACGCCGGCACAACTCCACAAGCCCGCGCTTTCTGCCCGATGGATGTACCCGCGACGCCAGCGGCAGCGGGGAGAACAGGTTGGGGGGCTTGCACCTTGTCCATAACGCCGAGCGCCGCCACGCTCTGACCTTCGCCGCCGCCGCCGCCGCCGCCGAGCCCGGGGCGGCCACGCCAGACCACCGGGGTATCAGACGGCTGCGGCATCTCCCGATGGGGACTCAGCCACCCCAGCGGCGTCGCCGCCGCCGCCGCCGCTATGACGGTCGGCGACGTCATACTCGAAGCGGCGCTGCTGCTATCGGTGGCTCCGCACGCCATGGGGCCGCCCGGTAGCGGCGTCCGCGGCGCCGTCACCATGTACGACTTGCCTGGCGGCCGCCAGTGCAGCGACGCTGCTGCGCCGCCGGCGTCGGCGCTGACACCGCCGCCTGCCGCCTTCGTCCCAGGCGGCGTCAGACGCCATTCGTCGGTGGGAAACGACTGAATCTTGCAGCTGCCGCTGCCGCCGAAGCCTGTGTACGACATACCGCCGTCCAGGCCGGCGCCGCCGCCGCCGCCGACGGCGAAGCCCGCATTGCGGTGCGTCGCCAGTACGACACTAGCGGACGTGGGATCCGCCTCCAGCCCTAGCACGTGGCTGCTTCCGGCGCCGCCAGATGCGTAAGCCAGATGCCACGCACTGTCCAGCTCCTCTTGACTCCCGGGAACCTCACAAGTGGTGGCAGAGGGGGAGGAGAAGCTGTGCGTGGCGCCGGGCGGGGTTTCGGAGACAGTGTGCAGCGGGTCGCGCACCCGGGAGATGAACCGTCGCGTGTCCGAGGCGGCGGCCGCGGAGTCGAAAGGGGAAGGCGTGTCATCGGAGTTTACGCTGGTTGGTGAATCGCTGCCACCTTGGGTCTCGCTTGGGTTGCCAGGAGTGTGCTCTTGTTCTCGTAGTAGTGGAAGTAAAGGTCGCGGCGGGGAAAAAGTCGCGGCTCCGCGCCATTTCAAGTGCGAAGCGTTAGGTCGCGTTGCTGTGGCTTGCGGCGATGCTGACACTCGTAATTCTTTCTTAAAATGCTGCTCAGTAGCCTGCAGTGGCTCAGGAGAAGCGGCGCTGGGAGGAGGTTGAAGCGGCAACGATGACGTTTTCGCGACCCGCGGGTCGGCTCTGAGGCGGCGCACCGTGGGCGCTGAGCAAAGCGCGCGAGCGCGGCCGGCGGACTCGCTTCGGGCCACAGGACCAATCAAGAAAAGAACTAGGATGATGGCAACAAGGGTAAGGGCAATGCTAACTGCTGCATCCGTCTGCAGCCAGCCTAGAGACTGGATGACGAAGGGCAGAGCTCCCGTGGACATTCTCAGGCCAGCCTGTGTGTCAACTTCCAGCTTTCAGGTGATGCTAGCTATTATTTCTTGCTGTTGTTACTATTGGTGCAAAGAGTGTCAATAGGAGTGCAAATTGGTGCAATGTTGTGTAAGAAAATGCTTTCCGTGCGGTCGCGATGTCTTCGACGCACGATCTATACCGGTAATCCTACAAGCAGGCACCTACTTCAACCCCTCTGTATCCAAGAAAGACAGTCCTTTCAAACCAGCTACTAAAAGCCATATGCCTAATTATGTTTGTTAACTGTGCATGCTGACGAACATGCCCAGCGACATCAGAAATAAGCGTGACAATGGAGGCCGCGGCTCAGGCCACGACAGCGATAAAGGTGTCACAGGCCTCAACTGTTTCTGCTGGCCAAGAACAAAGCGCGCCAGTCCGAGAACTCGAGGCTCCCGTGGAAAGGTAAGTCCTTGAACGAACCGGGGTCTTGCAATGTCTGACCTGCTGCAGATCTGTTCGCTGCCACCCTTTCTCGCCGCCACCCTTTCTCTAGTGTTGGTCTGGGTATTTGCTGTTACGCACCGTCTCCCCGGCAATCCAACTCTTAAAAGTTGCTGTTACCTGGATGTCCTATTCTGGTTGCGATGCGGGGTGGGAAGGAGTTCCTGGGCGCAAAAAGTCAATGGTCGCCCATTTAGCTTCCCATGCGCTTACCACTATACATTACATTTGCCACCATTCCTGACCATGCACGTTTATAAGCGTGTAGTCTGTTTGCTAAGTTATGGCTGCGCCTACCGGTACTGTTTCCGGCGCCACAGGCCGACTTGAACATTCCGCCGGCGGGACCAGACGAGGCCCCGACTACAAGCGGCCAAACAACAGCACCTCAACCACCGCTACAGTCCAAGTTCGCTACTGAAGCAGTTCAAGATGATGAACGCGACAGCAGGCAGCGCACAGCCATTGGAGGCATCAGGGGCACAGGTGGGTGTCGCCATTGCGACGCCATTGGCCGCCGGTATACCGGTAGCTATGATACTGGAAGCTCATGGCAATGGGTGGCAGCACCCCCTGCCCGTCACATGCCTCCCATGGCTCAGCGCTTCTATTACCGTCAAGCCCTTTCGAGTTGTTGTAAAGCACCCGCCTGCCGTCCCACGGGTCACCGTGCTCCCTTTACAAAGTACATATAGGCGTGCCATCTTGTCCGCTACTCGTATATCCTATACACTTATACCGCCTGCCCTTCCCAACACCACCTTTTTCCCCTTCCGCAGCATCCCCCAAGATCACGGAGGCCATCAAATACGGCACACGAGAAGGCATCGCCGCACAACCGCCGCCGCCAGCCTCGCCGCCAGCCGCCGCCGGCCCCGCGGC